GCCAATGGACGGGACCTGGCTGGCGCGTGAAACGTCTGCTCTCTACGATGCGGTCATGGAAGTTGCTTCTACTCTAAAGGCTGAAACCTGCGGTAGAGCGCGGGCATTCCTTTTTCCTCGGGCGCGTAGCGAGCGCTTTACTTTTTGCTGGACCATCCGTGTGAGGCGGCATGCGATCGGGCGGGCAGCTCGCGGGCGCAGGCGCGTAGGTGCAGGCTGTGTTGCAAGGGTTCCGACGCTGCGGAAGGCTGGACGCCACGGTGGAGCTCGCGATGACCTGGAACCAGGCTCGCCCGGCCGTGTCTCGCGCGCGCTGTGTTGCTTGGGGGCGGCGTGCGGGCGACAGATCGCCTCGGGGCGTCCGCTGGCGCTGTGCGAGCTGGTTATAATGCTGCAGCTGTGTGCAGCTGCGCAGGCGGCCACCGAGCCTTGGCTGCCCGCTCCACCGGCCGCGGCGAATCAGACAGGCTCCCGCCCAGGACGTGCGCCGCGGCGTGACGGCAGCGACAGTATGTAACCTATCTCATTTTGCTCGCCGGCCCCATCTTCACCCCATTAGCCCGCTTCTCGCACGCAGCCGGGCGGCCTTGGAGCCAGCAATGCAGGGCGGCCGGCTGGCGGTGATGCGTTGTGCGTGATGGAGGCGCCGGGCCTGGGGCGGCGGCCGTGGGCGCGTCGCCGGAATGGCGTGGGGCGGGAATGCCCTCCGCCTGAGCGCACACATTTCCTGTGCGCCGTCGCTATGCCTCTCACAGCCTGTCTCACATCGCTGCCGCATTGCTCGACGCGCAGGCGCCCGCGCCGGCGTCGATGAGCTTCTTCAATCCTGGGCGGCCATCGAGTGCGACGGCGGCCCTCGCCGTTTCATCGCCGTGTGCGTGAGGGAGCTGCGCTGCGGTCTGGGACGGTACCTGGCAGCATAGTCGAGAGACTCGCAAGCCCCATCCCCACAGCTCAGCGTTGCCTCCATATATTGGCATCCTCCTTCTGCCCCTGGCAAAAGCTCGCGGTGTCACAGGAGAGTCGCTGCTGCAACCACGGGCGCGGGTCTCTGCGCATACTAAAACCGACTCCGCTGCCATTCCTCCATGGCCGCTCGTGGGTGACCTGCAATCCCGCGCCGCCGCTGTGCAATCTCCTGTCCTGTCCTGCCTCTGCCCTCAGCGGACGCGCAGCAGTCAACACCATCGTGACGCGTGCCTGATCGCCGCTGCCCCAGCCCGCGCCCCAGAGCTTCCCAGAGCATCCGCCAGAGCCCCAGCGCCCCAGCGTCCCAAGCGGCCATGAATCGCCAACCCGTCCTCTCGCCCAACTTCCACCACTACCCTGCGCAGCCCTTCCATGACCCGGCACTCGCGTCGGTGTCGGCGCTGTCGTACAGGTCTTTCCAGCTCCCCCATCGGACCGCGGAGCTTCCCGCCGGCTACAACCCAACACCACTGCCTCCGCGCCCACCAACCGCCAGGATGAGCTACCAGCAGATGGCTGCCGACGACGAGCTCGCCCACCTGCAGAAGCTCTCCAACGAATACACGCCCGAGGCCACCGTGAGTGCCCGCGCCCGCCCGCCCGCGCCTGAGAGTGCTGTTGCTGACTCCCCGCAGGGCCCGCTCGTCGGGCCAAGACAATCCACGGCCGCCATCACGACCGAGTACGCAAACGGCGACCCCGTCTATCGTGCGAAGACCCAGGTTCGTGTGCACCGCGCCGCCCGCCCGCTTGATCGCCGCTGAACTCGTACCAGAATCTGCCCTACAAGTACTCCCACTACCGGACCTGTCGCGGCGATGGACACTGCGGGTGGAGAGGTATGCACTGTCGTCCCGAGCAAGAGACGCCCCAGCTGACATGACGTGCAGCCGTGGCCTTTGGCTACTTTGAGGCTCTCCAGCGCGTCGGCGACCGCCACAAGTTCCTCGAGGAGCAGAGCCGCCTGCGCTCGCTCGCCAACCTGCTCAACCAGATCGGCCTGCAAGCCGACGTATATGAGGACTTTGCCGATGAAACTCTAGGCCTCCTTGGCAAATTGGCCAAATCGCCTGCCGTCGACGATGCCCTGCTGCTCGAGGCCTTCAATGACCCGATGGCGTCGATGGGCATCATCACCCACCTCAAGGCAAGTGTTCACATGATGGTTCGTGTGCGACGCGTACTAACATTAGCCCTCGCAGCTGTTGACCAGTGCTTGGATCCAGACTCACCCGCAGGACTTCGAGCCATTCCTCTTGGGTGAGGACTTGCAGCAATACTGCCGGAGGAATGTCGAGGCCAGCAACTGCGAGATAGAGCACGTTACCTTAACCGCTCTTTTCCAAGTCTTGCTCAAGTCTGCTGGATTCGCGCTCGAAATCTTGTATCTGGATCGCAGCGCAGGAGAAGAAGGCGACATGTACCGCCTCGATGTGACGACTCATGATGGCGTCCCAATCGTGGATGTTCCAACCGTGAGATTGCTTTACCGACCGTACGTGCCCATCCATCTCGTGTTGTGTTGGGGTCAAGCATGATCTAACTCGATTGCAGAGGCCACTACGATATCCTCTACAAGGCCGAGGAAGTCCAGAGCACCATGGCGCCTCAGATGCCCACCCAGGTCGCTGTCAATCTTGCGCCCCACTTCAATGAGGATTACGTGCATATGAACAGGGAGTTCTCGGACGTACTAGCTTACATTCCTGGCATGGGGCCCCAGGGTTTTGCCCCTAGCTTAGGTCAACCGTCGTACATGTCTGATCCATTCGCAAGCTTCTCACCTACTCCAACACAACCTCCACCGCAGCCTACACCCCAACTGTACTCGCCGTTATCAGTTCCACACAGCCAGGAGTACGTAGCCCCTACTGTCCCGCTGGAGGTCCCGCCTGTGACCATGGCAGTTGCCGGAGGTGGCAAGGGTGATGGTGGTTCGTTGTTCAGGCCCTCAGCGTATGAGTTGAAACCAGACTTCAATTCTGGTCCTACTCATTCACCAACCTTTCAGACATCCATCTTCAAGAAGTATGACCTCGTCGCGCGTGACTTAGATCCTTTGACTAACCACGTTTAGTTCTCACTACAACACTGCACACTTCTTGAACCCAGACTTCCAACCAGAGGAATGGTCACCAGATACCGAGTACTCTTCCAATAGTCGAGGACGCCACAAGTCCACGTCCCAGTAGTGTGTGCCACCGCTCGCACAACGTCCTCGGTCGAAGCCATGGTCTCAACCCCTGTTCGATCGAAAGTGGGACTGCCGCTGCGCTTGCCCAGCTTTTCGATTTGTCGTTGCATAGCATCATTAACGAAGTTGAACGGATGCCATCTTGCTCTGCCAACCACCCCCCAAGGCATCAGCTTGCTTACTTCACCGCGTTTATCATATCCACTCCTGGTTGTTTTTGGCGCAACTGAAACAGGCTTCAGCAACTGCTCGTTTCCGATGTTCGCATTATATCTTTAGGAAACGCCGTCACGACCTTATAAGACCATCTGCCTCAGGGTGCCCTTAGCTTTGGAATTTTTAGGCATTGCCCTATATTTTAGTTTCCAGGGATTGCTTTTTCCTTTCTGTTATCGCATCAGCTTCACAGTCGCTGATAGCCCTTCCCCTCTCTTTCTCGGCTTTCACCATCTCAGGTAGCACTCAAATAATCTGGCCATTCAAAATGGTTTTGCTCTAATTTCTTTGTTCTCCTTGTCTTATTCTCTTAACTTTGTTATCTGTCACCAATCAGCGCTGCTCCGGTCGGCATTCTAACGGGAAAAACGGTGTTTTTATGTCAAATGCTCTCGGATACGGAAATGGAACTCAGATGAGCGTATTGCTGGAGGAGTCGCCGGAGTCAGGCATTTACATACAAACAGATTGCTCGCTGTAATGAAAAGTATAATATTAACAAATAAAAAAAAACTCGGCAATCACAATCAAGAAAGTCCGGTTCAAGATCACCAGAGCGACATATGCGATGTCGCAGAGAGTGGCGCCCGATCCTTGTGCTTATTGATATGTATTTTTTTTGTTTGGGGGCGTACCAGACAGGGACCCTGACGTTCAGAGCAGATGAAATTGTTTTGGGAAAATGCTCTCAAAGGTAGGCTGACAGCAGCAAAAGGGTATCTATATCAAGCTTTCGTGGGGGCATTAATGCAAGCTCGCTTCCTTTTTCTCTCCCCTTCCCTAGTTCGCTACAAAAAAAGTAAAGTTCACGAACACAATCAAGGCAAAGGGCCGTATCGACTGTTGACTTGCCCAAGACCGTCCCGGCAAGCAGGGGCCAAGTGTCCGGCATTTCGCGGTCACGCATGCCACCTGGATCCGGTATACAGGGTTCTGTTGTTTACACAATCTCATCTTATCATCTTCGAATCGGTTTCTTCTTTTCCTCTGCCTCACCACTGGTTGCGGTCCCAGTTCGGATCTGTAGAAGACTCGTAGTCAGCACCGCATTTTCCATTGCTTTTTCTTCTTTTCCGAATCTTTTTCTGACATGGCAATATGTATCCCTCGGCCAGTCGAAATCTTGTCTCCACCCCTCCAGAAAAAAAAAGGTTTCACGCTGGCACCCTTCCTCCCACGCCAAATTGCAAAAGATTTAAGGATGCTATTCGTATGGAGAATAAGCGACAGAACTCACCTTGCACAAAGGCGGCCAGGACCTTGCTCCCGGTCTGCAGGAGCGGGTGGCCGACGACGATCTGTAGGAAGCGCTGCAGGCCCTCGCGGCGGTGCTCGATGACGTCGTCGGAGAAGCGGTTGGTGAAGACCTTGCCGGGCAGCGGGGGGATGGTGACGCGGGCCGACTCGCGCTCGAGGATGTCGCGGAAGGCCTCGAAGTCCGAGTAGCGCCGCCGCACCGACGACTGTTTGAGCTTGAAGGCCGGGATGTTGGTCTTCATGCTGATCTCGTACGTCGTGTACATGCCCCGCCCGGTGCCGTGGGTTTGCGGGTTGCGGACCTACATGGTGGGGAAGGCGTGGAAAGGTCAGTGGGGGCGATTCATGTTGTTTTGTCACTGGGGCAGGGAAGCTGAAAGGGGTTTGGGAAGTGGCTGGTTCGGTGTATGCGCGGGCAGGTGCTGCGTGATATGCCGGGGGATTTCGGAGGCGCTCGAAAACCGGCCATGGGAGTTGGTGTCTCGGCGTGGGGGACGCACCTCGATCTCGAGGAAATTCTCCGGAGGGCCGTAGAGCTCCTCGTAGGTTTGAGCACGAGAGTCGGGGAGCGACTGCATTGCGCTGGGGAATCTGGTGGTGCCGGTGGGAGCCAGTTTGACGGATTTATGCGGCAGGGCCGAGGCTGTGTGTGTGTGTGTTATTGCGCTTCACGCAGGCTTCGGGCGTGTCTGCGGGCGTCGAGGCGGCGCTTCACGTATGCTCGAGCTGCGTGCACGTTGCGGCTATGCAGGCGGTTGGTGTTGCAGCTGGGGGCGGGCGCGAGGCAGGCGGCTCGGGAGGCGTCACCGAGGTGCGTTGGATGTCAGAGCTCTCGTGTGATGGCTGGGATCGGCGGTCGAGCGTCGCGGTGGGTCGGTCGGGTGGGAGGTGCGCGTGCAGCTGCGGCGGGCGAGGATCGTGCGTATGCGTGCTGGCGGTGGTGGGAAACAGGCGGAGGGGAGAATTGGGGACAAGCGGGTAAGCGGCGCGAGGGCAGAAGTGGTGGTGGTCGCCCTCAGGCAGCGAGAATGAGGGGCACGACGATAGGCGATGCATCCCGGCAACGACGCCAGCCAGAGCCCCCGCCGCCGCCGCCGCCGAATCGCGGGAGCGCCTACGGACAGGCGTGCCAGCTGTTGGTCTTTGTGCGATTCTCCCAGCTTCTACGGTCCGTACGCGTCACGTCAACTGGGCTGGTGAGTGTTCACATGGCCACGGGCTTGCTGCAGGCCCTGCCACGCCGCTGCCCTTTGGTGTCGCTGACGCACGCGAAAAGTTGCAGGTTGAGTGCCCGCTGTGCTGCGCTCCGTCTTGGCTTGCTGCCGGCCGCCCTCTAAGTCGGCCGGGTGCTCCGCCAGCACCCCCTCCGTACGACTCCAACAGACGAGAACCGCACCCTTAACACAAAACGCTCTACCGGCCCTGCTGCAGACAGCCTCGGTACGTCTCTTTCCCGCTTCTGGGGCCCATATCTTATGAAGGCGCGATGGATGCTGGCGATCTCGCAGGCGCTGATCTTCCGGAGCCATGGCATGATGTGAGCCCGGCGGTGTGCCATGCTGGATCCGAGCAAGCGCGCCCACACCACTAGCATCTTTTTTGGTGTCGTCTGTAAATGTCATGCCGGACAAGGATTTCCCGTAACCCCAGCTTTCACGTCTTCTTGTGCAATCTGTGCCCTTCCCGTATGCGTGCCCCTAGCCTGCACATCCCGGTTTCTTGGAGTTGAGTGTGGTGTTGTCCTTTGTCCATATTCTCCTTCTCAGCGCAGCAGTGTAAGAAAGATGAGTGGTGGCTCAGCATCGCGGCAGAAAGAGCCCTCTGGTGCCGTGGACGTACTGACACGTTGCACCTAGCCACTCAAGGCAGCCTATCGAAGCCGTCTGCGAGCTTTGCTACATCTTATCCGCCAATTGGTAAGCAGCAGCGAGAGCTTGTGCACCACCTCAGCAGTACCTTTAGAGAGCAGTGCTTCTTTTATTGGATCTCGCTGACCAAGAATACTTAGCTGAAACCTCATCCCGTCCGAGCCGGGCAAGTCAAAGACGAGTATCAAAATGGCCTCTGCTCTGCCTACTGTGCCGCGCGTGGTGTTTACGATCATTGAACCGATTTCCCTGTGCGTCACACCTCGCTACCGTCGTTTCAGTCTTTCTGACGATTGCCCAGGGTCGCCGGGTTTCTGGGCCCTCTGCTCTCACCGCAGTTCTTTGCAGCTTCCCAGCTAGCCGCCAGCAAAGTTGCTGCCCAGACTCACGAGCTGACCTCAACGGAGCATATTCTGGCTCTTCAGCTTGGAAATGCCTACCTCCTGCTGGGGATGCTGGGCGTGTTCATTCTCAACACGACACTGGATCTTCCTACCGTGAAGGCGTACCTGGCTGCATTGTGGGTCGGTGACATCGGCCACGTGCTCATCACCGCTTGGGGACTAGGGCTCCAGGGAACTTTCGATATCCAGGGCTGGAATGCCGTGACCTGGGGCAACATTGGTTTCACCGTGATGCTTTTCGTCTTCAGGAGCCTGTACTTCCTAGGGTTCTTCGACAAGGAGCAGCGTGGTCGCAAGAGCAAGCAGACGTAGGGTGGGGCACGTGGTTGGGAGGGCGCGAACGATGGGATTGCCGAAATTGGACATGAGAGGGTAAGAGCCACAGTCGCAGCCGTCTCCTCACAAACAGACTCGCTGACGGTGTGCACGCAGGAAAGAGGTCTGGGTCATGACACATGTACCTATACGCTGCAATTGAGATGCGGGCTTTAGCGAACGCGGCCTCCGTAATGACGATAGAGTTCACCCTGGCTAAGCGCAGTGCAGCCTCATGCGAACCTACGACGCGGATGTCCCGGCGAGAGGATGCTCGGAAGCCTGCCGCCGTTGGCCAAAAGAGCGCCGTTGCCAGACAGCGCCGTGCGGCGAGCGGTCGCCCCCAGGGCCTGCAGGGACAGGACGAGAAGTCGCGCCTTCTCCAGCAAACCTAACGGGCCATCAGGGTGACCCGCACAGACGGACCGGGCGCGAGCGTGGGAATCTGCACGTGGGCAGCTATCCCGCCTCGCCGTGAGCGTAGCTCTGCGAGCATGTTGAAGTGAGGTTGGCTGCCTTCGACTGGACCCGCCGAGCCGACTACATAAGCCCCTTCCGCCCTCCGCCCTCCAACCTTCCCTTCTACACCACACTCTCTTCGCGATTCGATCAAGCTGCTCCTCAGGCCATTGCTGCGCGCTACTGACAACCTTCGCAACCAGAAATTGCGTCTTGCACCGCGCTCTGGCTCGCAACGCCAGCTCTTGGTAAGCCCCTCTTGCGCAGCAGTCAACCTCAGCGCATAGCCAGCCTACAGCGCGAACACACGCTCTGCGTGACACCAGCTGACGCTGCTACTGCCTTTCCTTTGTCTTAGCTGACACCCCAACCTCACAGAGTACACCTCCTCTTGGAGTAGCTTTTGTCCAGCCATGGCTCAGGTCACTACTCCCCCTCCGTCCTCTCACAGCAAGCACCGCCGTGTGCGCTCCACCCCCGACCACGCATCACCTGGCAGTTCTGGTGATGAGACCTACTCCGTGTCACCCGCCGCTCCTTCGACTCCCTTCAGCCCGCTCGAGAGTCGCGGCGGTGTCACTATCCCGAGCACGCCTCTCTCACCGCCGTCCGATGGTGAGTTCTCTGACCTTTTTCACTTGCCCGCTTCACTTGCCTCATTCGAAGCGATTCCTCTCGGTAAACCGCGAGTGCTTCGAGGCACTTCACCTTTGCCCCCGTTCCTCGCCTTACCTGCAAGCCTCAACCTCACTTGACTTTGGCCTGACTTAGCATTTTGCTTTGCCTCACTTGAACTTGTTGCTAATCTTCACCTGATCTGTAGGCGTTGTTGACCGTGGCGAGCGCTGCCATGGTAGAAGCATCGAGGAGACGAAGTGCTCGTTCAAGCCTGCTTCTGTGGCTGAGCTCTACGATGACCAAATTTTCCTGAGGAACCCTGATGAGAAGTCGGCGCCTGATCCGATCGTGGTCAAGTCGGGCAGCATGGCGCCTTTCCAAAAGAGCACTTTCGTTCCAACGTCGATGAGGCGCCGCGGACAAACCATTCTGCACCCTCACCTGATGGCAAGTCGCTCTGACCCGGCTGACATGTATGCCATGCTCGAAAATCAGCGTCCGCAGCCCTATGATGGTAGGTCCTCAACACACCCGATTTCATCACAGCCTAACTTCAAGCAGGTCATTTCATGCAAGTGCACCCTGAAGAGACGGTCATCAGCATATCGTCCCGCCCCGGATCGTCATCTCGTGAAGAGGAGTCCGCCGCCTTTGAGGAGTATGTTCGTGCTGGCCATAGCGACAAAATCAATGCTGGCAATGCTCAAGCCAAGCTGACTCCTGAGGCCTGCCTTTTCGTGGCAAAGTGAGCACTCCCATCCTTCGTCGTCGGGCTTGGCGACCTAACTGATATGTTTTGCAGCCTTCGTAAAGACAAGACGGACAGGGAGCTCCATGCCGCCTTGATCGATGAATTCGAAACCTACGGAACATGCTACGTCAAAGTCAAGCGTAATGGCGATATGCCGATCGCCTTTGTACAGTTCCACGAGAAGAGCAATGCCGATTCAGCCATGGAACGTGCCACTGGGGCTTCAATCCTCGAGCGCCCCTGCCGGATCGAGAGGGCGAGGGCTCCTCGTAAGCGACATCTGGTCCCCGCAAAATGAATGAAACCTATCGCTGATATTTGCACAGGTTCCGTTTTCGTCTCCCGCCGCGATGGAAGGACGCCCTCTAAGGCCGAAGTCTTGCAGCTTCTCCAGAAAGTCGGCGAAGTTGATAAGGTCTGGGAGATCTCAGAGATTGAGAGGGAGAGATTTGCACTGGCTCCCGGCTTCGGCTGCCGCTTCACTTTCTACCAGGACTCCATCGATGCGATTGCGGTCAGTCCACACCAACCTCAGTCCGTCCTGATTTACAACCACTAACTCCGCGCAGTACTACCGCGATCACCGTATCTATGATGTGGAAACCTTTCGGGCGCCGGAGAGGAACTGTGCGCCCACCTTTGCCTGGGACAGCATCCTTTCGCACCCGAACCGTTTGTCGAACATCCCTCGCTTCGACGCCGACATCCACCTGCGCAATGCTCTGTGGGTGGGTGGGCTTCCGTCGAGTGTCACCAAGTCTGAGTTGTTGCGGGTGTTCTCCAACCCACGCCGGGTGATTTCCCACGTGGATATCAAGATCCGTACCATGGCCGCGGACATTAGTATGTTATCCCATCCTATGTTTAGTTTCTGAGTGACCAGCCTAACTGAGTCACAGGCGAGGCTAGCTATGCGGTCATCCACTTTGCTGATGACCAGAGTGCCTCTGACGCCGCTTTGTGCACGTACCGTAGGCTGCGCCTCTTCAACGGCGAGCGCGTTCGCATCCAGTGGGCCTTCAAGGATTTCGTTCGTAACGTCGGACACGGCCCTACTGTTGGACTCAAGAACCACGGTGGCTGCGGTTTCGGCACCTACTTTGGTAACGGCCCTATCCAGGATAGCAGCTGCAGCTTCGGTCTCGACTTTGGACGTGGTACCCACGGTGTCCCGCTTCCTTTCCGCGCCTTTGGCAACCACCCTCGCCCGGCAGGCGATGTGGCTTCTTCCCACGCTGGCTTTGTCAATGGAGCTGGCCATTTCCCTGTGGGAAACTTCATGGGCCAGAACTCGGCTCAGCACGCCGCTGTGAACAGCCAAGTCTATGGCATGTACCCTGGCTCCATCGCTGCAACCCATACCAACGGCGGACATGTCGCTAACCGCGCAACCTCGTCGGCGCCTTTTGTGGGCTACCCGGTTGTCAACGGCACTTACCCCATGTGCACGCGCTTTCCTTCGAGGCTGTAAACAACGCCGCTATATTGCATTGACTGAACCACCACCTGAGGTGGTCATGTCCCTCTTCCTGTCTGGCTCCGCTTCGGTGGCACAGTTGTAAGATCCGTCGAGTACGATCCGTCAACTGTGACAGGAACAACATCTCAATACTTGCTTCACCTTTGCTGATACCCAATGACTTCAAACAAGAGACATCATTCAAAAGAATGGGGAGATGTTCCGGTCGGCCAGGAAACCGACGATGAGGGTTGAAAAGTATTTGCTTTATTCTTTGCTGATAACTTTGTATCCGGAAGGCATTCGTCGGCGGCGAACGGCCGAAAAGTGTGCATGGAAAACTATGTAAGACATGAAAAAGGCGTCAACGAAACTTTTCGTAGTTACGTGGGGAGTGGAACGCTAAGTCTGAACGTACTTGTACGGACTTACAGTCCGGATGTTTTCTTCAATTACCCACGTAGATAGAAAGCAGTGTCCTTCAAGGGGGCGCAAAGGGTCGGTCCAGTTGACATCCACTGTGGTAGCAGATGATGGGTTGCCCAAAAAAATAAAAATAAAAATTGAGCCAAGCTGCATTTCCTGTCTGTGGTTCCAACGATCTGAATCCATGGCCTGATATTTGCTTGCTTCGACACACCGGGTAAGAAGAGTGTGGCGTCCTGCACGGAGCATGGAAGGATGGGATGTTCTGCAAACCCGCAGTGCCACAGCGCCACCGGTCAAAGAAGTGTGCATCTCTTTCAACAAGACCTTGCATAAGCTGTGCCACGGATTGGATGCAGGAAACCGATTTGTATCGATTTGTACTGCCTACAGAGTATGGCTGGGACAAGAAGAGGGCTGCAGGGTCTGAAAAAGGTGACTACCAGACGCGGTGTCAAGACTCTCCCGCCATAAAACACAGCATGGAAGGATGCTAAAATAGTGAAGGAGCCACAAGCGCAAGATCACGCACATGACGGTGAGACCACGCGGTCGGACTTCCTGCCGCAATCGGGCTAGGGACGGCGCTCGGGTGGCGCGAGATCGGGTGCGCGGCTGCGCATGCACGACCGCCCAAATAAAATCTCACCGCGAGGATCCATCTTCAAGAGAGCCTCATCCTCAACCGCCTTCTACCCTCGTCGTTGTACTCCCCCAGCGCGCGCCCCGGTCCCAAAGCGTGCCTCTCCCTCTTCGACTCGACAAACAGCCAGCATCCTGCCGACATGGGGGTCCCGTCATTTCAGGCGTCCAACGCCATCATCTACCTTACCTACGGCGCTTTCCTGCAAGCTCTCCCGTCGTGCTTGAATGGCGTCGTGCGAGCTGACTTGTTCGCAGATTCTGCGGTGTCTTCGTGGCATGGAAGCTCCGCCATCAGTCCAAATCGGACTACCTGTCCAGCAACAGGACTCAGAAGGGTCAGAACAACAGGCGCGAACTCTTTAACATCAGCGAAAGAGCCGTGGTTTCTGCCGCTTTGGTTGTAGCTTACTGACTGCTCTGATATGCAGCGATACCGCTCGCCCTGAACTTCATAGCTTCGGGTGAGTGATGCACCGGCGGCAAGCAGATGCGTCTCTGCAGTCCGATTCTTCAGCATCCATCCCGGTTAGCGGCAGCAACGCTCTTCCAGCAATGATCAATCCGCATCATTCCTCCGGTCCAGCACCTCGCCGGCAGAAGGCGAAAGCCCCGCCGGTGAAGACTGCCAACGCGCAAAGAAGTTCATGATTGTCCGAGATGGACGGATTCTGGCCAGGTTCGTATTAGAGATCGATTCTTCGCAGTGGCCATGCTCGCTGGCGTCGTTCTCTCCACATCCTCACTGCACGACATGTGTCTGCGACTGACAGAAAGGCCATCCCCCGGCCTGGTTTGTGGATTTGCGGCATTTCTCTCCCGTTGAGACGAATCTTTCTCGGCAAGAGAATGCCGTTCCGCAACAAGCAGGCTATCTGCGTTATGTCTGCATCCATGGCAAGACAGCGATGATGTGGAGACGACCCAGCTGGGTCATCCCCTGTGCGGCTTCACTACGGGCGCTGCATCGAGCTGAGAGCTTCCGCGACATTCACCCTTTGCTTTCTCCCTGGTCGGAGACAGAGCAGAGAGGATGTTGCGGACTCCGGCAACGATAAAGCTGAGAAGTACCGTTTAAACTCGATCAAGATAATACTTGCGTGAGGAATGTGCTGCCGCTGATTAACCCTCCCATCCCCGAGCCTCCCCCCTGTTGTGTTGTGCATTCAGCTGACCTAGCCGATTCTTCTCGCCCCCGAACAGCTCTCGGTTCTGGAATTTTGTTCACGTATCCCGAGATCGCGACCATCGCCGGCGTGCAAGGTCTCGTGGTGTACGCGCTCGCGTCTGGCCTTCCGCTCCTGATCTTTGGCTATCTGGGCCCCATCATCAGGCGCAAATGCCCGGAAGGCTTCGTGCTGACCGAGTGGACGAGACAACGCTATGGCGTCGTAGCGGCTCTGTACCTTAGCGTCATGACGTGAGTGCTGCACCTCCGCATTTGATCTGCCGGAAGGACTATGAACTGACAGGCCTGCGTAGACTCATCACACTCTTCCTGTACATGGTTGCGGAGTTGTCGGCGCTCCAGCAGATCGTCAACGTTCTGACCGGACTGGACGGCCTTCCCGCGACGGTCGTCCAGTGCATTGTCACCACGATCTACACCTGTACGTAGCCAACCGTTCTTCTAGGGCTTTGGTAAAGGCTAATCGGCGTCCCACTAGCCCTCGGCGGTTTCAAGGTGTCCTTCGTCACGGACAACATCCAGGGCGCCATGGTGCTCGGCCTGATCATCATCGGCGTCATCACCGTGGGCGTCGAGACCACCGTCGACCGCTCGCTGATCGACTCGTCGGGCTACCTCGACTCCAACCTGCTCGGCTGGCAGCTCATATACATCCTCCCCGTGGCGATCCTGACCAACGACTTCTTCCTCTCCGGCTTCTGGCTGCGCACCTTCGCCTCGCGCAGCGACCGCGACCTGCGCATCGCCGTGACCATCGCCGCCGTCGTCGTCACCGTCGTGCTGACGCTCGTCGGCTGCGGCGGGCTGCTCGCCGCCTGGTCGGGCGTGTGGCCGGGCGACCCGCCGCAGGAGGGCTCCATCGCCTTCTTCAGCCTGCTCTCGACGCTGCCCGCCTGGGTCGTCGGCATCGTGCTCGTCATGGTCGTCGCCCTCTCGACCGCCGCCTTCGACTCGTTCCAGTCGGCCATGGTGTCGACCGGCTCCAACGACCTCTTCCGCAACCGCCTGCCGCTGTGGTGGATCCGCGCCCTCGTCGTGCTCGCCATGGTGCCCGTCATCGTCGTCGCGCTGCGCTCGCCGTCGGTCCTGCAGGTCTACCTCGTCTCCGACCTCGTCTCCGCCTCGCTCGTGCCCGTCCTCGTCGTCGGCCTCTGCGAGCGCGCGTGGTGGTGGTCCGGCGCCGAGGTCGTCGTCGGCGGCCTCGGCGGCATCTTCTCCGTCTTCCTCTTCGGCTGCGTCTACTACGACGGCGACGCCCGCCGCGCCGCCAACCTCATCCTGCTCGAGGACGGCCTCTACGGCGGCGACTGGAGCGCCTTTGGCGCCTTCGTCGCCGCCCCCGTCGGCGGCCTGCTGTGGGCCGCCGCTTGCTGGTGCCTCCGCGTCGGCGCCTTGTGGCTCCGCGCCAGGGCCAGGGGCGAGAGGTTCACGGCCTTGGATCGCCCCGCGTCGTCCGTCGCCCCCGAGAGCGCCGGCGAGAGTCTCGGCGTCGCTGCTGCTGGTGCTGGAGCGGAGGGTTATGGCACCGTTGGTGGCGCTGCCGTTGTCGTTGAGGAGGAGCCTGGTAAGGGTGGGAAGTTTGTGTGAGGAGAAGGGAAAGGGGTTTCTTTCCTTCCCATTCTCCTGTCCCTGTTGGTGGTGGAGGGTGACAGAAAGAGAGAGAGCCAGGTGTAGTTGGGCAGGATGACGGATGATGGGGGTGTGAGTCGGTATGGAGGAGGATGAAGGGAACGTCTCCTCTCGAACTCTGGGGTGTATCCGCATGTAGTACCGCTTCTTTCTGTCTCGAGAGCAACGACAACAATTCTACACCTTTACTCCCCTGATGTTCATTGATATTCAGCCCAGTCACCTATGTACTTATTAGTTGCAGCTACATCCGTTTGTTAATACTAACCGTTTTGCATTTTAGTGATCATCCGTTTCGTTTCTCGTTGGTCTTTCTCGGTGTAACACAACCTGCATAGTGAGTTGAAACATAGATTAATTTACCTACATCTGCCTCGCGTGGGTAGTCAACTACTATGCCTAGATCAATCTGTGTAGCTTTTATACTGACATTCACGTCTAGATATATGTTTTAGTTACTCACATACGGGAAATTTTCATAAGTTTGTTTGGTCGGTTTCAAAAGTATCGTATTAGTTTTCTCGGCAGATACAAGGAGTTGCAAGAGCCGTAGAGAAGCTAATCTTGTCACGTCCGCCGCCTATGCGCCCGGATGTCTAATTTGGCTATACAAGCCCGATAGCAGATATCAAAAAAACTGAAGAAAAAACCCGCACCTGTGTATCCCAACAATACCCCACACGAACGAAGAAGCTCGTCGACTTCCTCCTCTACCGCCTTGCTATTCGTGCAACAAACACGAACATGTCTGTCCCCATCGTCCATCTCTCCTTTCCGCTCCAGTCTTCCCCTCGCTCAACCATTCCAATCGCTCGCCCAGATGAACGTCCGACACCTCCACTCCGTGTTCTTCTCCTTCGCCCCGGACGGACCAATCGGGCGCGGACACATCCAGAACGCGCGCCCGCAGTTGACCCCTGGCTTCTTCGTCGTAAAGGAGACGCAAGGCTCATCGTGGTCATCGCACCGCGGCGGTTTCGGCTTGGTGAAGAGCTTGCCCCACGATTCCTTGGACACGATGGGATCGATGAAGGGGGGCGACGGCGGCCGAGCCGAGGTGGGCAATGGTTGGCCGGCGGTGGCTGCCGCTTCCCGCTCGCCGAGAGTGAGGGAAGAGGGATCGATGGGCGGCGATTGCGACTGCGGCTGCTTGCTGAGCGAATGCGAGGACGAGTTCTCCGGTATTGACGGGCCTGGCGATGCGCGAGCGCTGTATTCGCCTTGTTCCGCTGTGTCCATCACTTCGAGCCCGGCCTCTGATGTCGATCCGACAGCGTTCTGCTCTCGCTCTGGAGAGTCTCTGGTAGACGTCTGACTCGACTTTGGATCGTGGATTGGCGGCACGACTAATGTGGACGAGCTCTCGATGGTCTTCGACGAAACATTGCTATCGTCGCGGGATAACGACGGCGTTGATTTGAAGAATCCTCTCAAGGACTGCTGACCTTTGACTGAACTACTTTGCGTTGGTGCTGGCGCTGACGATTTCTTCTTTTTGTTCGACTTTGCAGTCGCAAGCGCTGGAGCAGAGCGCTTCTTCTCTGAGCTGGCTGTAGAACGAATGTGATTGCCCCCATTGGATTGTGACGCTGTCGAAACTTGGCTGTTCTGTGATGCTTCTGGCTCAACTTGGCTATCATCTTGTGCTTTTCCCTCTGGCTTCGGCTTTAACAAGGACGGGGACGAGCTGTTAACGACGACGGCCGAGAACTCCGCGCTTGCGCCATCATTGGCCGAGGGCTTGCGGCTTGTCGGCTTACGAGAAAACATGTCCTTGATACTTCTCCTCCTGTCGAACTCTGGCAATAGCCTCCCCGATGAGGCAGGTGAGTCTTTTAGCGTCCAGTCGCGTAGCCGTTTGCCGTCTCTGAATATCCCAGGTGGATTCATGATATCACTCAAAGCAACCTCTTCACCGTCTGACGTAACCCTTTCCTTGAGAAGAGCGTATACAGGACAGTGGTCTGAACCCTGAACTTCTGGTTAGACACAATTCATCTCACAGACAGCGAAAGCTCACCATCAGTCCCTCCTGAATGTCTGCGCTCTGCACCCAGTCCTTCATCGAGATGCTGCAAAGCACAAAATCAATCCTCGACCCGAAATTCGCCGGCCTAGCATTGATCTTTTGTTCCCAATGGGTAAACATGCCCTTCCTCGTTGGGTGGAACTCGCGGCACGTATCCCAAAGTATCGGAATCTCCCTTCCCCCATCCCGCGGTGGCACGACATCGCCGCTCTCCAACATCTGGTTAAATATGCGTCGATTGCCCGTCGACACGTACTCCTCATGCGAGATGCCCTCCTTGCGCATGTTCTCCTCAGCGTTCGCGGTGTCGATCTCCGACCGCGATACATTCAAGTCGCCGCACAAGATGACACGTTTGCCCTCGCGCGTGAGGTTCCGTATGCGGGCGTCGAGCGCGCTGAAAAAGGCGTACCGGAAATCGTCGCGCAAGCCGTTGCTGTTCGCCGGGCTATATACCCCAAATACGACGAACGCCGGGAACTCGAGAACCACACACCGGCCCTCGGAATCCAGCGCCGCAGGATCGACGCCACCAGCCATCTCTATCTGCTCTTCCGTAGGATACCCGCCAATGTGTTGGTCCGAGGGGAGGTCGCGGTAAGCGGTCGAGGATCCCGGGGGGCAGAGGACGCCAAGGACGCCTTCTTCAGCGCGGATGGGAGCGCAGCGGGACGACCGGGTGTAGATTGCGACACCTGAGTAGCCTGGCTACCAGTTAGCGTTTACTGTTCTGAGCAGGTCGTACATGATGAGCAGCTCTATTCCATCCCAGACTCAATCCGTTGCACACCTTTCTTAAGCTTCGGTAGACTGAAGAAGCAGTCCCACCCAGGAACCAGCACCATGTCGTCGCGCAAGTCCTTTCGCTGGATCTTCAGCTCCTGCATAATGACGATGTCCGCCTCGAGCAGATCGAACATGGCGTCGAAGGTGCGCTTGTCGCGCCATGGCTGGTAGCCGAAGGGATTTCGGATGCCATTGACATTCCAGGTCGTGATCCGGAGTGGCGGCATTTGTGTGCGTGCAGCTGCAGCTTGCAGACAGCGCGGCGGTTGACTGAGTTTCGCAGAGATCTGAGCGGAGAAAGCACGACGATGTAGAGCAATTGGTGGTGGCGGCTAGCTAGCCCGATGGTGGAGGAATCTGCGCGGAGCGGCGGGCAAGATGGCGGCGCGAGTTCATGACCGGAGCGAGCGGCGATCGCGCTGCTGCTGCTGCTGCTGCTGCCGTCTGTGAGCGTGCGTTGGTTGTAAAGTTTGAGTTGAGCAAGGTAGACGCGCCGTCCGGGTAACCAGGATGTAGCCCCGGCCAGTCGCGTCGCGCGTAAAAGCGATGGCGTCAGAGGCGGGAGCGGCGGGCGGGTTTGAGGGGGCGGAGAGGCCCCAGCGCGCCAAGCTCCTGGCCGCGGGAATGGCCGGGGCGAACGGGGAAAGTGGTGTGACGGAGCGCCGAGAAGCCGCACATGGTGAACCTGCAGCTTCGTAACCGCAACCACCACCATCTAACCCCACGCATCCGGCTACCCACCCATCTCCACTCCAACCGTCGCCGATCGGAACCGCGATAATGCTGTCTCGCGCCATCATCCGCCGCTCCGCCCAGGCCCTCCGTGCCCCGGTCTCCCGTCGCACCTACTCCTCTGCCCAGGGCGGCTTCGAGGGTGCTACTGACAACGCCTTCAACCGTGAGCGCGCTGCCGTCAAGCAGCACGCCGCCGAGACTAGTGGTGCGTAATACGTCTACCTTTGCGATGGTCTGCCCGGTCCATTGGAAGCTGGGGAGGAGAGGATGCGGGATGCGGGATGTACTTTTGACAATGGGAGGAGGGGCATGCTGTGCCGTGTGCGACATCGGAAACGACGGGATGCTGATTGACTGTTTCATACAGATCTCTGGCGCAAGCTGTCTATCTAGTGAGTGCCATCGCCCTCGGCTTGCCATTCCACTTCACTGCGGGGACGTTCCATTGGCCCGATGCACTCGCGCCAAGATGAAGGTCTTGCGACCGCTACCGAAGCTCTGACTTGTGTTCTCTTCTCTCGCCTGTCTCCGCACCTGGCTTGAGTGATGGGGAAAGAGCGGAGAAGAAAAAGAAAGCTGCAGCGGCGCAGTTCCAAGACTCATGGGGGGACATTATGCCTACAATCAAATTGGCCTACCACTTACCTTTTTCTTCTCCAGCGTCGTCCTTCCCGCTCTCGCCATGTCGGCCGCCAACGCCTACAGGCTGTGGAGCGAGCACTGGGAGCACGAGTCCCACATGCCTCCGCTTGAGGAGCGCCCCGAGTACCCCTACCAGAACCTCCGCACCAAGAACTTCTTCTGGGGTGACGGTGACAAGGTAAGCACGCTTTCTTCACCTCCTGACCTACTTGCTGCGCTCGCTTGGTCGTTGCGGGTGCATTCTGCCCAGCGTAGTGAGGTGTGAAGAGGAGGAGAAGAAGCAACGCTTAGAGAGCGTTTTCTTAAGGCATGAGAAGCATGCACTCGCGGAGTCAAGCCTTCGGCGCCCGCCCAAGCAAGAGCTCTGGAGACATGCGATTCGCGGAATGATGCGACAGCAGCCGCAGAAGGCGTCTTGTCTGCTGTGAAGATGAAGCTGATGATTGCCCCTCCACAGACCGCCTTCTGGAACGACAAGGTCAACTACCACAAGAAGGACGAGTAAGCGTTCTCTCATCCGGAATGTTTACAACCGTCGCCACGTGCTCTCGTTTGGCGTAATCGGGAAGGAGCATACCCTGCAACCTTTTTGTACATAGAAGCCAAACGAGAGAAAAACTCAAAGTGGGCCCTGAATGGTTGTCGCCAATCCTTAAACTAGGAAAGGAGAAAAAGAACCGCAAGCCAGTTCTTCTCCGTTATTCTATTCCCTCAGCACGCGAAGAGATATACCAGACAGTACTGTACTACCAATGCCAAATCATTCCCTTTGTCTACTCTATACGCCTTTGCATCTGCAACAGAATAGAAGGGGAAACGATAGAGGAGTTGGTCGTCTGCTGTTATCTCTTGGCTCTAAATCATCCCACCGTCTCCGCGACAGCCGCTCCATCCCCTTCCATGACGGCCTTATAACGACCGATGTATGCCACGGCTTCCTCCACAGCCGCAGAATCGTCCTTCTGTCCCAGTCCTAACGCACCACCACCAGGGATGACCCCTGCCGCATCATCCGCAGCCATCGCCGTGCGTAGCTTCTCCAGCAGCGCACGCTTGGCGAGGGTCTCACATTCGCCACGTACATCCTCGATGGCATGGAAGCAATTTCGGGCTTTCTCGAGGAACAGCATCGCCTCAGTGAGTGTCCTCTGGTGCGCCGCCGTGCCGCCGCCGTCCGCCGCGGATAATGAAGTGGTCGAACTATTTCCATCTGTTGCAGCGGTTGATGTGGCAGCGTTGATGGCAGTAGAGGAAGGAGCAATCTCGCGCTGCTGCTGCTGCTGGTGGTGGTATTGTAGCTGCTGCTGCTCCTCGCCCGCAATTCCGACGCATGCGTCTGCCAACGCAAGGTACAGCTTCGCGCACAGCGCCTCGTCGCCTGCCTCAAGCGCCAACGGTGCGACGGCGTCCCCGAGCCGTCTTGCGGCGCGGAACTCACCCAGCTCCACTAGGATGGTCTGTACTGCCGCCAACGCCTCCCACAGCGCTGGCCACAGCCTCGCGCGGTGCGCTGCGCTCGATGCTCGCATTGCTATGCTAAAGCCCTTCTCGGGCACTCCGGCTTTGGCGAAGAGCGTGGCCTTGAGCGTTAGCAGGTGCACACGCTGATAGATGTCGGCGTCCTCGGCCTTTAGGTCGGCAGCAAGCTCATCGAGACGCACAAAGGCGGCAGCGAAGTCACCGCGGCGTGTGAGCGCGTCCACCTCAAGGGCGGTGAGCTGATACAGAATCTCCGGATCCGTGGGGCGAAAGGCCCGTAGGGCGTCGAGGAGATGCGTCGCGGCCGTGAAGTCGGATCTGTGGTAAAGAAAGAAGAATGCATTAGCGGAGATGTTGAATCAATGATGTTGTGTTTGCCAGAGAAGGTTTTGAGGGAAGTCTGGAGGTTCCTTAACCTCCTTCTATGTCAATACTGCGAGATTTCCGAAAGTGCTCGCTGTGTCGATCTCTTAGTCGTGCTTACCTTCTTAATGCTCGCTTTGCCTTCAGGAGGGCCGCGTAATTGCTTATGTATTGATGGAATTTGAGGGTGCGGTGGTCTGCCTGATTAATGGAATCAAGTATCTCGAATGCTCCTGTGTAGTCTCCCGCTTGTGATCTCTAGACCAGATTTTAGTGAGCCGAGCAGGCTTGGGAAGGAGTTGCCAGCCTTACTATGTATGCGCTATGGCAAGTAGAACGGAGAGTGTCTTCGATAGGACATACGTTGCCGTAGCAGAGATAGAGAATGTCGCAAACAGCATCTGAGAGGTCAGTGGCCCCTGAAGATGCAGTCAGTAACCATGAGAATTGGAGAGAGCTCGGAATTCAACCTAGTCTGCCGTATAATGATGCTTGCATCAACATCTGCGAACCGATATTGCTTCTGATGTTGTGCACCACATTGAGGTGCGCGCTTTGATAGATGTGCTCGAAAGCACGGGGTACGCTCGAGCCCTGTTTTTGGATCAGATGACTTACTGCCCATGCCAGTGCCGTTCAACTTACGCTGGAAAGAAGCATCTTGGCTTCACTCAAGAGTGTCGAGCTCAACAAACTCCACATTTTGGTTTCCTTTGCCTTCGACTTCAAAAATGCTAATCCGTCGCGTTCAGATCCCAACATACCGCCATAACCGGATGCTCTGATCTGCTTCGGATAAGCCTTGGCTAGATGGTTCAACCAGCTCAAGCTGAAGTTGAGGCAGCCCATGTCCTGGTTCTCACGGGCAGTGGCAATGGTCTCGTTCATGGCGGCAATGGCCTCGCTGAAGCAGCCGAAGTCTGCTTGGAGGATAGCCATGTGGAGCAGAGCATATTGGTAATATGTCTTGTCTCTCGTCTGCATTGTGTAATCGAAGTAGCGATGCAGGTTGTCGAAGGAAGAAGTGTAATCGCCAGCTCTCCACGCATCGAAGAACCTACAACCGGTCAGCTGTTCTCTGTATGCCTCCATAGCTGAGCACCAACGGGGGCTAACTTGACGAAATGTGCAAGACTGGGTGCCGTAGCCGTCGGTCCCAGCATCTTGCGCAGACGCTCTCTCATATCATCCGGCACACGGTTGCCGTACTCTGTACTCGAGTTAGCAGCCGGCGATGCCGCACGTGACGGTTCCTCTTACTCTGCAGGCGATCTATCTGAAATGCCAACAGCTTCTCAATCTCGTCCATACTCGCCAGCCCCTCCTCTTTGCCCATCTCATCCAACTGCCCATAGGCCACCCTAAACAGCCCATCTTGCTCCTCCAGCCCCAGACCGGCCAAGTTCTCATCAAACCACGGTTTCCGAGTTTCCTGGAGTGTTGCGCCATCGAGCACTCGCCTCCGCTCCTGCCACCGGTCCTTCGTTGGCAGCTTGTAGTTGACCAAAGCGAGCCACAGCTTGCTCACGTCATGAAACTGCAAGCGGGCGAACTCGAGCTGGGCGCGGCGTACGAACGTGCCCAATGGCGAGGTACGCGAGAGGCTGATCCGCGGCGGAGGGTGATGCCGCTCGCTGGCCGAAATGAAGTTGCGTGGCGGTTTGCCCACCAGTTCCGACAGCGCGTCGAAGAAGCTATGGAGCGCGTCAAGGCTGTCGATGCACCACAGCCGGGCTAAAAACGCGTCGTATAGCGTTTCGTCCCTGCCCTCGGGGGGGCCGTCGCCTGGGGGGCGGTGTGGGTGGGCGGCCAGGATTTTTTCAAAGTGCTCCAGGGTAAGGACGCAGGCGTCGGCGTGCTTGGCTCCCCCGACGCCAGCCGCATCCTCTGGGATAAGCTGGGAGGTCAGGAAGGTGAGGATGGGAATTGTGGCCGAGGACGGAGCTGGGTACTCGCAGTACAGCTTCGCGAGGACCAGAAGGCTGATCTTCTGGGGATTCAGGTACCGCGCCATGGCCGCGATTGAAGAGCCACCGGTGTGGAGTTCGGTAAACTACCTGATTTGTTTTTTCTTTCTTGGTCTTCTTCAGCGGCAGTTGAGTGGATCACGGATTGTTGTTTCAGGTCGCTTCCACATGGTGTGTTAATGCTCGTAAGCTGTCAAGATGTGGGAGGTGCGATGGTCAACACGGCGGGGCCAGGCACGCTTGTTTTGTTCGCGACGGGAAGGCGCAGCTCGCGCGCGTACCGCAGGAGCTTGGACCTGGGCTCTGCCGCCCACAGCATGCCTACGACTGAGATACTGAAGGATGTACTTGGATAGGCGCAACTATTTACGTTGTATTTAGGATGTCGTTTTAGGAAGATTCCGAGCCTCCCGGAAGGGCCTGCTTTCCTGAGCCTTGCAACCAACCCTGCCAATCTGCAATTACCTATAATATTGCGCTCAACCATGCTCGACTGCCCCTCCGCATCTGGCTCAACGCCCGCTGCCGCACTCTACGCCCCAAACGCCGTTTTCCCGACCTAGGATGGAGCTTGATCCCAACATTCATGGAGCTCTTGACTCGTTCGATGGCGCCTTGGTAATCGCGTCTACTCGAGCATCCTCTGCACTTTCGCTGTCGCTCAACTCATTGGTGGCCCATATCTTGCCAATGCAGAGCTCATAAGGTCCAGGCACTCTGTCAGTTAAGCTGATACCCACGGAACGCACCCTCTGCCTCATCATCTCCTTCTGCGGCTCCACCGGCACGCCGTGATTCGTCCGCACAAACTCGCTCAGCTTAATGAGGACCGTCTCCCACTCTCCCGGCTTGCGCGCGTAGAGACGATGCTGATGTATGTCCGTCGGCACGACCGACTCGGTCTGCACGTTCACGAAGTACTTGCGGCCGTCCGACTTGACGCGCAACGCCAAGTACCGGTACGGATCGAGGTCGAACAACGACTTGCCAAAGAGGGTGGCCGGGCGATCGCGCGTCCTCCAGCCCGCGTAGCCAGTGCGAGACACGTGGGGGTTATGCTGGGGTAGCTGAATGGAAATGTTGCCGCGGAAGCGGGCGTGCGGCGGCGAGATGCCGGATTGAGGAACGAAGTCGAGGTCGACCTCTGAGTAGCCGCCCAGGTCGGCGTCGGACATGCGCTTGCAGTCATCAATGGACGAGGCATCGGAGAAGGTGACGAGCGGCAACGGAGCGGCGCCTTTCATGGCCTCGAGCTGGAGGACTGCACAGCGACGGATTAGCAAGTTGCAGCGTGTGGCGACGGCAAGGTGTCGGGCGTGCCTGTGTTGGAGCGGCGGCGCAGCTCGTCCAGGCTACGCTTCCAAAAGCCTGGAGCACCAAGCACTGCTGTAGACCGCATGGCTTCGTTGCACGCGTGAATCGCTCTGAAGAAGGACAGGGTGTTTTGGTGGAGGGGCAGTCCGGCAACGGAGCTCTGGTCGTTCGGAGCTCAGGCGCTGCGGCGAGCGAGCGATGAATGACGCCGGTTCGACCGGGGTGTGCGTCGCCCGAAGGAATTTCTCGACCGCGCCCTCCGCAGCAGAGCTATCTTGTCGCGCCACATCCACCCTTCTCCAATTTTCTTGGTGCCTCTCCTACAACATTACACGTGCAGCCTCCTGGTCTCAGCACCCATCCAAGCACTGCCCGCCGTGCCTCTCCGACAATTTCGCATCCGCGCCCGCCTTTACGCACGCCAGAAGTCCGCGACAACTTAGTCGGCATCGTATATGACCCTCGAATCCGCCCAGGACAACCGCCCGCTCGGGGTGGCGCGGGCTGCAATCGAGCAGAGTCCCCTACCTCAGCCGCGCGAGAGCGGAGATCCTTTGCTTCCAAAGGACTCCAATGACCTTCAGCTCGAGGCAAAATCCTCACCCTTTGCCAAATCATGGGCGCATTTCGTAGCTGGCGCGTACGTGAACCTTTGCTGGCCCTTTCTTAGCCTCTGCTTACAGACCTCTCTCACCAGAATGGGCGGGACAGCCGCCGCAACTCTAACAGCGCCGTTCGATGTGTTGAAGACCCGGCTGCAATCTGACTACTACCACCAGCAATTGCTCGCCTCCCGAGCTGCCCGCGGCGTCCCTTCTCCGGCATCCATGTCGTTCACGCGAAGCGCACTCCTCCACTTCCGCGAAACGTTCCAAATCCTTTTCGCCATCCCGCGGACAGAAGGCTGGCGCGCGCTGTTCAAGGGACTGGGTCCCAACCTGGTCGGAGTCGTTCCTGCGCGCGCAATCAATTTCTACACGTACGGCAATGGAAAGCGCGTGCTCAGCACATACTTCAACGACGGGAAGGAGTCGGCATGGGTGCATCTCTTCGCCGCAGCGACCGCCGGTGTCGTGACGGGCACTGCGACAAACCCGATCTGGCTAGTCAAGACAAGACTGCAGCTGGACAAGTCCCACGCGAAGTCCCAGGGCGGCAGGCAGTACAAGAACGCGCTGGATTGCACCATGCAGACGATTCGGCAAGAGGGCATTCGCGGGCTTTACAAGGGTCTCACCGCGAGCTACCTGGGCGTGTCGGAGAGCACGATGCAGTGGGTGTTGTACGAGCAGATGAAGCTGGGGCTGGCCAACAGGCAGCAGCGGCTGGAGGCTTCGGGCCGCGAGCCCAACGCGTGGGACAAGACTGTGCAGTGGACTGGAGGTGTCGGTGCCGCGGGTTTTGCAAAGTTCATCGCGACGATTCTGACATATCCTCACGAGGTAAGCGACTCATTGGGATGCCGTTGCGAGAGCAATCGCTGACGAAACATGCAGGTGGTGCGGACGCGGCTGCGGTTGGCGCCGATGGAGAACGGCCACCACAAATACACGGGCCTCGTCCAGTGTTTCAAGCTTGTTGCCAAAGAAGAGGGCCTGCTGGGCCTGTACGGCGGACTGACTCCGCACCTTCTGCGCGTGGTTCCCAGCGCAGCCATCATGTTTGGTACATATGAGAGTGCTCTCAAGCTCATGGGAGCCACCTCTCATGTATAAGCGTTGGCATTGTCCAGGATGAACCAAAAAGAAAAAGCGTTATTATTCGTGATTTTACAGCTGGCGCCTTATGGAGAAGTGTACATTGGACGGCGTTACACGGTGTATGTTTAGGGTTTGCTCCGCTCTGTGGTATGGGGAAGATGTGGTCATGGCGCTGCCACGAATTGATAGGTCGTGTGGGTTGTACGAGATGTGCAGATCGGGCTGGCTACGCTCTTGTACGATAAAATGCCACACACATATGTACTGTAAATTGAAAACCCTACACGTTAGTCTGAGATGGCCTTGCTGCAGCTTCGAAATCAACAAATCGTTCGGTAAGCGTTTTCGCCTCGAGAGTACGTAGCTGGTTCATCGGTGGGGTATATGTCGTCATGAGATGTCGTTGCCCAGCGTTGGTTACGGTATAACAGGTCTTGCCATAAGGAGCGGCGGAAAGAAGCGGCCTGGAGCAGATTGGAAAGCACTCCAGCTGACTTAAAATCAGTAACATTTGTTCTTCGTGTGTTCTCTTTTTTTTTCGGGCACTGGGGTAAACATGGGCGAAGCGCATCGTGGGCGCCGCGCCATGTTAGCCAGCGAGAGCGGCCTAACACGCCAACCTCTGAGCCACGTCCCTGCGGCGCAGTCGCTGCCGATAGCCGAACATTCGTTCGCAGATCCGGTTGCTATATTAATCTCGCGCGATTGACCTCCACTTCACCCGACTCCCTCTCAGCGCAGTCACCAGTCCAACGGCCAGGATAGAGGTGGCCGCCATAAAGCCGAAGATTTTCTCCGGACATCGTCAACCTCTTCCTTTGACTCAACACCGCCTCATTCAACCTGAACAGCCGCTTTTCTTCCTCGGAACTGAGAAGATGTCGACCATCAACCCGGCTACCACTGCCGTCGTGTCCACCAATCTGGAGGACCATGGCTTCAAGCTGCTGGCGCGCGGCAAGGTGCGCGACGTCTATGAGATCGACAACAAGACGCTGCTGTTCGTGGCAACCGACCGCATCAGCGCCTACGACGTGATCATGAAGAACGTAAGTTTTTGACTGCTTCCGAATTTTTCCTCGCTCTCTTACTGTTTCCTTCGCATTAAATCATCTCCTTCCGCTTTCTCGTCTTCCTTTCCTTGCCTCTACTGCTTTGATGCATGCATCTCCAGTTCCAATTTTGCTTGCTCGATTGTACTCTGCCTTTCCGTACTACGCTGTTCTTCATTTCTACCTTCTTGTCGTAATTCCCCCAGCGAACTTGCATTGTTCTCCTACAAGACCTCTGGTCCCCAACCAAGTCTCCCCCGTCACCTGCTCGCCCGGTGTTGACTTCCCCCTCCGCTTCTCTTGAACCATCACGACTAACACTCCACACCAGGGTGTCCCCGAGAAAGGCGCCCTCCTCACCAACCTCTCTACGTTCTGGTTCCGCCATCTGCGCGCGCAGATCCCCTCGCTGCGTACGCACTTCATCTCCTCGGACCTGCCCCCGGCCGTCACCGCCGCGAGCCCGACCCTCTCGCCGGGCCAGCTCTCGACGCTCACGGGCCGCTCGATGCAGGTGCAGCGCCTGACCATCTTCCCCATCGAAGCCATCGTGCGCGGCTACATCACCGGCAGCGCCTGGGCCGAGTACCGCCGCGCGGGCACCATCCACGGCGAGCCCGCCCCGGCCGGCCTGCAGGAGTCGCAGCAGCTGCCGGCGCCCATCTACACGCCCTCCACCAAGGCCGAGGTCGGCGGCAAGGACGAGAACATCAGCCGCGCGCGCGCCGCCGCCGTCGTCGGCGACGCCGCCGCCGCCCGCATCGAGGAGCTCGCGCTGGCCCTCTACAACGAGGCCGCCGCCTACGCCCGCGCCCGCGGCATCATCATCGCCGACACAAAGTTCGAGTTCGGCTTCGACCCGGCCGACCCCGCCCGCGAGGTCGTGCTCGTCGACGAGGTGCTGACCCCGGACAGCAGCCGCTTCTGGCCGGCCGACGCATACGCCGTGGGCAGGGGCCAGGACAGCTTCGACAAGCAGTACCTGCGCGACTGGCTGACGTCGAATGGCCTCAAGGGCAAGGAGGACGTCAACATGCCCGACGAGGTGGTGCGCGGCACCCGCGAGAAGTACCTCGAGGCGTACGAGAAGCTGACGGGGGAGAAGTGGAAGGGCGGTTCCTCCGCTTGAGGGGTGTTTTCCACTCTGCCAGTCTGGCAGTGCGTGGTCCTCTGCAGGGGGCTTTGAAGGGCTGGCAAAAATCGGAACCTTGGGAAAGACGGAGAGGTGAACGCTGGCATGTCGATGGATGTGTTGGCTGGTTGGCTAGAAGCAGTGAAAGTTTGTACGCACAAACTGGGAATAGGAGAACAGAATGATATGCTCCTTTGCCTTACCCTTACCTTTTTACTGCTCCTTGGTGAAGACATTGGTACTCGGCACCATGTGAAGCATCGTGAGATTTGGAGCTCGCGCTCTAATGAACAACAATGTCAGGTCAGAAAGTCATTGACGTTATATAGGAGAGTAAGCAGGACGAATGGAACCAGCAAAATGAAGAGGTGGCAGTAGCTGACAAGCGTTTCGTGTAGTTTACACAGGCCGTCCTTGCAGCTCGATATGCGCAAACGGATTACCGCAGTCTGCAATCCGAGGCATCCAAGAATTCTGCTGATGTAGGTAGGAGCGTCAGCAGCAGCAAAAGCGTAGACAGTGGAGATTGGACAGTTGTTTAGATCCAAAATATTGTACTAACACACGCCAGTCATTCAGATTAGTGAACAAGTGAAGGCACACACTGTGAGATGCTGGTGAATTCTTTGTATTTGTTCGAGGCGTTCCGTGTCAACTACTTAAAAAGTGCTACACTATGCCAAGAATCGTGAGTCAATCCACCAGCTGAGCCGATTTCAAACCAATTCGAAATACCAAAGGGAACAAGTCAAGCCGCCACCAAAGCGCTTACGGTTGGTATTAGAAACGCTCGAATTGATTGAAGTTTTGGCAAACACAACGCAGATGAGGAGACACGTTCGCACAAATTGTGGATGCTGTCTCACGTGGAAACTGTAAAGACTGTGAGCAAGCGCATACTTGCAAGGTCCGAGGCTTGACGTGCATGGACCGCCTTGAGTGCACGTTAACTCGCTATACCGAGGATCAAATCTGAGTGGATGGACCAGCCGAAGTAGCGGAGCTGGATTGCGCAGTCAAGCCAGCCTGAGCGGAAGAAGTAGCCTGAGTGGAAGCGCCAGCCTGAGTGGGAGCGCCAGCCTGAGTGAAAGCGCCAGCCTGAGTGAAAGCTCCAGCCTGAGTGGGAGCGCCAGCCTGAGTGAAAGCGCCAGCCTGAGTGGGAGCGCCAGCTTGAGTGGAAGCGCCAGCCTGAGTGGAAGCGCCAGCCTGAGTGGAAGCGCCAGCCTGAGCGGAGGAGCCAGCCTGAGGACCGGGAGCAGTAGATGGTCCAGAGTGCGAAGAGGAGCCCGAATGGTGAGCTGAAGCCGTGGGCACCAACCGGTCGCGTTGTTCCGCGGGCATGCTGTAATATTCGCGGAGGCGCTCCAGTTCCTGATCCCGAATAAAGCGCTGAACCACGACAAAGCTGAATGATTCGTCACCATAAGCCTCTTGTTGTATGTTCTGCATCTCCTCGTAGGTCCATATGTTCCCAGAGAGAGTCTGGCCAAGATGATAGCCCTTCTTTTCAGGCTCGTCGTCTAAGCTGGATCCCACCATGGGATCGTCAAGCAACAAAGACGCGTGGATCCTTTCACCTATTTCATTGATAACTGTCAGTGTAATCTTTATACTTGGAGGCAAAACGGTACTGGATCCCCAAAGGAGCGGAAACATTTAACTCTGAAGTTGGACTTCTCTGAGACTTACCCATCCATCGGTCTAATTCTTCCAGCTCCACCTGATAACCATGGAGTCCTTTTGGCAAAGAAGCGCTCAAGAATCGGGGTCCTTTGGCCCACGGGGACGGCTTGGTCACCAACGGATCAAGCCTACGGATGCCAAGCGCAAGCCTGTGTTGACCAAGTAAGCCCCACTCAAATCTCTGGCTCCACATGGGAATTTGGTTGTGTGGATCGATTTCGCGACAGACTCGGTACATCTCAGCGTCCCAATGGCGGAGGATACCTATGCCTCCTGGAGGAATGACTTGGTAGGCGCGACGATGATTATGTAGGACACCGGGTTGACTGTCGAGTCGCAACTTTGCCGCGCCTGGAGCGTCCCAAGCGAGGAATTGCGACCAGCGCGGGAGACCATCTTGATAACCGGTGTTATTCTCCAGAGCACGCCCAAATGCGTTCGGTACGGAGGCGATCTTCGTCTTGAGGTCAAGGCGCTTCTCAATGAGCCCCATGATCTGTACAGCGACTTCCCGGACTACTTTGAAGAACTCGGTGCGACAGGTGACGTCTTGGATGGAATCTGGCGGGGTGAGGAGATCAAGGCATTCGTCCATGACGCTGTCGAACGCTTCTTTGATGTCCAGGGTAGTTGGACCCGTATGCTGGACATAGACGTCGCGAAGGCAGCGGAGGTCTTTGAGAAGACTAGCAACATGTTCGGGTGAGCCACGACAATGGTCTGGGCCATCATCCTCCATATTCTTGAAATAGAAGTCGGGTAAGATAGATGAAGGCTCATCAAGAGGGATCAAGCCATGCTTAGGCTCCCAGAGCCTACTAGGCATGCCGTTCATGGTGGCGTTGATGGTATGGTTGGTGGTGAGGAGCGATGGTTTCTGGTGGGTGTAAAGCGTGGAGTTGGCAGCTCACTTTGACTTCTAGTTTCCATCAGGTTCGGCGGGCAGCCAACTTGAAAATTAGGTGGCGGGGGTCGCTAGGCAACAGCCCAACAGTGGGCACTAGAAACTGGGTTGCAGCGATGGGCATTGGAGTTCAAGTGATTGGGAGTTGGCATGCCCACGGAGACACCACGCCAACCATCGCCAACTCGCCGACGCGACCCGGCAAGCACAAAGGGCAGGCGCGCGCACGCTAACACTCGGCCCCAGGCAATAGCCCGCCGCCAAACCATAGGTGGCGAGCGCGCAGCGGCGGGCGGCGCGCAGCGGGCGGCGATGACAGCAACTTGCGACCCGCTGCCTCGGGCACGTCCACGCCCGCTGACAAGGCCGTCACCTAGTAAGCAAAATTATACAGGAACAGCGACCCTATTTTTGCGCGCCCAGTAATGTGTCTGCGTGAAAGCGGGCGGGCGCTCCTGTCTTCTCCTGCGTGTTGGGCCGCGGGCGGCGTGCTTCAACTGCACCTGCCAACCACCACCCCGTCCCCACAGCTGCGTGTACCCCGCTGGCACCGCGCACCCGCCAGGCTCCCAAAAGCCTAAGCCAATGTCGCGCACTGCAAATTTAGGCACTCGCCACCCGCCGCTGCGCGGCACCGGCATGCCGCACCAGCCCCGAATCAGTCCCCAGCCCATTATGAGTCCGCGCGCACGCATTGCAGCGGCAGTGGTGGCAGCCCGTATTTTGCGCCCGTGAGAGAATTAAGCAGGTCTCTACAGCGCACTAAAACGCCATCGTTGATCCCGTTCGCGCTTGCCATCCAGCATCATCATGCGGGCGTAACCACGACTGCCTATCCCCGTCATCACTTCAACATAGCGTTGCACGATCGTCAAGAAATGCCACTTCTATGCGCGCACCTGACTAGGTTAATCTCTGTCTACAGCATGAAGAGTTTGACAGATGGACAGGAAAGGCACGGCTCAGCAAGCAGGCGAAAGTCGATAGGCCGTTGTCTGTGTAGGTAAAATCCGTTTCAATGAGCTTCCAGTTATCCCAGAAGAAGAGTGGGTTAAAAGATTGATTAGGTTGTCCATAGCTTTGGGTATTGGAAGGCCAAATATGTAGGCGCATTATAAAATTGTATCAGATTTTGAGTGATTGACTGGACACGCTGCCTATTTACTTCAACTCGGTATAGATTCAGCAACGGATACAACTTCCAGGGTTCAGCTCGGCTAAAGGCTAGAGCAAGATGCTCAAGATCCGATTAGCGTCCAAGGTGTAGAAGAAGTGAAGCGGTGGCGTAGAGATAAAAGTAGCAGCGTCAAACGCTTTGCGAGTGATATTGTGGATGATGACGGGGAAGAGGTGGGCCTGTAGGGCCAGTGGCGGACATATATGTGAAAAAAACAGGTTATTAGGGCAGTCAAAGTAGTGTAGCGATTTGTTGGGTGCTCGGGCACCTTGTGTTGTGAAGTGAAGGCATTGTTCTTTGTGCCCATGCACGAACCATCGCGTCTGACCTATTTATTCCACCCGAGGCTCCGACACCAACCATCCTCCAGACAAACCCAGACATTCTTTGTCCCACTTTCTTACAGAGTCGCCAGCTGCCTGACTCAACTCATTCAAGTCTACCTTCGGGCTGCATCGTCCCGCCGTCGGCACACCAGAGCCATGTCGGCTCAACCGCTGGTCACGATTCCGCTCACTCAGAGCCAGCTCCAGCTCGTCATGGCGCAAGGCTTTGTCACCATCCCTGGAACCGCCATCAATGTTCCGATTTCGAACAGCATGACTGTTCCGGTCGCGCCTAACCCCCCGAACTCCACGAACGCAATCTCTCAGTTGGTCATTCATAGCCAGTCTGGAGCCGGTGCGCAGGCCGCCATGTCTCAGCCCACTCAGACGCAACAGCCGACACAGGACCAGCCCGAGAAGAAGAAGCGCACCCTCAACTGCTTCGTGGCTTTCCGCTGTAAGTGAGACAAAGCGCTCGTTATCCGAACTCAGCTGACACTACGCAGGCTACATATCCCCCATCTTCCAGAAGTTCCAACAGAAAGAACGATCTGGGCTTGTGAAGGTGATGTGGGCTGTCGAGATGGTCAAGGCCAAGTGGACCATCATCGCTAAGGCCTATTCTGTCATCCGCGATGAGGTTGGCTCCGAGAATGCGCCCATGGATGCCTTCCTCAACCTCGCGTGTCCTCACATTGGTATCATCAGTCGCGAGAACTATCTCAGCACCCTTGGCTGGGAGTTTGTCAATACTGGCAGTGGCTGGCAGCTCAACCGTCGCTTCATTCCAGGCACAGACGACTTGCCCCAGGGCTACCTCACCACCACGTTGTCGGTCGACGACATGATTCAGTTCGTTCGCAGTAACGGCTACGGTATTGCTGCCCAGACCGCCGCTTCTAGCGCTGGTAGCAGCAACAACACCGGCGGCTCAACTCTTGCCATGGCAGCCCAGCCGGTTCAGCCTGCTCAGCCTACTCAGGCTGCCGTCCCGCCGGCTCAAACTATCCAAGCTACCATCCAGCCAGCTCAGCAAGCTCAGCAAGCTCAGCCGAGCTCTAACCTCACTCAGATCGCTCCCACGTACCAGATGCCTCACGTCCATCAGCCGCAGCCCTTCACCTTCTGGACTGCTCAGCAGGCTCACCCAGGCGCTCAGCCCACCATGCACCCAGTCCCCAATGACGTCGCTTTTGCGAACCTGCAGCGAGTCGCACAGACCGGTGAAGTTACCGTTTACGACAGACTTACTCACGCACTCGTGGACGGCACCGATGAGGATCAGCTTGCCCAGATCCTCAACCTCGATCCGGATCCAAGTGATTGTACCACCACCCGCATGGAGCACGCTCACCCCACGCTCTTCGATATGTCTACCAACGCCCAGCTCAATGGCAATGAACTCCGTCCCTACTTCCCGATGAACGACAGCCGTCTCAAGTTCATTGAGATTGCTCCTGAGAAGTCTGACACGATGGAAGTTGGTGAGAAGGCTTTCCAGAAGCTCGCCTGTGACCTCTGGGAGAAGGACTCAGAGTATCCTCATGGCGATCAGTTCATCCCCGGCCGTCACTACTCAACTTTTGGAGACTATGAGCGTGAAGTCATGCCTGACTACGATGCATTCGACATGCACCGTCTCGCTCATGTTTGGCCTACGGATGAAAGCTACGACGCCTTGCTGAGCCAGAACCAGGGCTAATCGTCTCGACCTTCACGCGCATGGGGCTTGCTGTACTCGACATAGGTTCTTGGACAGCTTCAGCATACACTACATTGCTACAACTTGCAGGGCGAGATTCTTGAGTTATTGCATCAACTGGCATTCAAAGGTTAAGCTAGGTGTCACTTCGGCACAGGTAAACATTCGGATTGGGAACGGCGACAGGATACAGGACTATGTTCGGTCTTTCTTTGACTTGCCAGTACAGTAAGCGATTCTGGGGGGCACAATTAGCATAGGATCAGCATAGCTAGGGCAGTGGAACAATGGAATGCAATGTACACCGGTTCACCGGCTACAGGACAAAAAGGCTCGGAGTCGCCTTTATGAGCAAGGATCTTGTGATGAACCCGAGCCGGAGGGGAGAACGACTTCGGCTTCTCGAGGCGCTGAAGCTGCGGCTGCGCGTCAAGCAGCCCGAGCCTAACTGGTGGCCGCTGCCGCTCCAGGAGGTCGCGCAGAACATCTGGGGCACCAGCAACATGTAGGCAGGGGACGGTTCGGCACAAGGCGAGCTGGCGGCGTGTTTCGGGAACAGCGGCAGGGACAAAGAGCAACGGACGGGTCTCAAAGCACGTGGTGGCAAACAGACAAAGACACGGCACCAGATAGGCTATCAATCAAACAAGTCTGCGACGGCGTTGTATGGCACTGGTGCATTTGCAAGGGAAATGGTGTTCAGGTCACGGTCAAAAAAAGAAAAAGGAAGTCAAGCGCTCAATGATTGAATTATCTGGCCAGCATGAAATACTGACTAATCGACATTATAGCTCCCACGATGAGCGAGAGGAAACTCCACATAATCTCCATTCCGTTTATCCTCATCCAGTCCTGCAAGAGGGTCATGATTAAGTCGTGACAAAGAGTGGTGGCGACGTTCTTCGTAATCGATCCGAGCTCGGTGTCGATTAATTTACGTCCATGGTAGTCCACGACTTCGAAAACAATGAGTGCGATGGCACAAAGCGTAACGAGGGACAGTCTGCAGAACATGATGACTTTGTGGACTGTAGGTGCTGAGGTTTTTGTTGGTTAGCAAAGTGGTAGCGCTTAGGTAAAGCTGGTTTTCCTACCTGTTGCTTGAGCTGGGGAATGCTGTTCGTTGTCCATGGCTGGTAGGTCCTTGTATTCTGGGAGTTTGGAGTACTTTGGTAGTAATGTCGCACAGAAACTGTCTTTGAGTTGTAGTGTCATGGTTGCGACCGTGAGGAAGTAAAGTAGCAGAGTGCAGTGGTTGGAGCGGCAAGTGCGAACTGTTCACTTATGGAGCTGCAAGTGCGAACTGTTCACTATTTAAATAAGTAAGTGCGCTGCAGCCTTGAGCGTACCCCTCCGCCCCGTATTGGGCAGGGACACTGTCCGAACCTTGGTTGATAAAGGTTGGTTCCTGCCTTTAATTCGTCAAGCCTAGCCAGAGCCTGACTGGTGGCCGCTGCCGCTCCAGGAGGTCGCGCAGAACATCTGGGACATGTAGGCAGGGGACCGTTCGGCACAAGGCGAGCTGGCGGCCTGTTTCGGGAACAGCGACACAGTGGGCGACGAATCCAGACATTACGAGACGGGAGGGGAGAGAGGGCTGGCGTCTGGCGGCGGAAAAGGGACGGGCCGGCGCAGACGGGGATCGCCAGCTCCACTGCGCTTGGACGACGGCGGGTGCGCATCGCCGGGGAACCAGGTGCCAGGTGCCAGGACCCATGCGACGGCCAAGAGCGGACGCCGCGCGACCGCCGTCTGGTCGTTGGCGCCGGGCGCGCGACGTGCGGGCGCGGCATGCACGTGTCGACAACAGCGGTGCAGCGCGGGCTTGGGCGGGCTTGGGCGGGCGGCGGTGGGCGGGCGGTGGGCACGGGGGGGCGGGTGATGGGCGGCGGCGGCGAAAAGCAGGCTGGGGGTGGGCGGCGAGGCGGCTAGCTAGGCGGCCGGGCTGGGAGCTGGTCATCGGCGGGCGGCGCGCGAGCGCATAGACACGCTCACCTCTCCAGCTGTCCGACCACCCGCGCTGCGTGTCCCCAATGGCCGCCGCTGATCCATCCGCTCCTCCACCGCGACCATGGCCACCTTCGCCGCCTTCCTGCTGGTCTACGTGATCGGCGGCCTGACCTTCGTGCCCATATGCCTCGCCGCCGCCGTCTACCTCGCCCTGCTCGCCTGTCCGCCGCATGACGCCCATGCCGACGACCGCCTCCGCGACGCCCACCCCGACAACTGCCCCCCCGAGCTCAAGGCCCGCCTGGCCGAGCCCGACGTCGCCGCCGGCTACTTTGCCGTCTGCCGCGAGTATGTCCCCGGCGGCGTCAACGGCAAGCCGCCCGAGCGCACCACCCCCGCCGGCGCCGTCGTCGGCGTCGAGAGCCCCAGCGTCTACCAGAGCATGTACCGCACCATCTTCGAGCGCAACCGCGCCCAGGGCCCGAGCATGGAGGGCGCCAAGAACGGCAAGGCCCAGAAGAAGGCTCGCAACGTCTTCTTCGTCGTCCTCAGGTTGGTCTCGCCTCGCCGCTCCCCGCTCCCCGCCCGCCCAGCCGGCTTGCTCACCCTGAAAGGCACGGTCATCTGATCCTCTTCGACGACGCCGAGCAGGTCGAGGTGCGCTACGTCATCTCGCTGGCCCACCGCATCCTCGACGTCTACGCCGGCGGCGAAGCCATTCCCGAGGGCGAGCTCTGGATCAAGCGCAACTGCATCCGCCTGCGCCGCACCCCCGACGCCGCCGACTCCGAGACCGAGTCCCGCCCCTTCTACCTGTTTTCCGAGAACAGCTCCGAGAAGGAGGACTTCTACTTCGCCCTGCTGCGCAACCAGGAGCGCCAGACCGGCATGCCCACCTCCCCGCCGCTCCACCCCGACCAGCCACACGTCGTGAAGCTAGTGCAGCAGCTGCATGCTTCCGAGGAAAACCTGCAGACGCGCTGGATCAATGCTCTGGCCGGCAGGGTCTTCCTTGCCCTGTACAAGACGCCCAACGTTGAGGACTTCATCCGCACCAAGATTACCAAGAAGATCTCCCGCGTGGCCAAGCCCGCCTTCATCCAGAGTATAACCATCCAGCGGATCGCCATGGGCGACAGTGCCCCCATGGTCACGAATCCCAAGCTGCGCGAACTGACTCTCGATGGAGACCTGACTGTAGAGGCTGACATCAAGTACAACGGCAACTTCCGCCTCGAAATCGCCGCCGTGGCCCGCATTGATCTCGGTTCACGCTTCAAAGCTCGTTACGTCAATATGGTCCTTGCTGGTATCCTCAAAAGGCTGGAAGGGCACGTCCTAGTCCGCGTGAAGCCTCCGCCAAGCAATCGTCTTTGGATCACATTTGAATACCCACCAAAGATGGAAATGACGATTGAGCCCATCGTGAGCTCGCGCCAGATCACATATGGTATGATTTTGAGAGCCATTGAGAATCGCATCCGCGAAGTCGTGGTTGAGACGCTTGTTCTGCCTAATTGGGACGATATGCCTTTCTTCGATACCATCACTCAGCCTTTGAGGGGCGGCATCTGGGAAGATGCCACCAAAGCCCCCGTCCCCTTTGATGCCGCACGTGAACCTCCCATGGACGATGCCTCAATCGACGACGGTTCGACGTTGCACGAAGAGCCGACTGTTTCGCCCTTTGTACGCAAGGATGAGAAAACAATGAGTATGCCAAACCTGGGCGACTCGGACGTGTCGAGCCTCAAGTCACGGAAGACTGCAAAATCAGTGATGTTAGGTAGTGCCGCCAGCGACGCCGCCTCCGCAAGTGGCGTGGAAGTTCGTGCGTCGGCCAGTATGCCCAGGTCGATGCGCTCGGGCTCGTTTGCGAGCATTGCTCGGCCGGTGGTGGCGCAGGATACAGCAGTCGTCGAAGCGCAGAAGAGTCCTCAGAAGCACCAGCACGATGCCATTGCAGCAATCAAGGATATTTCGTCGCGCTCGCTGCCAACCTCTCCCGTCGAATCTCCCGTGGGTTCACCCGCAGTGCCTGCCGGGCCCCTGACTGAAGCGTCAATTCGCGGAGGTTTGAAGCAAACCTCGGGGCACAAGACCTCTGACAGTGGAGGAGACGCAGACCACACGTCCGGGCAGAAGGCTCCTGACGATGGCCGAGAAGTGAAGCCCTCGATAGCACATAGGGAGGGAGAGAGTAGCCAAGAGCCGCGGCAACGCGGCCCGTCCTTTGGCAACACCGAAGAAGATGCGGCCAGCTATACTGACCTTTTCGGGGAATTTGTCCATTCGCACACCGAGCCCATCTTGCGCCCTGAACCAGCCGCCTTCTCCGCCAATTCCGAACAGAGCTCACTTTACTCGCAAGCCACAGACTCCACGGCTCAGTCCGAGCTGAGCGCCAAAGGTTCGCTCTCATCGCGCAAGACGTCACTATCGGAAAAGCGGCAGATGCTTAACATGTCGCTCAACTCGGCCACAACGGCAGCGAAGAAATGGTTCGCTTCGCGCCAGCAATCGAACACACCTCACTCTGCGTCTACACCCTCCCATCCCTCACCTTCTCTGCCCGCATCATCTGCATCAGTCTCCGCTACCGGCACGCCAGCGCGCTCCTCTAGCCCTACTCGTGATCAACCACACCAGCCATCTCTGTGGAGTCAAAGTTTGCATTCGGACACCAAACCTCACCAGCCGCAGGAACACCTCCAGCAAGACCGTGTCCCGAGCACCCCTCTTTCTTCGGTCTCTTCAGCCAAGGCCACGACGCCGTCTTCCGTGTCTCCACCGAAGAATCCGCACCCCGACAACAACAACAACCGCCATCCGCCATCGAGAAGCAGTTCCATCAGCGTTCCCATGGGCCGTGGTCAGCCGCTCCCGCCTCCTGGAATGCCTCTCCCCCCGCCCGCGAAGCCGGAGAACAAGTGGGTGCAGGGTAGCGCGCAGCTGCTGGGGTTGGCTAAAAGGAAGCCCGTGCCTCCGGTTTCGCCTGGAGCGGCGGCTTCGTCTTCGTCGTTCGTTGCGGCGCCTCAAGGTAACGGTAGTACGAACGGAAATGGAGGCGGCGACGGTGGTCATGGCTTCGATGGTGCGGGCCTGGTCGAAACAGACATCCGGGTCCCGGCTGCGACGGCGGCGCCGGTGGGCATGCATGTGGGCAAGGAAGGCGGTGGTGGCGGAGTCGGCGGAGGGGCAGATCCTGCGCACCCACCGCCGTTCGGTCACGCCCGGACGACGTCGTCATCGTCTTCATTATATGGAGGCGGCGGCGGCGGGAACACACCAACGCCGACGGCCACCCCGCTCCCTGCCGCCGTCAACGGGTCGAGGGAGAAGGAGAGGGGAGCGGGCAGTCACGCCCATCCATCGTCCTCACCGCAACAGCAGCGGAAACAGTCCAGTTCTTCGGCGACGTCGCACCATTCCGTCTCCGCCGCCTCGGACCCGTCATCCACACCCCCTCCGCCGCTGCCGCCGAGGAGAAAGGCCAGTGCGACAGCATCTCCTGGCCGTGGCGGCAGGGCAAACAACGCCGCCGGCAGCAGGCGGAGAACCAGAAATCATCTCCATCAGCACGACGGCGTGGGCGAGGAACACCCGCAGCTCCTCGTCGTCGCTGCACCGCTGGTCGAGAGCGACGCGTCGTCGGCGCCGGTGACGCCGGAGGCGACAAAGCACGAGTTTGGCGGGGAGTTGCCGAAAGGGAAAGGAGTAGTAGTGACTGAGGAGAGGGGAAAGGGCAGCGATGGCGGTGTCCGTGACGAGGAGAAGGGTGAGCGAGAAGGAGGAGAAGGAGAAGGAGGAGAGGATGCGGCGGATGAGGACGATGAGAACGGGTTGGAAGGGTCGGTGTTTGACCTGGAGCTGGACGACGCCGGTGCCGGCGTGCGTGCCGTCCAGTCTGCGGCCCCGTCGTCACACTTGCCGGCGCCTTTCGTGCCGTCTGAGTCGGCGGCGTCGAAAACGGAGACACCCGCTTCGGATCCTTCGCGCTTACCGTCTCAACCGTCGTCTCCCCCAGACTCCACGGCGGCGTCGGCGGCCGCTGACACGAAAACGTCGCCGGGGAAGGTGAACGCAAAGGAAAGGGCGGAGACGGAGGCGAAGGATAGGGATAAGGGTAACAGGGGGAAGACGAAGGGTAAGGGCTGGTTCACGTCGCCGAGTGCCACGGGGGTCGACCATTTGCCGGAGCATAGGCGGTGAGGGTGTTGGCAGGGAGGAGGATGCGGAAGAGGAATCAGGGAAGAGAGGGACGGTTTCAGATTTTATACCCAACTTTGTCTTGTGGGGTTCTGCCTTTTCTTTGTTGAACCCCTTTCATCCTGCTGTAACGCTGGAGCAGAGAGGAGAGGGGAGAAGGAAAAAGAAGAAGAAGAGGGGAGCAAGGGAAAGCGTGAGGACTTCATGGATCATACATACCGTTTGTATTCGTTTACCCCACTTTCTTTCTCTTTTTTTTTTATTCTTCAGGGCAGAGGTTGCTCCTGTAAGATAGCATGTTGTCACCGGAGACTGCGGCGTTTTAAAGCATAAACATCGGACGGGCACCCTTTCTTCCCAATACGAACGGAGCGTGACGGTCATTGGGCATCGGCGTTTTGGGGGGGGTTTTTTTTTTTTTGAATTCCATCAAATGAGTAGGCATGTCTTTGGGATTGGGCGGCTTGGGAGGTTTATGGGTATGGGTGTTAGGGAATGTGTATTTCAACTTACTTTTTATAGATCGTGGAAGGGATTGGAGGGAGGACAATCAAGACTTACCTATTTTAACTACCTTTTTTTTGTGATTTTTTCTTAGTAGCCCATTGCGTTGTGGAGATCCACAGCGTCGCATGGGAAGGAGGAAAGGAGAGGGAGGACAGGCTGTGAGTATTGCGAAGTGGAAAGGTGTCAGGGTCATTCCGTGCTTGTGTTTACTAAGGGGTGGGATGGATGGTAACGCGGTGCGCAGGCGATCTGGATGAGGGGATGTGGGAAATTGAGGCGTGTGGTGTCTTTACCTTTCTCCCTTTCCGGGACTTTGTTCTGAGGTGTAGAATAGGGTGTAGTAGGAAATGTAGAAACACGGGAGGAGGATGTGTGGGCGAGGACAGGGATAGAGTACCCCTTAGCCAGGTCTTCTCGTCGTTCTCTTCTCGGGCTGGGTGATAGCAGTTTGGGGATGAGGTGCAGTTGATAGGCGCAAAGAGTAGGTCGGGAGTTGAAATGAGGGATGGAATCGTGTAGAGCAGATCAAGGACCGAGATGCTAATCAATTGTTTGGGCATGTTACGGGAGGTGTCAACGGGTGGAGTGGGGTATGAGGATATGTAGGAAGATCGTGATGGGGTGGTTACGGGCAAGGGAGGAAACGGCCAGTCTGCTGTTCAATTTACCACTGACTCTTAGCGGCTAGCAATTTGTATGCTGTTTAGCTCTGGGAATGCATTGTTGAGTGAAACATTTCCGACAATCAGCTGAATGGGGCGTGCTTGCAGTAGCGTGTTTGCAATCGATTGTGTTGTCGTTTACCGCGCTTGCAAAACCAGTCTGAGGAATGGTTCTGCTGCTCAGTACGGCCGACAGTAAGTATCTAAAAAAAAGAAATTTATGGCCTTGAAGTGTACCGGTGAACTAGAACAACAGAGGCAAAAAGACGGGCAGGGTGTTGTGGAGAAGTGCAGAACGGGGTTCAGGCTTCGCGTTGAAAGGAAGGACATGGGTGCGGGTGGACAGCAATGGGAATAAAGAGCAAAGAGCTGTACATGCGTATTTGGTTCCCTAAGGGTGTTTCTTATTGCTGTCCAGATGTATTCCCTCGGTCATCCGGCAATGCCGCCTAAGAGCTGAGCTTGCTCTGGATAAATTCAGCGGCTTCGCCCGTGCTGGCAGTCGCGTACGACAGGTGAGCAGGCGTGATGATGAACTGGTTGGTGCAGACGAGATCACCGGTCGCGCAGAAGACCTTGGTCTTGCTGGAATCGATGTTCTTGAAGGCCTGGGCCTGGAGGGGGTCGCCAAAAGTGACGGCAGCCTGGGATGATGTCAATATGATTGAAGTGAAGGGGTTGAAGGGTAGAGGCTTACTGCAACCTTGCTGGCCGAGGTACTGTCCAAGTCAATGAGGCAGCCGTGCACTTGCTGCGCGCCCTGCGAGTAGCCAGCAAGCACAATCTGGGTATCCGGGCAGCTTGACAGAGCCTGCTTGACCAGCGTGGCGCAGTTCTGGCTGCCCTCGGCTTGGCCGGGTGAGACACTGCCGACGAAGGTGCCGGCGGCGTCAGCCGGGTAGTTGACGCCCTGAGTGGCAAGTTTGTCGGCGCCGAGGGCGGACTCAAGCTTCTCTTGTAGAGCCGGGCCGACGGTTGTGCCCATGTTGCCGGTTTCAGTGGTGCCGCGGGCGAAGATGTAAGTGACGGGCTTACAGACGCCGTCAGTGACATCGTTGGAGGTGGAACTGCCGCCGAAACTGCCAGCCGGAATAGAGAACTGCGGAGCGCGGGCGTCGATGCGCGTGGACCTGTCGGCGGGCAGAGCCACAGCAGTGGCGGCCAGCGCCAAGAGAATGTGAGGAGTGACGGCAACCATTGTGTTGGGTGTATGACGGAGGTGAGGTTGAGTGAGAGCTCGGTGTAAATGGAAGAATGAAGGACAGATGTGAGGTAGCGAGTGAAATGGGAAGGTTGACAAGGCCTTTAATACTTGGCCTTCTGATCCTCACAACAGCCACTCTCTCACTCCGCAAGAGCCGCGGTAGTTGTCCGAATAACCAGACACACTGTTAGGATTAGGGCCGACAGTCCGTCATGATCGTCGTACATACCATCGCGCCGGTTCCCGCAGCGTTCACCAGTTAGGCCTTGTCCGTGGTATCCTTGCCGCCGCCATGGCTTCTGGGAAACATGGTCCGGCGTGCGTGGGGCCTGCTGATCACATCTGCTCCCAGTGTTCGAGGCTAATGGGTGGTCGGAGAGCCAGATGGCAGGAGCCTGCGAGGACACCGATGACTGCAGCTGAGCTTTCCGCAATGCATTCGATGAGGGACGAGTTGAGGTAGTGAGGTTTGGGATAGCGCCTTCCACATGGCAGCTCCTCTTGCGGCAGGAAAAGGACCTTTTGCGGCGTAGAACACGAGGTGATGTTCGGTGGCTAGCATAGAGTATAGAGCGGCGATCAGTGACACGGGGGCCCCGCAGTCTGCTGCCGCGCAGCCGGGATTGGTGCAGATCCGGAATCAACCTCAGCAATGGACCGAGGTCCGGACTACTGATGTCGAAGGCGAGTCGACGGGTGTCTCAGAGTTGTCCAAGTATTGGACCTAGCCCGGAAGTGGCTGTCTAGCGCTCCGGTAGCGGCCAGGCTAACGCCATTGGCCCCAGGACACATTACGGACGTAGAGGGTGGGATATTCCCGGGCAGCTGAAGAGCATTGTTGCCGGCCGCACATCACGAGCAAGCTTGCTTTTCTGCGAGAATTACCATAGTCGAGGCAGTTGGTAGGTATACTACTTCTGTTCCATTGACAACACACCAGCAAGCGAGTCCGACGAAAAGGGAATCACCACTCTTACCTTCTGCCAAGTCACACACGAAACATAAGACTAAAAACGACTAAATTCACAAAGGGCAAACACGCCGGCTCCCGGAGGCTTCGGCTGCACCTTGATGCAAATCACCAAGGATATCGTCTCCTAAAATTTGAGCCCGAGCGGTGAGGACGGAAACATAGCGAGGAGAAGTGCTGGCGGACATCACCTTCTTGTCTCCATTTCCGCGCTTCATTCCAAAATGTTTGGCTTTTTTGGATGGGAGATCTTTCGCTAGGACGGGGCCGACTGGCATGCGGTGTGAGAAGAGGGGAGGCGTCTTCAGTCATCTACCGAACTGACAACAAGCACTATCATGCAGCAGAAACGAGCCTCCTGTTTCGAAGACGGACGGTGGCGCTGGCTCCCGAAATAGGTCCCCCTATGGGAGAAGCGCGACAGCGCATAGCATATCTGTCTCGCACAAGAGGCGTTGCATGGTGGCGGCCAAGCTTTGTCGGCCCCTGGCAGCCCTGGGAAGCGGGCGGGTCTCGCCGGCGACACGGCCGTACCTGCTCTTTGGCATCCCTGTTTAATCTACCCGGAGGCGTTGCCGGAGAGCCATGAGGGGCGGAGTGCGGATCCGCGCATCCTCAACAAACTACTCATCCGTGCATCGGTGGCGTCGAAGAGGCGTGTGCGGCAATGCCGATGCAAAACCTTGTTCACTCGTCGTTGCGTGCAGCAAGACAACCAGTCCTGTTTGAGAGATTCAGCAATGAAGATCTAGCGTGTGGTTTCGCTTGTTTTTACCGCTTCTCGTCCAACGAAAAGGCCATGCGGATATCAACAGAGGGCGTTCCACATGCTCGGCAAACCCGGACGGTACCATCGTAGGTCGCAGGAGAAACCACGTTTTCACGTATGTTTACGGCACTCGAGGTGCTTTGCATGGTCGGCTCAAGCAAACATCCATTACAAAGCGTCCACACAGCGGCGTCAGTATCACTTACTATGTGTTCTAAACGCTACCCAATTTTGCACCAACACGGAGAATCTGAAGGAATGGACCCTCGGGCATCAAATAGGCTGGATTCCCTTGTGCGGTTTTCCGGGAAAGCTGATGGCAGCGGATGTTTGTCTTCTCCCACCGGGAACTGGATGCAACGGGTGGTGTGTGCGGCCGAGAGACGGAGAGAGACGGCGACTCGGCCAATAAGAATTCGCAATGAAAGCAGCGGCACGCAGATCGCCGGCGGGCCGAGCGGCGCCACAGCTGCAGTCTTCCATATCGGGCTTGAGACGAATGCGGGGAAACGCGCCGCGTGGTGGGCGTTTGGGAGCCTCATTCTCGCCCTCTTCGTCGCTGCGCGTCGCCGAGTATTTGGCGGAGATGGCCTGGTGTTCTCACGGCATCCGCTTTTCCTGGCGCCAACGTCATTTGTGGGCCGGGGGGTTGATCGATGCGAGCTTGCTGGCAATGGGGAGCTGCCGGATCGTGCGAGAACTCCTCACACGCAAGCCACACTGGCGAAACCATGGCTCCCCATCTGCAGCAGTTCAAGGTCCGTCGCCACCCTTTCTAATTCGAGCCCCGTCCTGACATCTGGTCGTCTCCCAGAAGCGCAAGCGTCCGAACACCATCTTGGATCCCGCCGATCGCCAGGCCAATGCAAGCAGCAACGGCTCCGACACCAGCAAGCCGACCGCCGTTTATACCCCCTCCAGGGGCCGCTCCCATACCCTGAGCATCGCGCTTCCGGGAAGCATCGTTGCGAAGTAAGGGCGCGCCATGTCTTGGTCGCGTGCGGAGCCGCTAACACGACCGTACCGCAGTGCGCAATCGCACGACCGCAAGACCTCCTTGGCCGGTGCCATCGCACGCGCCGCTGCCGTTTTCTGCGTCGACGAAATCGTCGTCTTCGATGACAAGCAGAGCCACGTGCTCAACAAAGCCAGGAGCAGCCCTGTGTACGGAAGCTTCAGCGACGCGTGCTGCAAAAGCTCGTACAGTGCCGTGCGAAGTGCCGACTATGCAGCTTATACCGGCTACTCGGATCCCGGTTACTTCTTGTACCACCTGCTCTCCTACCTCGAAACGCCGCCGAACCTGCGCAAGGCCCTCTTTCCCTTGCATCCGAACCTGCGCACGGCCGGCACACTCCCGAGTCTCGACATGCCACACCACCTGCGTGCCGACGAGTGGTGCCAGTACCGCGAGGGCGTCGTGCTGGACCCGAACGTGTCCGACGATGGCAGCAGCTGGGCCGGCTCCCGTAGTGGAAGCTCGTACTCCGGGTCGCCACCTGCCCCCAGCAAGCCCAGCCAAATCATTTCCTTGAAAAAGCAGAAGAAATTCAAGAAGGGGAGTCCACCCCTGGCGGCTCTCATCAGGTACGGCAGCAGTCCACCGGTAACGCTGGACCTCAATGCCGGCCTCGGTGCTGCGCCTGGTCCGTACACGGTTGTGGACGCCGGTCTCCCTCAACCTGTGCAGCTAGACTTGAACAAGCCTATCCCTCCCCACACGCGCGTTACGCTCAAGCTTGCTTCCGCCGAGGATCCGGGCTACTACTATGGCCTGGAGGCCCGGCCCGTCGACCCGGCGCAGCCGCGCGAGGAGGCCGGGTACTACTGGGGCTACCAGACACGCCAGGCCAGCAGCCTGTCGGCCGTGTTCACCGAGTGCCCGTTCGACGGCGGCTACGACTTGTCAATCGGCACGAGCGAGCGCGGCATGCCCGTTTCGGACATCCTGGCTCGCGGTGGAGTGCCCAAGGAAGACGTGGGCGGCGGCGGCGGATCTGACGGCGGGCGAGGATTCGCTTTGCCGCGGGGGTTCGAGCACATGATGCTCGTGTTCGGCGGCGTCTCCGGACTGGAGGTGGCGGCCATGGCGGACGAGCATCTCGTGGCCAAGGGCGTTACGGGAAAGAACGTCGGCGACATGTTCGATGCGTGGGTGAACCTAGTGCCGAACCAGGGCAGCCGCACGATCCGCTGCGAGGAGGCCGTCTGGCTGGGCCTGATGGGCTTTGGCGAGTACGTCAGGCGCAATGGCGAAAGGTAAGTCGAGCCAGTGATTACATCCTTCTGGCTCTAAAAGTCGTTTAGCAGCATTTCCTGGAGCATGTGGGTGTCGGAACTTACTTGCACGGAGGGCTTGGGCATATGGCTGGCGTCGTTTAGTGTTCGCTTCAATGCATCTTCTCAAAAGCACCTGGAGGCGTGGATGACGTGTGGGATGAAAACAAGCTGTGCGTCATTGGGAGATCTGCCACGTGACTGCGTTCCCCGGCCGAGCTCGAACTTTTTCCGCGACGCTGGCCGCCGAACATCCTCCGCGCGAGTCTCGAGAGTGTGGCATAACGCGTTGCCGTCCCACTGCCCGCTCAACGGCTTCGTCGCCCGCGCCCGCCGCAGTCACAATGGTCTCCTCGCTGGCTGTACCGCGCACCCCGCTGCTTGCGCTTCCCTTCCGCACTGTCGCCGCCGCCGCCACCACCGCCGCCCGCGCTACTAGCTACCGCCGTCTTTCCTCCGCTACGCCTTCCATCTCCACTTTCCCACGCCGGCCACCCCAAACGCGGATACTGCAGCAATGCATAGCTGGCGAGAGAAGCTTCGGCACCGTGCGAGCCAGGCAGGCGGAGATGTCTGCAGGCCAGAGGCGCATGGTCAATGACATGCAAAAGCGCAAGGCGATGCCGAGCATGGTCACCATGCAGACGCAGAACCTTGACGAGATGCCAACCGACATCGGCCTCATGCCTGGTATGCTGCTTGTCTCATGCTATTGCTTCTGGTGCCATTGAACCCGAAGCGCTGGCTCTGCGCTTCTCGGGGTCCAAGGACGCGAAGATCGCAGAGCAATGCCTTAGAGCTTGTGAGCCGAAGGCTAACTCGTTGGTGTTCGATTCTAGACACGTTCATCAGGCCGACGGGCTCTAATCTACCTGGGCTGTTTGCCGAGCCGAAGCTGAGATTTAAAATGGAGTACCATTGGGCGAAGACAAGGATTTACGACATTGTCAGGTAGGTTGGTTCCGTGCAAGAGGAGGGCCGTAGCCTCAGATTATACTGACCACTGTCTTCGTATGCGAAATAGCCGAATTGTGTATAAGTGGACGACAGTGAAGCCGCGCCCCGTCATCAATAGGCGCGGCATGCGAAAGCTCGCACTCCGGCTGCACAAGGATATGTACACGGCATTCGCATAGTAAGAGCCCAATACCACCCGACGCGCAGAGTGGTCAACTGCTGACCTCTCTTAAGCGGCGACACCGAACACATCTCCCGTATCTGTACCGATGGTGTCGCGACGACGCTCCGTTCCCGCATCAACGCCCGCAAGCCAAACGAGCACCTTTCCTGGGCGCGGTTATCGCACTCGCGACCGCGTATTGTGTCGGATCGCATCGTCAAAATCCCCATCCCTGGCGTTGATACAAAAAAAAAGCCATGCTGCATCCGCCAGACTGTCTTCCGCATTAAATCAGAGCAGGCGCTGGTGAAGGGCTACTTGCTGGCAGGCAAGGCGGGACGGCGGAGGTTGTTGGATGAGGCTGGTAAGGAACTGCCTCTTGGCAAGGATGGAGAGATCACGCCAGAGCGCATGCAGCAGAGTGCGAAGACTGTACATGAGTATTTTGTGCTTCAGAAAAGGATGTGGATGGGCAAGGAGGAAACCTGGTCCGTATGGGGCCTGGTGGACGAGTCGAGTCTTGACGAGCTCAATTAATGGTCAAGTAGGGCTGGCGGAGGGTTGGTGTGGTGGCTCAGTAGGGAAGAGCGATGCTGTGCGCCTGGCGAGTCAGCACCTGCAGTGAGGGTCTTGCTGGATGGCATTGTGGCATGGATGGGCCGATCGAACGGGGGCCGAGCAGCAGGGCGAGCTGTACACACATGTACGTTGTAAATCTAGCGGCATCAAATAGAGCACCGGGCAAGCTGGCGGCAAACATGGCTGGCGAGCGATGACGGAGAGCGGTCCGGGATCGGGCGGTTTCCCTCTGTTCCTTGCTTTTTGGCCACGGTCCCTGGACCCTGGCGCTAAGCCCTAAGAAAAAATCCGGGGAAGAAGGAACGAACGGTTTCCAGGCGCAGGCGCCATCCGACCACACCTCCCCATCCCATCCCCAAGCTCTGGCCGCCTCTCACTAAGCCCGCCCTTTGCACCCCTCCAGCCCGTGCCTCAACCACGCCCTCGCACCACTCGCCGCAGGACCCAAGCCGCGCCCCGTCTGTGTTCCCGGTTCAGCGCTTCCCAGGTTCGCCGCACGCCTCCTCCCTATTTTCTCTCTCCACCCCACCTTCCTTGCTCGCGGCTCAGTCGGTGCCCTGTCGCCATGCCTTGAACGCGTGCACGCAGGATAAAACAGGGCCCAACCTCTTCTCGTTTCCCATCTCCCGTCACCTCTGCTCTCACCCGCGCTCCTTTTCTGCTGCGCCAGGCCCCAGTCCCTTGCCCGTCTACGTCGCCCCATCAGTGCGCAACAGCTTGCTTTTCAATGACGCGCGGACAGCCTCTCAGCCAGAACCAGCGTGTGCACCCCGCAGTCCGTTAGCTTGCCTGCTACCCGTCTACGCACCCTTTTGTTTTCTGTTTCACTCATTTTGCGCACTCGTGATTCCACGTCAGCAACAGAGGCCCTGGGACCTGCATCCATCTCCCAGTACCATTTCGCGGCCCTCGCCATCAGCACCAGTAAACATACATCGGCGCCCGTCATCGTCATCGTCATCGGCATCGGCGAACAGGAGGGCAACGCGCAAATGTCGTCTCAACTGCCGCATCAACGTGCGCGTCCCGGACCCCGCCATCCTTTCGCAGCCTCGGCACCCTCAGCTCCACTTGCTCAGCCACAATCGGTGCCGTCAACACCTCCACCGTCATACACGCCCAAGGACCCTTTCGCCCCGGATGACCGTGTCTCGTCGCCATACCAGACGCAAGGCATTCCCCAGCCGCTAACTGCCATGTCTACGTCATCCCGGCCGCCATCCCGGCCGCCATCCCGGCCGCCATCTCGCCGATGCTCCAACTCGGCCAACACAGCGATCCCCACATTCTCTACACCAGAATCTCAGCAACAGCAGCAGCAGCAGGCACATGCCACGGCCCAAGTTCACGCTCGCCGTCGCTCTAGTGCCGCCACTCGCATGGCCACGGCCTCGTCACCGGACCTCAGCCGAACGCTGTCTCGCGAGGATCCTGGTGTGGATTCGATCAGCAACCCGCAGTCTCATACTGTTGACCAACCGGACTCTCTAAACGCCGAACCACCCTCTTCCGCTCTTCATCCTCGCATAGCCGTTGTGCTGGGGGTCAAAGAGTCCTGGCACATCCCGCTGCTGTTGTGTCGGGGCTTGGCCACGGCGCCTCCCATATGGTGGGGTGTAAGATGCTTGTTGCTGCTTTGGAGTCTAGCAATCAGTGCATTGAGAGGAGGTTCTGACACGGATGTTGAATGGGGGGTTGCTGGATGGAGAGGTGGCGGTGTAGGTGGGAGAGCAGGGTTCGATGGGGATGGAGCAAGGACAGGGTCTGCAATGGGAAACGTGGCGACAGATTTTGTCATCACAGAAGTTGCATTGGCGGCATTGTGGGTGAGTGGAATTCTTGTCGTGAGATGATCTTTTGGGGAGCATACTCGCTCTTGAAGAATATGTGGTGAAGACAAGGAACGATGAAACGGTCTGAGAGGCGAGGACATATTCTGGAAGATTTCATTTCGGATGAGAGGGTTGGTTGGCTAACTTACAGTTTGATGTGTAGTGCACAGCATCAGGATATCTCTCCTTCTACTTCGCGGATTGCCTAATGTCTCGATGGTAAGTGTCTCTCCTCAGCTCAGCTTCCGCGTAAAGTTTGGTTTTGGGACATGAAGTGGATCGGATTGCTTGGGATGGCTTCTTGCAAAAAGCAGAATGAGAATGGTTGGACCGGAGAGCAATACGAAGAGTTGAAGTAAAACAGCGCATCGGGAGACAACCAAGACGCGTGGAACTAGTGGTCTACAACTTTGCTGACGATGCGACCTTCCACTACACAGGTTGCTCAATTACACGCCCCCCGCCACCCTTGTCCGCCTCTTTACCCTCTCGGCCATCAACGTCTACACAACCTCATGGTGGCTACATCTTTCCGGAGCGAGCTCTGACCCCCGTCTCCTACTTCCCGCTTGGATGAGTATTGCCAGCGTAAGTCCTTGCTGATTGTTTTCATGTCACCCCACACATTCACGCCGTCCGCCACCGCAAAGCAACCAAGGCTGACGAAAGGAGCGTTAGACACTAACGATCCTATATCACCTGGCTCATCGCCAAGTCAACATTCGCCGCGAGACCCGGGCCGCCGTCCGCGCGTTCTATGTCTCAAGCAGCGTGAGCTTGTTTCTAGTATTGCTACATATCCACCTCGAGAGGGGCACGTGGAGGGCCGCGCCGTTGGTGGGGGTTGTGGAGAGAGTTGCCCGCGCTTGGAGGGAGGCGAGAGTTCCGATGGCTGGCGGTGATGGAGAGTTGTGATGGTCTCGAGTTCATGTACTCTTTCTTCTGCTGGTTCAGTCATTATGCATGCCGTGAGAGGTTTGGTGTGAAATCCCGCAGGCGGGAAACGATTCGAGGTTCACATAATTTGGTCTCCGAACATCCAGTCTCTTTTGTCTTTCCCCAGTGACTTATCGATGAGCAAGAGTGTCTCCATGAAATTTTGACGATGTCTTTGCCTTGTTCAATTTTACCGTAGGATTTTTACTGCCTGCAATACTTCCTGAGGGATGACGCTTTTGGACTCCCTTTGGGCGAGGGATTGGCAGCAAGATATAAATAGCCTTTCCGCGGCAGGGATACTTTCCACCCGTCCACTTCCCGCGAGACAATAATGCCTCACAGCTACCGGCGCGACGGCAACTGGGGCGGTTAGCTCCCTTGTGGCTCTTGGATCAGCCGGTGCACCAAACGCCTCGCCTGGCATGCCTTTAATGCACAGATCATCCTTGGTGTCCTTGGTGCAGTACCTAAAGGGAGCTGCAATCCCAGTCATTTCGAGGACTCGCTGATCTTGGATGATCAGACAAAGACAGTACGTATGTACCTAAAGATGGAGCCCCAGCCGCCAAAATCCGCGAGGCAAAACAATGCGGAGTTCGGCGGTCGGGCAGCAGCAAGCGAGAAAAAAAAAAGCCGAACATGCGTTCTTGCAGTCTGCCGTTGAACAGCCCCGGCCCCTGGTTTGCCCACGTCATCGTCATCGGCCACCAGCCCGGAAACAACCCTTTCCTCCCCAAACCCGCTGACCGAGAAAACGGAGTTGTTGCGGGTCAACCTTCCCCGCACACATTATATTGCCTTTTTCCCCACATCGCAACTGGAAAACCTTCCCCACAGAAACAACAACGCCGACAGGTGATGACCGGCGCCGGGGGTGGTTAATAGTTCTCGCGGCGGCGCCGGTTATTAGGAAGGTAGGTAGGTAGGTAGTCACAGCGCCGGCAGCATCGGCATTCCTTCTTCGAGCGCCCGGCAGGGCTAAGCCGCTGCCGCCGCCGCCGCCGCCGCAGGGTGCCGGCTGATGCGGCGGCCAAGCACGGCCTTTTTCATCCTTTCGGTCGTTGCGGCTTTTTTGTTCCGTTGAGGGGGGGACTGGGAGGGCCGCGATCGGCTGTTGGATTTTTTTGTTGTATTTTCGGCTTTTGAAACTCGCCCTTCGTTCAATATGATGTGCGTGTGCGTGTGCGTGTGTGGCGGTCGCTATGAACTCACAGATGTCTTTGGCGACTGCGCTGTTGGGTGAGGGGGCAACGCTGTGAACGTCATTTTGCGACGTTTTCCGGGCCACTTTCTCTTGTTTGGGCTTCAATCGTTATCGTTCTTCGCGGACGCTCGACTGTTTTTGGAGCTCGTGGGATGATTTCATGTTGATCGTTGCGGGACGATGCCGGTCTTTCAGCATTCATTTCATCCCCACAACTTGTTGGACACACTCCCCAAACAACCTGGGAGTGTCGTTACGGAATCTTACGAGCCATTAAATCAATGGAAACAAGTCGGCAGCGATGCTTGGGAACTTGAACTGGAGATTCATCTCGCAGGCCCGTGGCTTCTCCCGGAGCTGAGTGGTTGGATCCCATGGTCAAATTCTCGTAAATAACAACACCGCAGTTTTTTTTACGAACACCTCGTGTCGTTTGCATCGAGAAAGTTGATGCCTAGGCATAGTCTTCGCACGTGCTCGGGAATAGGAGATCATGACTTGGGTAAGGCCGATGACCGTAGCGGTGATTTGCACTTGTTCACATTGCTTAACTACGGGTACAAGTGCTTGATTTAGCGCTACTACACTTCTGTCTTTGAATTTGATTGGCTGGCAGTACATTCATCATAACGTATCTGACTCGTACAAGACCGAGCACTGCTGCTTTTCATCATACCCATGTATTTTGATGGGAACCGTGGTGGTGGTGATTACGGTCAAACAGTGAAGCGTGTAGGAAGACCACAAGCTCTGGGCAAGAGTCGAGTGCGGGAAAACACCACCATACCGTGTATATTTCTGGACTGTTCTGTGGAAAGGTACGGTTCTCCAAGAACGCAAGCATTGTACCAGTTACTTCCGAGGCAGGTATGGCTGACAGCTACACATGATGATGAAACGAGACCTACATTGAAATCAACGACTTGAACGACACGAAGTCCGAGAGCAATTATTCAATAAGCCCCCATGTGCAATCCCTCGAGATTCGGACAATCGACGTATCTCATGTTCGACTACCAGCTAGTCACTTCACTCTTCTACGCACCTGCATCTTCGCACCGACTTGCTTTGAAGCCGCGAGGACTGCCAGATCTTGCTGCTACAGAATTATCGCTTGATAATCTGGGTAGATTATTCTCCATAGCGAGCATACCTCTGGCCTCGCAGAGTGAGGAACCCGAAAGTTATACGGCAGATCAGGCTCACTACTCCGGAGCCTATCGAAAGTAGCTGCACAACTTCGATTGTGGACTATTCGGACGCTCGGGAGAGTATAAAGCGGCACAGATGGGGGCGATTGTGGTCGGCGATAATGAGACGGAGCGTTCGTATTTGGGGCGGGACTAACGGTACATGTATGAAGTCGAGCGTCCGCCAAGTGCGTGGGAAGCCGACAGTGAGTATGCCCAATGACTCACGACGGATGAAGCGTTTGCTGCATCGAGTCCAAACTAAAACGACATATCAGCGTCGTCTACAGGGGCTTAGGAGTATACAGAGAGGGGACTGCTCTCTCGATGAATTTCGGCCTTCCTTCATAATAAACAACCTATAATGGCAGCTGACTCTCGACACACTTCTGCATGGCTCGCAGGAAAGTTGGAGAGAGACGTGCCCTGCCACCGTCTGCTCAAGTAGCGCATAGAGTATACCGTCTCAAAAGTTCTGGGAGGCCGAAACGAACTCGTGGGTCATACTCGTATATTGAAGTCGCCTGCTACTAGCTTCAGTTCAGCGCTAGATGACGAAACATCTAGATAGACTTACCGTTCATGTCAGTTCCTATGGAATAGTGATGGACACAGTGACACGGAGCAATATTTGCACAGTCCACCTCTCGGCCAATGCCCCTGAAAGACGTAGAGCGATAGCGGTCACAGGCGGTCACATGCCAGTCCAAGCCAAGTATCCAGACCGAGGCGATTTGGACTCGAGTCTCAGCGACCCCGGCAGAACCGGACAACTCAACAAGAGCAGTCGTTCTAGAGTGCGAGTCTGCGTCGGGCCTTACCGCTCTAGTTTTTGGGTGGCAAGAAGGCCGAGAGAGACGCAGTGATGCCCGGCCGGTGAAGGTGCCTCGACGGGGCTTGACTGTTGGCCCCTGTGCTTGGGGCCGTCCGAAGACTAGGTTTTTTCAAAAAGAAGTGGGTTTACCGTCGTGTTTCGGCGTTTAGTGATGCATGCGGACAAACCTGGAGACGCGCGGCATTTTTCAGTCGAAGGAAGTGGCGTTCTGGACCCTCAGGACTGAGCCTTTCGGTGCAGCATTTCTTGACGCGCTCTGTTTCTCTGGGTGACAAACGCCACAATCCACGAGCAGACGGCTCCATTGTGGCAAAATGGTGAGGCTGCGTTTGTTGGGACTCGACGATGTCAGGAACTAAAAGGGGGCCACCGACCGTAAATGGCCGATTGGGAGGGTATTGCGGGTCGAAGCGGGAAGTGGGCGGCTACTGGGGGCAAGCGATTGGACTGAGACGGCCGGAATAGCCCTTGGAAGGCGGATATACGGCTTCCTTTGGCCATGGAGATGATTGACAGCTGTTGGGCCAGAACATAGAGAAGCGGAGCAATCCTGGAGGCACAGCACCCGACAGGCTCTGATTCGCCGCCTGCAGTGCGGCGGACGGGAGTAGAGAGCAGTCGGTACTGTAGTGATATCAAACGGGTAGGGTTGTTATGACCGGAAAAGGGGTTCCCGTATGATTTCATGGCGGAGATGGCGGAGCATTCTGATGCATCAGCGTGAAGATTTGGTTCCACGCGTCAAAGGACGGCGCACTCCAGTGAGATTTGCGTGGAGACAGACGCATGGAGTAACAAGTCCAAAGAGTGGCATATTAACTGGAGCACCTAATGCGACGTGGGATGGGCGAGGTTGATAATGGGAAGTGCAGATACAGGGATGCACACCAGCCTGTCGATCGCGTCTGGCCTTGGCCCCGCGTAAGACCGGAAGCGGTTCCTGGGCACCTGGGCTGCCAAAGACCGACGCTGACAAGCATGCAGTTGCCGACACGCGTGACTTGGCAGGCAGGGCGTGAAGTGCCAGCATTGGGAGACGGGAGCGGAGTGACGTGTGGTGTTGAGCGCGCTGGCCGACGCCGTGGCAGCGGGCTCGGTGACGCAGTGTCTCACGACTCAGCAGCACGCGGCGGGCTGGTAGCAAGGCAGGGTGGCAGCTTGCGGTGAAGGCGGCCAGGAACCGGGGCAGATGACCATGTGGCGGGACCCGTCCAGCGGCGAGTGGTTCGCGACGTAGCAGGCCTTGGCGCGTCTCCATGCGGTAGTCGGGTGCCTTGGAGGCTCCATGTTCGGACCCGTGCGGCTGAAAACGCGAGGCTTGCCGCCCAGCCAGTCGCGCGCGCGGCACAACACCGCGCAGTCGGGATGGGAGGGCTGTTCGTCATGTGCGCAGGCCAATGGCGCCGGCTGCATGGCCAGAACAGGCAGTGAGGTGGACCAGCACGACCCGATCCGCACGATAGCCGGTTCTTCTCCATGGGCAGCTGTGGCAGCGTCTGGGGGACGGCGAGGGATGACGTCGCGTCGGCCGTTTGAGGGAGCGGCCGATTGGCCGGGACGCATGATGTGCCGGCAGTGGCTACCGGGTGGCTCGCGCGCCGCGCGCTCGGCCACTGCGCCTGCCCATTGCGCCGCCATTGACGTCGGCCTTTGACACCACCGCCTGCCGCTCTGGTCCGCCGTTACCCTGCGCCGACCCTGCGCCGCTGCAAAACACCGAATCTGCCGCCTCTCATACGTCGGCCAGCCTGCTGACTCGCCCTGTCCCACAATGCCGCCGCGCGCCCGGTCCGCTTGGCGGCAGTTTCCTCCTCCCACGCCCCGAACGGGAACGGGCTTCCGACCAGACAAGCTCACCTCCCCCGGCTGTCTCCACAGATGGTATCCCCAGATCACGGGCTAAGGCCCAGTCCGGAGCCCCAGACGGTGACATGCCCTGCATCCCAGCCCGGCCTGGCATGGGCATACGCCATCCCGTCGACCCATGCCGCCGTTGCGCCAGACGCCCTCGGCGCCGACTATAAAACCTTCGCAAAGCCCTCCAGGCTGTGCTGTTCTCTACCCGGCAGTTCAAATCACTTGCTTGATCGTTCACACCACCCATCATGGATCCCACCGACAAAGACAGCGCGAAGCTCTCCAAGGGCAGCGCCGAGTTCCACGAGGATGTCAACACCATGAAGGTCGTCCCGACCGCGGACCTCCCCGACCTGATGGCCGAGGAGGTCTCGTATGGTCGTAGCGGTCTTCGCGGTCTCCTCGATTCGCCTTTCGTCTTCGGTGCTTCCTTCCTGGCCTCTCTCGGTGGCTTCTCCTTCGGCTACGACCAGGGCGTCATCTCCATCATCAATGTCATGCCCCAGTTCCTCGCCGCATATCCCATCCTGAACCAGGGCGGTTTCTATACCGGTCTCATGACTGCCATGCTGGAACTCGGCGCCTTCCTGGGCTGCTTCTTCATGCCCTGGCTCGCCGACAAGATCAGCCGGAAATGGGCACTGACCGTCGTCGTCGTCATTTTCTGCATTGGCGCTATCATCCAGACCTCTGCTCCCAACTACGGTGCTCTCGTTTTTGGCCGCTTCTTCGGAGGTATTGGCGTCGGTACTTTGGCACTGGTAAGTTCGCACTTTGTCACTCCTCAGTGACATGACACTTACGATACAACAGGGCGCACCGCTTTACATCTCGGAGATCGCACCTCCGAACCTCCGCGGAGCTCTCCTTGTGCTCGAGTCCGTTTCCATCGTGGCCGGTGTGGTTGTTTCGTACTGGATCAGCTACGGCACCAAGTGAGTCGAATCCACACGCTAGACACCTAACGTGGGCTAACAAACTTGTAGGGAGCTTGAGGGCGAGATCGCATTCCGTCTTCCCTTCGGCCTCCAGATGGTCTGCGCCATCCTCCTTGGCACCGGCATCCACTTCTTCCCTTACAGTCCTCGTTGGCTCGGCTTGAAGGGCCGCGAGTCAGACTGTCTGCAGAGCCTGTCTCAGCTTCGCCGCCTGCCCCCCACCGACAACCGCGTCCAGGCTGAGTTCCAGGCCATCATGACCGAGGTCGAGTTCCAGAAGAGGGTTGTCGAGCGCAACCACCCCGGCCTTTCTGGCTTCAAGCTCGAGATCGCCACCTGGCTCGATCTGTTCAGGAGAAAGAGCTGGAGGCGTACGGCTGTCGGCACTGGTATCGCCTTCTTCCAGCAGTTTTCTGGTATGTTGTCTCCTGGTCAGCTAGACATGGCAAACAGCAAAGGCTAACTGTGATCAAGGCATCAACGGCTTCATCTACTACGCTCCCATTCTTTTCCGCTCTTTGGGCCAGACCGACGAGATGTCGCTCATCCTCTCGGGCACGCTCAACATCAGCCAGCTTTTCGCCGTTATTGTATGCTTCTTCATCATCGACCGCGTCGGCCGGCGCCCGCTCGCCATCTGGGGCGCGATCGGTATGATGACGCCGTACATCGTCATGAGCATCCTGGTCGGGCTCTACTCATCGGACTGGCCAAGCCACTCGGCGGCAGGCTGGGGGACCACGGCCATGGCCTACATTTACACCTTTTTCTACGGCGTCTCCTATTCGCCTTTGACCTGGGTAAGCATTCGGCAAGATTCCACTTATTGTTGAGAAATGCTAACAGCCTTGAAGTGTCTGCCCAGTGAGATCTTCCCCAACGGCACTCGTGCCAAGGGCGTTGCGCTGTCGACATCGGTTGTCTGGCTGGCCAACTTCATCATCGGCGTCATCGTTCCCACTATGATCGAGCAGGCCGGCTTTGGGACTTATGTCTTCTTCGCCTGCTGGTGCGCGCTCGCCGCTGTTTGGGCCTACTACCTTGTTCCGGAGACCAAGGGCCGCACCCTCGAGCAGATGGATGAGGTCTTTGGCGACAACTCGGCGCAGGAGGAGCGCGAGATTATGGCTGAGGTGTTGCGCAGCGGCGGTGCGAGGAGGGCGGATGAGCTGGTTCAAGATGTGAAGGTGTGAGCGTGCGGTCAGTGGTTTTGACACGTTATATACCCCTCCTATTTTCCCGCATGAGCTGGCGTAACGATCATGATAGCGATTTGAAATTAACATCCGAAGAAAAGAAGAATTTCCCGGTGATTTCGCGAGTGTGACAGTGAGCTTCTCCGACAAGTAACTAACGATCAGTCCCTGGTGTTCGGCGCTCGAGGTCTGCTCGCGGAGCGTGTGTACAAACCTAGAACATGCTCGTTCGGATGATGGCGCTGTTTTGCGCCGCGGTCTTTTTCCATGGCTGTGCATTCTGAGAAGGTACGGAGCATCAGATGGTAGTCCCTTTCTGATCGCCGGCTGATGACTCGCACACACAAGGGTCCAGGGGCGACTGCGCATCACCAGGAATGCCTGTTCGGCAAACCTGCTCCCGCAATTCAGCCCTATTCTCGCAGCTTCTCCCGCTAACGAAGCTGGCGTGGGCTGAAGGCCAGAGAGTGCCGCGTGGTTCGCGGGACTGGACAGAGGCTGTTTCCGGACCTTACTCCGCGCGTCCCCAGGCGTCCAGTCGAGCGAGTACCTAATGTAGCGAGCTAGGTACCCCGCCATGCCCCACAACCACGTCCGATCACACCTCTCTCGTTTTTCTTTTCCCGACCTCCACCGCTCACCCGCCCACTCGCTGACGTCTGATGACACAAGCCGGTACCGACGCACAGCCCATCTCGACAAACCAGATCGATCGCCCGCCCACACCCCACGGGCGCAATTGAGCCCGCTCCGCACTCCTCCGCACTCTCCTCCGCATCATCGTCCCACACCTGCACAACCGACGTCGACCATCGACGACGTTCGGCCATCCACTCACTCACTCACCCACCGCACACCAACTCCACCCAAAAAAGACAACACCAACCCCACAATAAATAAGCAAAAAAAAAGAGAAAACCAACACCAGCCAACACCAACCATGCCGCCGCCCACGACGACCTCATCATCACCCGCCGCCCAGCACCTCTCCCCCAGCACGCCCCTCATCCTCGACGGCGCGCTGGCGACGGAGCTCGAAGCGCGCGGCCTCTCGCTCGCCACGCGCCTCTGGTCCGCCGCGGCGCTCGCCGCGCCCGCCCCGACGGCCGCCATCCGCGCCGTGCACGCGTCCTACTACGCGGCCGGCGCGGCCGTCGCCACCACGGCCTCGTACCAGGCGTCGGCGCCGGGGCTGCGCGCGGCGGGCTACGCCGAGGCCGAGGCGCGCGCGCTGATCGTGCGGAGCGTGGATGTCGCGAGGGAGGCGAGGGAGGAACAGCGACGACAACAAGGTGCTAGTAAGGAGATGCTGGTCGCGGGGAGCGTCGGGCCGTACGGCGCGTTTTTGGCGGATGGGTCCGAGTATACGGGGCGGTATGCGCTGAGCAGGGAGGCTTTTAAGGATTTCCATCGCGAGCGCGTGGCGCTGTTGGTGGGGGCTGGGGCGGACGTGCTGGCGCTGGAGACGATGCCGAATCGGGTGGAGATCGAGGCGGTGGTGGAGCTGCTGAGGGACGAGTTTCCCCAGACGAGGGCGTGGCTGGGCGTCACGGTGAGGCGGAGGAGGGAGGCGGTCAAGGGCGGGGCGGTGGCGGCGGTGGAGGAGGCGGCGGTGGAGCTGAGGAGGGTGGAGACGGGGGGCAGCTTGGCCAAGGAGGAGGGGTCGGCCGAGGGCGACGAGTTGGTGCTGAGCGATGGGAGCGGGTTGAAGGGTGTGGGGGAGCTGGTGAGGGACAGCGAGCAGGTCGTCGCGGTGGGCGTGAATTGCGTGCCGCAGGACCTGGTCGTCGAGGCGTTGAGGGCGTTGAGGGAGGGCGCGGGTGAGAAGGCGTGCGTCGTCTATCCGAACAGCGGCGAGGTGTGGGATGCGGAGAACAAGGTGTGGTTGGAGGGTGAGGCGACGGGGGGTAAGGCGTTAGAGGAGAGGGTGAGGGAGTGGTGGAAGGAGGGTGCTAGGTGGATTGGTGGGTGTTGCCGGATGGGGCCGAAGGACATCAAGGTGATCCGGCAGGTTGTGGAGGAGCTGCAGAAGGGAGGCTAATCTGGCCTCGTTCCTTCCTCGCTGAACACTAAGCATTAGCGCCCTGTCCCTTGTAGGAAAAAAAAGCCAAATTCGCGTATTCGAAGTAGCTTCCTTCTGCATTCAGGCTCTCAGCATGTGCAAAGCGGTGTGCGTGTATACAATGTGACCTCTGCAGACCACTGAGGATCCGACCACGAGTAATATACTTCATCGTCACTAGCCTTTGCCGTTCGCATTATTATAAAATGCCAAAGTCAATTTCACTTACTGCGACCTCGGGGCTAGAGGTAGGGCTTTTCCTCGAGATATTGCAATCCAGACACTGGGCTGGCCGGCCCTCTCCCTTCACCGGTGCCATCAAGGAGCCGTGCAGCAACGGTTGCGGAGACTGGTGGTGCATGCGGTTTCCAACATTGCGCAATTCTGCTAGACATCGTTATTCATGAAACTGCTCACACTGCAGCTGTGATGGCAGAATAAACCTTGTGAGCAAAGTGGAGTGGCTTTTTGTGCTTCAGTCGGTTTCGAAATTCCACGTCGGTATAACAGGATATACTCGTTGAAGTCAGAGGAAGTATACAGCTGCAACTTCAAGTTGAGAGCACTTCTGCAATCCGACCATCTTCGATTGGTCGGAAAGAAGGTAGCCTTCGCGTGGGCTTTATTTAGTATCTCTTCCAGATCCTTGAGCGAAGCTTGAAAGGCATCCAGTTGTCCAGGTTCCCGGGGGCGTTTGTTATCATGACGAAGCCATTGCGCTGCGTTGTCGAGATCTTGTAGTCTGCGCTGACTGCGGACGACCAAAGGGGGATGTTTGAGGACAATGCAGTCAAAGGCTGGAGTCAAGGTGGAGGTTGTATTGGGCATCAATGGGGTGGTTTTGAAGCTGTAGGGCGGGACGGCACAGCCAGAAATAGTCAGGCAGTCGCAGCTATGAGCCGGAAGAACCGGGCGCGCGGTCGCGGTTCGCAAGCCGTGGCCAGGGTCTGTGGCTGTGGTGCCTGTTTTCCTGTCCGCCCGCGTCTACTCCAACGACTCCTCGCCCAACTCCCTCCACAACACTCTTCTTCTTTACTTAACACGCACTATCCCAGGCACATTCTCACTCCATAAAGATAGCTGGACGCTCTTTTGGCTTCAGATCGTCCTTCCTTGTCGCGCGCGACAGGTTGAACGAAGCTGGCGACACGACGTTCAACGCGCCTCTTGCTCAACACCTGCCTCGCCAGCATGACAGCGCCGTAGCTCGTGCATGGCATGGCATTTCTTATGGTTGCGGAGTCTCACAGGAGCCTTGGTCCTATAGCACAACGATTTTTCCTGCTAATCGTGGTTGCCGCTGATCTGGGTAGTGGGTACTCTCATCCGCCGTTCGCCACCCGCTATTTGACGCTCATGGCACCAACCTCCCACGGCCAGAGCTAAGCTCGGCTGCCTTATCGCAACAGCTCAGAAGCATAAAGATAAGTTCACCACAATGTTCGATCACACGCTCGCTCGACGCGACTTCAGTCGTGCACTGTAGGCGCCTCTGCTTCTGCCACGTCCAGACTCTTTACAGCACTTTCTCACTTCACCTTGCTACAGCAAATCCCAACCCTTCAGAAGCGATAAAGATCGGTTTTCTAATGTGAGTCATCTCACCTTTCCTCTCGAAGACTCGGTTTCATTCAACCTCCGCCCAGAACCCATCGCCTCGCTACACGCCTCGGGCAGATCAGCTGCCAGCAGCGCGAAGCTTTAAAAGCGTCTCACCCGCTTTCAAAACCTCGAACATCTCTGCATGGTGAAGCTACCTCTGGCGCGTGTTTACGGTTTTGGTTTGGCAGTGATAAACCTCTCCAAAGCGATGGACAAGACCGCAAGGTAAGCTCTGGTCCCTTGCGACACTACATCCTCATCGCCAGTATGCAAAACTCATAACAAACTGTTATGTTTGCTCAAGAAGCTTTTGAAAGATTTCTTCATGTTACGCTCTGACCAAGCATCTCAGCTAAAATCCGTTGTTGCCCCCCATGGCCTCCTTGAACACGCAAAATTGAACCACTTCCCTCGTTCAATCAAGTATGATCGGTCCAGAGAGCCTCGAATGCTCTTCTTCATTCCACAATATTCCAGTTGAGACAGGTCGAGGGTCAATTTCTGGTAGTTGCATTGCAACTAACTCCCACAGGCTGCGCCCTGGAATACCATGGAGAGTTCGGAAAAGGAACGAAAATGACCTCGTCCTGCTGCCTATTATTCTGTAAGTATATCTGGCTGTGCCATCCAACAGGCTTTGAACCATTACTACAGTCCTACACCACGCTTGTGGTAGGTCAGACAACCGACCCAAAATGGGCCGCCGGCGTTGAGCTCGCCTCTCGAAGCCCACTCTCCCGAGGGTGTTGAGGTGGACTCAGCGCCCATGCTCCCAGGGTTCCATCAGGAACCGTTGCATGCGCGCGGCTAGACAGAATGCCTTGTCAGATTAACCGCCTGAGCTCTATTTCCGCTGTGGCGGTCTAGAGACAAAGCGACAAACCCGTCAATATCGTGGGCCGGAGAGCTGGCTTTATCTTCCCATTCCCGTGGGATGGTCGACCTTGCTGGGAATCCCTGCTACAGGGGCCAAGATTGTAATCCCCGTTGGATGTCTCGGAAGGTCGTCCCTAGATAATAGGCGCTTCTCCTCTACTTCAGGGGGAAACCCCCGTCTGAAATCCGGGTGTTGAAGTCTTCAACACTGACTGGCCATGTGCTACCGGGGGTCTTCCCTTTGGGAGATCTGTCGGTGATCAAAGCCAAGATTGATTCTCCTATAAACTAATCTTTCTTGTCGAGACATACAAGGAAGGTAAGAACAGGGAGAGACAAAGATCGACCGTGGTGCTCTTCTTAATTTATCCATACCAGTCTCTCATTCGCCTTCTATTCTTCCCCCATGTCGCGAGTGCATGTTTTCCTTTACATTTTAGTTTTCGTAGTCATCCCAGCACTCCGGTCTCTTGCTCTACCGTCTGGTGTACTATGATGCGTGGCAGACGAATTGGGACATGCAGTGAATTCCGCATGTGTCGATGGTGGGGTTCCGGTGGCAGCCAATCAGGCGAGGTCTTTATCTACTTACTTCAGTATCAAGCAGTCTTGCCGTACGCTGCACTTCCGCCTTCGAAGCGAGATGTGACATCGCTCCGCGCAACCATCCTCGGAACGCTCGCACGGGTCCAAGGGACGGCACCAATGAGAGCCGGCCCTAGAAGCACGCGGGACCCTTGCTGCACCAAATTTACCGACTGCGCCTGCGTCACGAATTATGGACATAAAGCGAGACATGAAGCCCAACGGTGCTCCAAAGAGGGTCGCTCCCCTGACCGTCCTTCTGCTGGCCGCATCCTCCATCTTTCTCTTGCGGAGCATCGGCATACCATTATTGGGTCAGCACTCAACGCCAACGTCGCATCCGCTTTCGACCGTGGGAACCATGTCGGTTGCCGCCGCCCTATCGCTGAACAGCTCTGTCTCCGGATGGCATCCCCCGAAGTCGACATGGATCACAGACCTGGACGACGTTATCAACGGGACTGGTGTGCACGGCTTCGTTTTCAACGGCTCGCAGCTCCCGGATGGCGTGCCGTATGGCACCTACAACTGGTGCAACATGCCGCATGTCCGGGCCTCCGAGTATCCCAAGCTTGCAAGTGATGAGTATCAACTGGAGTATGTGGAGGTGGTAAGTGCATCCATTATGGTCCTTGAAATCAGTCGCCGCAGGAAAGGAAATGCCATTCACCTCCAAGTCTTGCCAACCACTGCTACAGATACACCGCCACCACAAGCGTACGCCCTACGCCTCTAATACCTTCCCCGTCGAACCATATCCTTGGTCCTGCTCCGACTCCGGTCTCTTCTACTCGGGCGCCCCTCTCAACCCCCAAGGCAACGCCTCAGCCCGCACCTACTGGAGCGTCTACACCAGCCCCTCCAATCCCTTCTCCGCAAGCGGCTTCAACGGCACCTGCCAGTTTCCCCAACTCACGCGAGGCGGACTCGACGACTCCTGGCAGCACGGGCGTGACCTCTGGGGCGTCTACCACGACTTGCTCTCCTTCCTACCATCCGACGACCCCCTCTCCGCCATGGAATTCCGCGTCACCAACAACGTCATCACCTCCCAAGTCGCCTCTATGCTCATCGCCGGTATGCTCTCCCGCTCCTCCCCCCGCTCCTCACAAGACGACGACGACGACGACGACGCCGCCGCCGCCCCACCAGCCGCCTCCCTCCCAGACGCCGCCCCCATCCCCCTCAAAGTCCAACCCTCCTCCATCGACTCCCTCGAACCCACCTACCCCTGCCCCGCCGCCTCCGCCCTCCTCTCCCTCTACGGCCCCGGCAGCAACGCCTCCTCCTCCTCCTCCCTCTGGCACGCCCACCTCGCCGCGTCGCGCCCGCTCTTCGCCGCCCTCGACGCCCTCTCCGGCGTCGCGCCCGACACCAACAGCACCAACGCCGACGAGTGGCACCAGTCCTGGGACCACTACTTCGACAACCTCTCCGCGCGCCTCTGCCACGCGAAGCCCCTGCCGTGCAACGGCAGCAGCAGCAACGACAGCAGCCGCAGCAGCGCCAACGCCAACGACGACGACGACGACGACGACGACAGGGAGGAGGAGGAGAAGGAAGAAGAAGAAAAAGAAAAACAGCACTGCGTCACCGCCGCGCAAGCCGCATCCGTCTTCCGCCTCGGGCAGCACGAGTACGCGACGGTCTGGCGCGCGGCGCCCGAAGGCCTTGCCGTGGCGGCCGCCGCGTACGGCGTCTGGGTGGCGGAGGTGGCGGCGAACATTCGCGCTGCTGTTGCTGCTGCTACTATCGGAAAGAGGGGGCCCGCGCCGGCGGGGGCGGTCAGGTACCGGCACAACGTCGCGCACGATGGGAGCGTGGCGCGGCTGTTGGCGCTGCTGCAGGTGGATGTGATGGTTTGGCCGGGCATGGGGGCCGAGGTCGTGTTTGAGGTTTACACCAAGAAGAGGGCGGAGAAGGAGAGGGAGGAGGAGACGGAGGCGGAGACGGAGACGGGGGAGGGGAAGGGGAAGGGGGAGGGGGACAAGAAGGCTTACGTTAGGGTGTTGTGGGGTGGCCGGGTGCTGCGGAGCTCGCATCCGCATCTGGGCGGTGCGTTGGACGGGATGCTTGATGCGGATGTGTTGCTGGCGTATTTGGATGGGTTGGTGGGCGAGGGCGCGAGTAGGGTGCCTGGGTTGTGCGGGTCCGAGTGAGTGGATGGGTGTTGGAGGCGACTGCGGCTGAGGGTCCAAAAGATGAGGATGGCTTTTCGCAATAATCTCGTCTCTGCAAGACATGCCATACATTTTCGGTAATTCCTGAAAGCTCAGACTGAAGAAACCAAAAGTTGAATTGTCGATCTGGGAGGACAAGCTTGGTACCCGATGATCCGCGCAATGGATCAGGCTGGCGGTTGGCAGAAATTCACTTCGCTTCTGTCTCCTCAGTCTTCGACAATTGTGGGTGGTTAATGATCAGCGGTGCTACACAAAACAGAGCACGCTACATCGGTCAAAGAATAAAAAGCGCTCGAGAACCGGGAATCGTAATAAGAACCGAAACTCTGCATTCATTGTCCTTCGTGTGTGCTGCATGAAACGAGCTCCACCGTCCGCAGAAAAAGGTATTCTGACTACTGAAGGCAAGCAGGGTAAGCTCAGAGAACGCAGATCGCAAAGCCTTCTCCAGCAACAGCCAGGCAGAGAGAGATGGAAAGCTCGTTCAGTCATCGGTCCGCAATTTAGTAGATGAAGGAAGAAAGACCGCAACCGTAAGAAACGAATCCAGCCATATGGGTATCTCGCCAACGCCCGCCCCGGTGTAACCGCCGTCACAAAGCCGGTCATCGCAAAAGAAGTAGGCACGGTGTATATGCGAGCGACGTGTCACTCGCCCTGGAATACTTCTCATATGCCGCGTGGAAAAAGCCTTCACCTTCAGTCGCTGCGGCGGGTGGGGCGAACTGGAGGGCGCTTAGAAACCGTGGACCTGGGCAAGAAACGTCAGACTATGCTCAAAAGAGCGCCGCAGTCGGATATGGCATACCTTGATGGTCTTGGCATCGAGCTCGAGGCCTTCCTTCTTGTCGGTAAGGAACTCCTGGACATCCTTGCGCTGGTCACCCTGGAGCTGGATCACCTCGCCCATCTCGGAGTCGTTGACGATGGTGCCATTGCAGGCAAACTTCTTCTTGATCACTTTGAGGATCTTCTTCTGGTCGAATTTCTTGGGCAAGCCCTGAACCGTGGTCAAGGTCTTACGGCCATTGCGCTCTGTGGGACCCAAACATTAGCCACCGCGCGTCCGTCAAAGGGGTCCCCACGCGAGCACCGACGCCGCGCAGCGGCAGCGACTAAGCCATGCTCGCAGGCGCGGAAGAGGGCACGTACGTTGGATCCGAATATGTATGTAATTCTGAGACTGCTTGGTCTCGCCTGTGTCTTCGTCGGCCTCGGCGAAGGGGTCTGTAGAGGATGGTGGTCAGCGATGCGTTCGCGCCAGCTTTGGAAGGCGACAGTGCCCTAGCGAAGACCGCTGGGCCAGGTACGCGCTGGCGGCAGGGGCGGTCGCGGCGGGCAGGCTCGAGCAACGTCATCAGGCTGACCGAGGGGCAGCCGGGTGGTGGGCAGGGCGGGGCTCACCGAAGGTCTTGAGGTTTTCGATAGTGGACATAAACCTCAGTCTTTGACAACGGTCCTTGCTAAGTGGTGGTAGGAGGAGAGTACGCGGAGTGGGGCGAAAGTCGCGGAGTACGGGCGTTGGAGCGTCGGAGGGCGGTGGATCGAGATGGTGTTGTGAGAAGGCGAAGGAGAGTTGGGCGCGCAGCTAAATAACGAGGGGGGGCTTGCCGCGGGGCGGTCAGTCAGCCAGAACCACAGGTCGCCACATGCGAACCAGACACCTAGAACTGCGTCGGCCTATCGCGCCTCCCGCCTGACTGCACTGCCCGGTCGCGCAGCCGGAGCGCTAGAGACTTTTGGCTTCGCGCACTCGGCCCAGCCATTACCAAACCTTTATTCCGTTGCACTGTTGTTGTTGTCGCCGCCACGTTCTGACCATCCTGCGCGAGCTTTCCCGGGCCTGTGCGACGGCGTCAGGCGCGTTGGGTCACGCACGTCCGCAGCTGACGTATGTGACGGAGCGGAACTTGCGGCTTCCCCAATTCCAGCGCCTGTGATTTGCGTATGTTCTTCACCAAGGAACACGCATCACCTCTCCGAAGGGTGCAAGACGCAGCCCATGCGACCCGGACTGCCAGCACATTCTCTGCCGCTACCCTGCACCACCCGGCCGTCGGCAGAGCTTCCGGCATCCACGGTCTTTGAATGGCCTTTCATAAACTTTGCTTTTTTTTTTTTTTTTTTGAATAACCGCAGTCGCGACGGGCTCTGCCGGCCCGGCCAAGTGCATCGGCCGCATGGCGGCAACTCGACGAGCTTAACCCGCAAATTAATTACGATATGGCTCCAAAAGCAGTCGCAAGGTTCACGGAAACTGAGTCACGCGTCGAAAGGTGCTTTGACTCGGCACTATCTGCATGCTTCCTCGTCTATCGGTACTAGTAATACAATTAGATGGCCTTTGGCCTACTACGCCGGGGGCACTGCTGCCGGAGCCTCGGTGCCAGAGCCTGCATTCGCCCGGTTCGGGGGAGGCGGCAGGAAGAGGGGCATGTAGGACTGGCAGATCCGCGTTAGTCTCCGCTTCGTGCATTGGGTTTGGGGAGTCCTTCTACGTACGACCAGGAGGGACATGACTGTTACGCCAAAGTCAGCAACAAGAAGGTTGAGGGCAGCAAGCGAGGGGTTACACACAGGCCATCATGACACTGAAGTAGCCGGGCGTCGACGCCTTCTTCTTCTGCTCCGGCGTCTCCGCCAGCCAGGTCTGGAGGGCGAAGATGACGGCGGTCCTGGGTTGCAAGTCAGCACGCGTCGCTAGAGACGCGCAAGGGGCGGTCGTGCATACGTACCAGCCGATCATCCTGTTTCAAGTCCGCATTGTTAGCATACTCGCAGGCGGGCCCCAGCGCGTTGTCCGACAGAGCTTACTTGTTCCTCGTGAATATCTATTGCGCCAAGTCAGCATGAGAATCCGACGCAAAGGCCGGCGGAGACACTCACAGCGGCCATGGGCAGCGTGCTGGCCATGGTGCCTGGCAGGGCGTCAGAGAGGGCACGCAGCGGTTCAGCGGGCGGCGTGCATACCAGCAAAATCCGGGTCGGAGCTTGCCTTCTCGTTCGGGTCGGCGTAGGGGACGACTGCAGGCGGCGAGTTAGCTCTCACGTGCGGGCAGCAGCGGCGGGGGTGCACGCGGGCGGGGTGGCCGCGGGCGCGGCGCGGCAGGGCGGCAGGGCGGGCGGGCGGCAGGGGCAGCGCACTCAGGTCGTCGCGGCGCATGTCCTTCTTGGTGGCCATGCTGGCGGTGGTGGTGTGGATATTGGGCGTGCGGTTGGGGCCCCGGATGTTTGGTGTTGGCGTGCGGTGGAGGTTGCGCGTTGGCTCAGGGCCTGGGCGCCTTGCCCGGCGGAAATCTAGCCAGTGGCTTCCGGCAGCCACAATTCCGTTCCCCTCGCGGTGGGTTGCGCAGGGGTCGCCGCGCATGGATCGATGTCCGCTGGCGCTCGGGCGACGGCGCCAGTAGCGCTGCTGGAGCGCAGGTGGGCCTGGGTGCCGGCGTGCCACGCAAAACGTCTGTCAGTGTCGGGTGCAATCACACGGCGCCCTCACGGCGAAGCGGTCAGGGCTCATGTTGCGCAGACGGCCGGCCGCTGCTGGGCGAGATCTCGCAACAAGCGGGCGCAGCCGAAGACGCCCGGCCGCCCGTGCTTTATCTGCCCCCATATCACGCAAGCCAGCGGCGAGCGCGCGACGCTTACGGCCACTAAGCTCCCAAGATTGATCGGCGCATCCTGGCTTGCCCTCCGGCTGCTCTCGCACAGCGCCGCCAGACCTCACCTCCAGCCCACCCATCCACCTCCACACTGAGCGCTGCGCCGGTACGTCCGCCGCCCTGTTGGACGCTCTCGCTGACGCCCTCAGATGTCCGATCCTCCCTGCGACCTCCTGCCCTCACTGCTCGCTTCCTCTCCTCCGCAGTAAACATGTCTGCCCGCGCCTGATCACGCATGGAGCCTCAATGCAATGACTTCTCGTCCTGGCCCGACTGCAGCTCAGCGCGCCACCGCTGGAAACCTGCCACGCCCGCCCATCCAAGGCCGCCCCGCCGTGCAGCAGCACTTCCAGGCCAATGCTCGCCCGCCCGCCGATGTGATTGATCTTACTGCCGACGAGGCCAAGCAGCCGTCTGCCGATGCGCCGCCCAAGAAGGCCAACCAGCAAGACGACCCCCGCTGGGTCGCCCCCGATACCCAGTTCGCCGCCCAAGACGGTTTCTCGAGGCCGCCTCCCCGCGGTCGCCCCCAGATTTCCTTCGAGGATGTCGCCGACGCTGCGACCTCGGGGCTCGGAAGAGCCGCCTCCGCCGCCCTGCGCTCCACCGCCATCGCGAGCTCCGGAAGCCTGCCCTTCCCTCCACGGCCGGGACTTCGTGTGCACAAGCGACAGCCGCAGGGAGCGAGAGCCGCCTCGTCGGCCGCGGGTGGCGTAAAGAAGGACGTTGCGCAACGCAACGGCGTCGTGGAGCCCCCTCCCGACGCCGTGCGGGTATCGCGCGGCAAGACTGTGGATTTCTATCCCTGGGCTGGAAACCATCCCGAGGACAATTTATCGGCCGAAGTTGTCAAGGTTGGGTACTATGACGATCGCAAGGGTCAGGTTGACCTGAATGCGGGGAAATCGTACGTTGGCCCCCAGGTCAAGAACAAAACTACGTTGCAGGCCCTGTCGTCTCTTTTTGTCCAGGCGCTTGAGAAAAGACAAGCGTCGGGGCGAGTGAGAGAGCCTTCGTCTTTCAAACCGCCCCCTAGGATTACAGTCAAAGACACCCAACGCGAAGAATGGCTCCGAGATCTGGCCAATCCCTCACTACCACCGAAACGCAGGATTCCGCATGGCATCCGGGGGAAGCTGCTACTGGAACAGTGTCTCAGCAAAAACATACCCATTTCGCGAGCCATTTGGCTCGCGAAATGTGTCGGAGCGAACGAAATGCGCGCTTGGATGCGCAAGGGTGCAAGTAGTACGGGTGGCATGGGTGGTGAGCTGAAATGGGTGCGCGAGTGGACCGTCTTTGTGGAGCAGTTCGTCGACAGCACCATTAGCACTTGCGGCCAAGATGGTTGGCGTGACAAGATGGACTACACTATCCGGCTGGCCTCGCAGCTATACACTGAGCGACTCCTGGATCAGGACCATTATCTCGACTGGCTTCTCACTTCCTTGGAATCAACGGAGATCGAGCGCCTTCCCGTATGGTTTCTCATGGTTCAAATCTATTGGCAAGATCTGGTCACCGTTCGGCGGCGAGGGCGACGCCTAGCAGAGGCGTTGCTGTTGCAACTTGGCAGCATTACCAAAGGCGACGACCCGGACGTTGATGACCCTCTTGTTCAACGGTCACAACAGTTGATCACCGCTCTAATCCAGGGCCATCGGAATTGCATGGTCATACCAAGGACGTGGAAGAAACACAAGCGCATCCTCGAGAGTATGCTTACCAGCAGCACTCAACCTGCACTTCAAAGCGCTCTCCGTTCCATCATCAGGAGGAACGAACGACTCAGTGGATGGAGCTACAAACCGACCCAAACCCACCAATCCCCGCAGAAAGCCATTCTCTCGGCCCTTGACTCAGTAGCCCTGGACTTCGATCTCAAGGATCTTGCCACTAGGTGCTTGGCAATCATGCCTGACACTCAAGGCCTCGCTGTCACTGTGCTTCAGTGGGCATGCTCTCTTTACCGCGAGGGGGGCCATAGGCTGTACATTGCCGCACGCTTGCTTCGAAAATGGAAATTCATGGGAGCTGATATCGACAGCGCTGTTCTGGCCGTCCTCAGCGATGAACAGAAGCTGAAAGGTATCAAGCATCGGGACTTTTTCAGACTCGTTGCCGAGCTTGTGCGTTCAAAGCATTTCTCTGTCGGCAGATATCTTCAATGGCTGATTGCAAGTGGAAGTTTATCTGCTGGTGGAGACGTCACCAAAGTAAGTCATTCACACGATCCCTACAATATCGCATCCACGTTGACACGCGTCCAGAGCGAAGCCTGCAATGTGCGTCTCATCGCGGAAATTCCTCTCCAAGGCCTTCCAGAGCATGTGCTCAACCTTCGGCAAACATTACTACAAACGACTCTGCAGAACGGTGCATATGAAGCTGTGATGCTTATGGACGACCACAGTGGGATCATCAAGCAACTGTGGTCAATATTTGCCCCTGAGACTGGTGCTGAGATAATCTTCGATATCCCCTTCGTAGACCTGAGCACGAGCGTCAGGCTTGAGATCAGCCGGTGGCTGCGCCAAGAATTACTTGCACGACTGGAGTGAGTTGTGTCGTCCTCTGTACTACTGAGTAATGGTTAACATATCACAGGTCAAGCTCCGGTGACGACGAAGACGAGATGCGAGACGACTACGTGCTCACTGCGACCCGCTTCTACGCTATCAGGGGCGTCATGGAGCAGCTCGAAGATTTTGCCATCCTCGCTGATATTTTGAACATCTCACTGCAATCGGGCGACACGATGATTCTCGCCGCCATCGCCGATACTCTCAACCACCACCATCGGACCTTTGCAGCCATCGGAGCCCTCCGCCCGTTGTTCAATGGCCTTGTCGAGCAGTACGGAAAGTTTAGGCTGGAAAAACCGTCAGAGCGCGCATTTCTTCTCGCGCTTGCCGATCTCTGCTGCAGACTCCAAGCAGAGCCGAATCTCGTCCTCCAACTCACATCCGATATCACCCGATTGGAACAAAGATCTGCAGTGGCGGCGTGCTCGCCCGCCTCCGACAACATGTCTGACTTTCACAGTGGCAAGATGGATTTTGACGAGGAGATCGACCGCATTCTCGCTAGCGGGACCACCATGGATGAAAACATGGTCGCACGAGTTTTCGCTAGGGTCGTCTCGCGCATCGGAGAGCAGACCGGAAAGGAAGATGGTCGAAACAGCAGATATGGACAGTGGCTCCAGCGGTTGAAAGCATTTGATGACAAGACGTTCGACCGCCACATGTCAGACACCATCTCCAGCCTCATACTCAGTGATGGGCAATCGCTACTTCACATCCTTCCGTGCGCAGTCGGGTCGGGATCGCTCTCCCTCGAAAACTTCATTTCTTTCTCGGAGAGCACAATCGGCGTCTTGAAGAAGAGGAACCTCTCAGCTGCAGCTAATGCCTCTTTGCATGTGCTGGATGCTATTTTGCCAATGGAGGGCCTTCAAGGATTTGGGCTTGTGCAAGAGATCTATCGGTACAGGATTGAACAAGAGAAGCTTTGTCAGAACTCGCAGGGGACTGCATTGCAATTGTTGCGGCAAGCTATTGAGCTCTGCTCAGATTCGAGGGACTCGAATCAGCTGGTCCAGCTTGAGGCATTACTACGGAATCAGCGCTTGCTTAAGGTCCTCCGTTACCATGCATCTCGAAACGCGCAAGACTTTTGCGTGTCCTTGGGCATCAGTCCCCCATCAGGAAAGTCAGACGCCGCAATGTCTCTGGACGAAAAGCGCTCAACGCTGTTCAAGAAAATGTTCGACGCCTTGATGGATCCAAGCAGCAGCTTAGGCCTGTCGAACCTGGACGCCGAAGAGCAGGCGAGCACCCTTGTCAATGCCGCGGATGATCTTTCTGTACCGTTTTGCCAACTGGAACTCCAACTGCTCTTCAAGATCCAGGTCTTGTCTGATGAGGAAGGTGAGATCGGTGTCGCAGATGCTATCATTCAGGCTGTCAAAGAAGCTGTGGAAGCGGACAAGTCCATCTGGTCGGATCTTCTTACCGGATTGGATGCCGAAATGACGCGAAAGATTCGCGAGTACGCCGAAACGCACGTCCTTTCCGCCGTCACCACTCTCGCCAAGGCACGCTCAAGTGTCGAGGATTCATCCGTTTCATCTTCCAAGGAAGGCTACGAGAGGATGCTGCAGAGATATCTTTCCGTGCTTAACTTAACCGCTTGGAGTATAGAGGACAAAGCTCAAGGCCAGATCTGCACCGCGATACTGGATAGGCTTCGGACTTTGCATGAGCTGCTTTCACAAGCTGCTCAGTTAGGCCCTGCCGGTGATTCGAAGGATGACACGTTCAAGCTGCGACAAGGCTCTGCTGCAGTCAGTGCTCTTTGTCCCTGGATTTGCGCGCTTCTTCACTTGATTGTGGTCCATCAGTCGGTTCATCAACCTGGCAAGGTAAACAACAGCCACCAAGTCCGTCTACTGTGGACCTTGCGCGCCTTTCTCCTCCACCCAGAGCTACAACCTTATCCCAAGACCACGGAGTACGTCCTCGATGTTGCTGCCTCCATTTCCGACGACCTTCCCGAAGACGCCCGCACACAACTTCTCAGGCATGAGGCCAACAAACCAGTGCATGACCCCCGCATAATCTTCATTCTCGGTTCCCCTTCAACCATGCAGGATTCTTGGCTTGGCCTCATTACTCCTATGCAACCCCAGGCTTCTGGCTCGGCCAATACCCCTAATCAATCGACCGTCAGTAATCCTACCAATACTGCGGCTACATCCCGCAGCACGGCGGCGCAGCATCAGCACCAAGGCTTCTGGCAGGCTCAGGTGCAGCGCACGCAAGCCCAACAACAACGCTTCGGAGTCGCAGGTGCCAGCGTTGTCCCCAATGCAGGTGGGATGAGCGGGAGTGGCCCGACCCCACCTGTTGAATACGGTAAACCAGTGCCGTTCCAACTTCGACGCTGGGAGATCCTCCCAGACTCGACCAGCGGCTCCGGTCCGAACGATACTGCCTTGAGCCTCACATTGTTTGATGCCAAGAAGGTCTGAAGGTCAACCTTCTATGTTCTACAACCGCAACTCTTCAATCGCTCTTCTGTACCTTTGATAGGAGTTCGGCTCCTTTCACCGACTATCTGCTGGCGAGTGTTTCATCACAGCTGGAGCTTGGACTGATACCGCCACGCATTCATATCACGGTTAACTTCTCATGCATACTCTCGCATATTCAGCTACACCATTGGGGCGTTCATGCGTTTCATTTTTACTATCATTTACCATGGGCGTTTCAGGATCATCTTGTTCTTTCATTTTTTCTGCAAGGCGTTTCTGTCAAGGGCATTACCATTTTCCTTCTCAGGCGGGCGGATGTTGATGGAAAGCGATTAGGGTATACCGTATTGTTTTGGGGTTTCGTCCTGGTGGTAATTCATTACTTAGTTCTTCGAAGGAATTTTAGCTATAGCTCTCACGATGAACGTGATTTGGATGCTTGGATTAGAAGCATCGAAGGGCGCGCAAGAGCAGGGGTTTGTTGCATAGTGTTCTTTGATTCTATACCTATTTTAACCAACCTTTCCGTTACTTCCCGGCTTATTTTCTGTTCGCCTATATTCTTATCTCCTTTCTTTTCCATTTGTTCTCTTGGACAACCAAAAGAAAAGTAGATGCAGAAAAGAGAGGGCTCCATAAGAAAATGGCGACGAAAACTCACTCGAGACAAAAGTATCGTGATCAAATGATATGCTCAGATAACATACCGGAGACCCGGTAATTTCAAGTGCTCTTAAGATAATGGTGAATGAAAGGGTGGACGACCGGGACTCACACAGATAAGTCATAGTGAGCAGTATATTCTATAACCCACTACCTTTTCGTGGTTGAGGTAGTTTCTGTACCAGATGATGGTCCGTAAAGAGGCCAATGTATGCAGAATGCCATTCAACGGCGATACTGCATGGGAAAACCTCATCATGTGTGACTCCTTCACGTGTGTTTGGAAGAATGGTAAGTCTTGTATATGTAGCCGAAAATCCCCTGGAGTGCCGAATCTTGCACGGTCAGGGCCACACCCTGTAGAGTATCTAGACAGTTTCCATTGTTGAGGTGAAAATCTTGTGAAGAACTGTGTTCCCAGGTTGGTTATCTCATTCTCCGATATTAGTATTGTTTTGTTTCCCGCAAGTGAGACAAAAAGAAGGCCAAACACGTGGCAAGCCTCGTCGGAACTAGTGGGTCGTAAAGTTGTACGCCTTGTGGCACTAGTGCACGAAGAGTGCCTTCGGCTTAGCGGCAAAGCAATGGATGATGTCAAAGAGAGAAGGCATATAGCACCAGCAACACGGGCAGACAATCGACGTCAGCGGCGGAGGTGCAGTCCGCATCAAGCAACAATGCACATGTACAGTCCCGAAAAACAAACAGAGTACTCTAGACTCACTGTGAAGATCCAAGGATCTCCTTCTTGCTTGCATAGATCTGATGGGTGACAATCGTCATCCCCGCAGTCAGCCACAGGTGGGCTATGCCATTACCGCGTTAGTGCTGCGTTCGATACTTACCTTGATCCACCGAAACTCCAGCAATTGGATGCAGCTTACCCAACCACGTCCTATACCACATGATGCATCTTTGTTCAACGGCTTCCGACTACGAACCGTCCCGCCATCCGCGAGGTACTTGCCGGCGGTAATTTAGCAGGAAACGTCATGATCTCGCCCGCATCGATCAACAGCCGCTGCATTAACGTTCGAGCCGAGTTTGCGCCAATAGGACAGGCGCGAGGTAGCTATCGAATGCAAGTGTTACAGATAGGCTTCAGAGTACCTCAAGCCGAGCCGGACACATTCTAGGCATCTGTTGAACGACGGGGGTTCATAGTTAGCGGTATAGAGGTGGCCCACGATTCTGGGCTAGCCATGCGACGCGTCGCATGAGTAGTACCACACTTCCAGGAGGGTGATGTCTTAACAGGATCCTTTTTCTTTTTAGTGGGGACTGTACCAATTCAAAAGGAAGGGGAAAACAGCTCTAAACATTGTCCGCAATCCTTCGCAGATCTCCACGGGGCTAAAATGCCGCCGCCTCCCCTATATTCTTGCCGGAAGGCTATCCTGCTTCGAGCCCGGAGACTGATGTACGTGCAAGTAAACTTTCCCACGACAGAGACTGCAAGACACGGCTGGACCCGTGCTGATCTGCAATGCTCCCCTCCACCCCCGCTCCCCCGGCATAGATCCCCCTTTTTGGCCTAAGCACGACATGTCTGCTATCCGCTGCTCGGTTGGAGAAGGCTTAATGAGAAACATTGTCGGGAACTTATCGCGGTTCTTGACGTCGCATTAGCATTGGCGGAGCCAGGACCGGCTCCCCGGGAGCCATTCTCATGGGAGCTGGTGTGGTTTCGGGTCGACGGTTGCAGTAGTAAGCTCGTATATCATGGCCAGACGATCAACGGGCCGGTGCTGTTGGATCCCTCTGTAGACAGACCGCACCTTGGTAGGCCGACCGATCTCTTGTAGCTTCGTCGTTGTCCGTTGCTTGGCATCCATGAAGCAGCAAAGACGTGCAAGACAGTGAGAGCTAAACTAGTGTTCGTTGTGGCAGGCAGTGAGCTCGAGAAAGATGAGCGCAGAAGGTGGCGCGTTGGAAGGATCCAGGGCAGCCAAAGGCGTGTTGACGGCTTTCCAAACATGTGCATGGCTGGTTCGCATGGGCGTGGATGTACTAGTGACCAAAGTCAGGCCGCTCCTGGAATGGAGTGGACTCGCGCGTAGGCCGTGGCGGCAGCATGCTTCTCCAGCGCGAGAACAAGAGCGGGCACAGGCGGGCTTTTGAGGTGGGCTGGGGGAGCGAAACATGCAGGGCGCACGGCGAAATGGACGATTGCGGCTGGTGTCTGGCACGGGCACACGTCCTTATTCCTGGAAGCCAGGAACGCGAAGCAGACCATCAGGGCGGCTCCTGGTGGAAATGGCACCAACCACGGGCTGGGGAGGCGTTGCAGCGGCTACCGTGCGGGCCGTTGCACCAGGAGATGCGGCGAAGCGTGGATGGAGCAAATGCCCAAAGCAGCAGTCGGGGAGCCAACCGGGCTATTTTTGGGGGCGGCGAGCGAGCGACTGGGCGGGGTCTCGTGTCAGCCAGTGGGCAGGCGGCGGCATGGCGGCATGGCGGGGAGCGGTCTGGCAGGCGGGCGCCAGGGCAGAGAGGTTGGGTGGGCGTGGTGTTGCTTCGACCCCGGAGGCGTGATGAGCTGGTCGCACCCGAGCTGGCGCTGACGGAGTGCGGACGGAGTGCGGTGTGTCGGGCGGCCGCTACCGGCAGGCTGGCGGGGGCCGGTGCTGCGGTGCTGCGGTGCTGCGGTCCTGGCTGGTGGACGCGGGACCAGCAGCTCCTCACCACTGGGACCGTGGACGGTGGCAGCAGGCGGGCAGGCGGCAGGCGGGGGCAGCAGCCGCGAGGCCCAGACACCCGTCGCTTCAGCCTTATGCTGCCATTGGCTGCTGATCTTCAGCGCGACCCCAGACGCACCACAGCACACGCTCACTGACTCTGCGCAGCTTACATGCCCCGCGGATCCCGGGCCTCGCCCTCCGCCTGCGCGAGGTCCAAGTACGTCGCTGCGTGTACCGCGCCCCAAGATCCCTGCGCCCTGCGCCTGCGGCCTTCCCTGCCCGGCCTGCCTGCAGTCTGCACTGCTAAACACGCCCCCCCGCGCCTCCAGTATCTACACGCCGATCCCGAGTGCGCATTGGCCCCGAGACAGCCACACGCCCAACTTGCTGTGCGCACTGTCGCCCATACATAATCCTTCGCTTCTTTCCCTCAGTCCTGCCAGCCTGCCAGCCTGTCCGTCTCCCCGCCGCTGCCCTCGACCTCAGGAGCCATGGACTACTCCTCCTACTTCTCCGTGCCGCCGCCCCAGCAGTACTACATCGGCCTGCCGCCAACCCCCAATTACGACGGCTCCAGCGACAAGCTCAACTTGCAGGTAATACGCTTTTGAGCTCTCCACCGCCCCCTCAATCCCTCCTCCCTCCTTCCACCGTCCTCGCCGTGCTCAGAGAACGCCCCAAGTCTCAGTCAGTTAACACCATGGACCTCCAGAGCCACCTCGATCCAAGCTCGTTCCTACAGTACGACGCATTCTCCTTCCCCTCGCTGCCAGCTAGCTCGTCACCCACCCACGCGCACTCGTCTGCCGTTGCGCCGCAGCTCCACGCCGTCGGCAGCGTCGACAGCGGCATCCACTTGGATCTCGACGCCGCCAGCAGCGCCCAGCACATCCAACACACCCAAGACTCCCCGATACACGCCACACTCAGCACCGCCCCCGGCCTCTACAGCTCCTCCACATCCTCGTCCGACGCTCTACCATCAGCACAGCAGCAGCAGCAACAACAACAACAACAACCAATCGGCAGCACCGGCTCCCCCTCGCACCCAACATCGCCGATCATCGGTAGCAACGGCGGCCAGCACACGCGTTCCTCGTCGGAGGAGAAAGACAACGGCGGCAATCCCAACTCCAGCAGCCTGACACCCGCACAATCCCGACGCAAGGCGCAAAATCGCGCCGCTCAGCGCGCCTTCCGCGAGCGGAAAGAAAGACATGTCCGCGAGCTGGAAGACAAGCTGCGCGCGCTCGAGTCGTCGACGCACAGCCTGCAGAGCGACAACGAGCGGCTGAAGCTGCTGCTGCAACGCGCCAAGACGGAGAACGAGATTTTGAGGGCGACGAATCACCACCGCCACAGAAGGGCAGGCTCGACGGGCAGTGGGAGCGGGAGTGGTGGCAGCCGGTCGGCGAGTCCCGGTGACGACGGCGAGATGCAGTTGGATCTAGACAAGGACTTGTATACGACAGTGCCGGGGGACGGAGCTGGCGCGGCGGCGAGCAGCGGCGGTAGCGGGCAGCAGCATGCGAGGGCGAACATCGGCAGATCGACACCACATCTGCTCGGCGCGAGCCAAACGTGGGATCTAATCCAGTCGCACTCCCTAGTCCTATCCGGCGCCGTGGACGTAGCCGACGTATGCGAGCGGTTGCGGACTGCTGCTCGCTGCGATGGACAGGGTCCTGTCTTCGAGGAGACGGCGATATACAGGATCATCGAGGAAGAAAGCAGCAGAGGAGGCGGCGACGCGCTGATATGAGAGGGAAAATCTAAAAAAAAAAAAAAAGAGAAAAAAACCCAGACATCAGAATGACGAATCGTATGATGCGAAGATGAGGGATATGAGAGGACGAGGGAAATACGCAGGCTACCGCTCGCTCTTTTCCTTTCCGAGTCTTCGAAGGACCATATATAGTGTCTCATGTCTTTTATGGAAATTGTGTGTATATACCCTCCTTGGAGTTGTGTGGTTTAGGGGACTCCATCACTACTAGCCAAATACCTGGCGTTTCTACGGGAGACTCGCCCTTATAGTAGTATATTTTCTATGATATCCTTAATTTCATCCTAATCAAAGGAGTATGCTTCATCAGCATGAGAAGAGTAGCTGGTGAAGCTCTGGCCTGTTGACTATTTACCATGAACGTGGACGCTGACAATGGTTACTCCACGTTGTGCCGCCACACATCTTTCGCCCCCACGCTCATTTGTCCCCTATTGTGCTGCCAGATCACTGACTCAAGCGTTTACTTCCGTCAATCTAAACCCGTCCGTTCCAATAACCCAGATGCAACCACTGTCGCTAGCTCGTAGGGCGCGCACACAACCCATGGTTCATCACGCTAGATAAAGCCACCTCCGTCACAGGCAAGACAGACAGCTAAGCCTCTTGCATCCGCTGCACTGTGCCCCCCGATTATTTCTCGCCCGCTCTTCCGCACAGCCTTCTGAATCCACGTACCTACGTTGAAAACGTCAATTCGTCATTTGCTCGAAGGGTGAAGGTTGCGAAATGGGAGAGCATGTGGAAGAACACAGATCTCGATTGTCCGAGCAACACAGCTCCGATTTCTACTTTGCTCCCGTCTGAGATCTCAAGGCTGTAGAGGCACTCCCCAAAACGAAAAGCGGTGCATCAGAAAAAGATCGAGACAAGATAACATGAGAAAAGAGCAATCGGCCAAGTCACCCAGTAGCGAGTACAAAACACAAACGGTGATGCATACGCAACACACTGCGCGTCTCTCACCCCTCTCACCCCTTCTCCTAGACAGCACATGGACACCTCCCAAACAGGGACCCGGTGAGAAGGAGATGTGAAATAATCACGTCGGCACGGACGGCATACGACAATCAGCAACGTTCGTGAGCGAATCCTGACATGTACGCACGCCGAGTTTTGGGCAGAGAACGGCGCACGCACGCATATACACGCATGGCATGCATGCATGCATGTTAGTAATTGGGCGGGGGCCTTCCGAGGGGTGGGTCTGGAGCATAGTAAGCAAGCCTCGCCCGGCAAGCTGAGTGGCTACCGGGACGGCATCTTTCAGGGCGTTTGACCCTGCAGGGCGCTGTACCTTAATAAGGGTGAGGGGGATGCTGGTGATGACAGTCAAGTCTGGTTGTAGAAATAATACAAAGTTGTGTTGTTGGAGCAAAGAGGAGAACGACACGGCATGTGGCGGGTGAGGGGGCCGACGGAGAGCTTGTGTGTTTGCTAGAACAGACGCGTATGCAAGAATGTCTCCGTCCGTTGGTTGATTAGCGAACTATAATCAGTTGTGGGAGTTGGTTGGTATTTCCGAAGAGGTGATTGGAAGAGAGCGGAGTGGTGTGCGGAGTTCCCGGTGGAAACGGAGTGAAAACACCGGTGCGGAACAAGAAGTGCGAAAGTTGGCGGAACTGATGCAGGCAAAAAGTCAACACCAGCTGGTGCTGTTGCGTTGCAGCAGTGATGGTAGCGGTGGCGATCATAGGTCTGGCAGAACTGGCATGCAAAGAGATTGGGGGTTCGCAACGCAACCCAGGAGCCCAGACAAGAAAGCACGCCAGAGCGACTTTTCGGCAATCAGGAGTAGCACGACTAGTATGCGTGGACTAGGGGAGAGGGGGACGGGTGGAAAGTGAAAGGAGGATCCAGGAAGCAGATGCCGCAGCGCAGAGCGGAAAGCAGTTAGGGCGAGCAGAGTGCTCGATAACGGAAGGAATCCTATGGTACTATCCCGACTGCATGGGTAGACCAGGAGCGGGGTTGCTGTAGAGCGTCTAAGCGGTTGGCGACGAAGAGAGAAAAGTCAGCATTTAGGTCGGATTGATTAATTAGGGCGTAGGGCTGAAAGTGGGCGTGTAGTTTTACTGAGCACACGCGTTCCTCAATAAGTTTGGGAACGATGGCTTCGTGGACAGCTTTCAGTGGGCGCGTTGTGTGATTAGGCAGGGCAGGATGAGCACCCTGGCGGTCAATAGATGGCCGTGGGGTTGGTTGCAGGAGGCAACATGTTTCGAGAGGAGTATATCACCAAAATGATCTAATGAAGGAAGCGTGCGGCGCCACGAAACGGGACATCCCGACTGTAAGCGCGCGCAATGATACGCGAGTGTGCGATTTTCGGGGTATCTGGGGGGCCAAAGTAGAGATACATTGTGGCTTGTAGAACTGATGAGCAACGCAGAGATTCTGGAAGGATTGGCGGGCGAAATGCCCCGTGGAGCCGCTGGCAGCTTTGTCCTGCTCTGTCGTCGAGCCTTACCTCTGGTGTGCCACGCACGTTGGACTGCAGATGCAAGCTGCGTTTCAGGATCTATGCGAGAGGTGAGGGGCGAGCTGAGAGGTGGGATGCAGAGTTGAGCGAGCACGATAAGTGAGTTGCACGTGTAGGAAGCATCTAAATGCTGACAGGCCCCAGAGAGACTGCCGACGGCACTGTTCATTTTACCACGGACATGGGTATAATAGCCGGCGGGATCAAGCAGTCGAAGGACGATGACTGGGATCCTGGGAACTGCACGGAAATGAATCGGAGAGCCTCATCCTGTCTGTGGCTGCGACTAAACCTGGCCCCATCAATGCGTGGCCGAATACGAGCGGCGATACTCTGCTCTGCTATCCAACCACTCTCGCGCACCGAACGCCCCTCTGATGGTAAATCCCGATAGGCGGAAAAACGGCGAGAATGAGGTGGCAGGAATGCCGTAGGCTCGGCATCGTGGCAGCGCTGGGTTACGCGTTCGGTGCGAGGGTCCGAGGACGAGCGAATCAACTTCTGGAGGTACGAGATAGGGTGATGAATGCTGTGGGAGCGCCTGGCCCGATACCCGTGCCTCCCGTTCTTTCCCGTTGGCCAGGATGGACAAGATGTTTACCCTGTGATGAGCAGAAGGATCGGGCCAGGGAGTGCATGCATATCCCCTACGCGATGTGACCGTTCGAGCGAAGCGTCGACCTTGTCAGCACAGCAAAAGTTGTAGTGCGGAGCTGAGGTAATGGGGCCAAGGGAAACTGGGCTGAATGTGGGGCACCATGTCAGCAGGTTGAATGCCTGGAAAAACGGGGAAAGACGCAGGTGAGGGAACAATTGGCGAGATGGCGCGTTTCTTTGTACGACTACGGTTCCTGTTGCATATCCCGCGCAGCTCGACGGCGCATCATTCCGCACATGTCTAATCACAACCGACAGGCCGCAGTCAGATCTGGATTCGGCAGGCCGTTGCTGCCCGTCTGGCCAGCGTATGCCTGAAGAAACCCGCTGCAAGCGGACGACTGTCTCGACTGGCCTGCAGCCCAATGCGCCGTTCCGCCCCCGAACTGCTGGGAGAGAAGCCACAAGCCGTCAATCTTTGACCGCCGACCATGTATGCAGCCTGTCGTCATCGAGTGTTGGAACCGTTGCGCATGGGAGCGAATGCCTGCCCTCCGCTCGAATGAATCGTTGAGCGGCTGGGCCCGTCGGTTGGCTGATCGGGGATTGAGGTGATTGCTCAATCCCAGTCGCTATCCTCGTCATCGTCCACACGAGTCTGGCGAATCTTCTTCGAGCTCTCTTCGGCGTCTTCATCCTTGCGCCGAAGACGGGGGTCGCCGTGCTTGAGGACGCCGAGGTCTATCAGCAGCTTCTCGACGTCTGACCAAACCCCGTTAGCAACAAATACGCGTGGGATTGACGGGGATGCTGGTGCCAAGCTCATCGAGAGGTTCTGCACGAAGCTTCGCCACAATCAATGTCATGGTGTCTTACCTTCGACCCAGGTGCGTGGCCCATTGAGCTCCTTCAGAGTTACAATCTGCCGCTTGATATCCCCATCCTTGTAGACGAGGATAGTTGGAGTGTTCTTATCCGGATATCCCTCGATACACATGTTGCCCCTGATCTGACAGAATTTGATATCTCCAAACTTACGGGCCATCTCACGCCAAAGCTCGATGGCTCTCTGTGACTCGGTGTTGGTGGTGGCAGCTGTGAGGAGCACGAAGACCCAGGCCTCCTTGGACGTGTCGGTCACCTCGCGCGAATAGTCAGGCTTCTGCAGGTGGTACACTTGGTTGAACTTCGAGGCGGTCTGGATGGAGGAAAGCTCGGCGAAGCGTTTCTTGCTGTAGCGGTGTCAGGTCGCAAGCCGAAGGCAACGGTGAATAACGCGGCAGGCATACCGGTACTGCTCGAGGAAGTCGTCGTCCTCCTCGTCTTCCAGCTCGGCAAGCTCGTCCAAGTCCTTACCCTCCAGCCGGTTCTCATGTGCAAGTCTCCGTGCCTCGACGAGGGCTTCCTCGATCATGGGTGTGGGCGAAGGGGGCTTCTCGGGGATGACACCATGCTTGCGGAGAATGTCGTTCCTACAAAGATGTCAGAGTATTATTTCATGGGCCAGGGAAAAAAACACTACCATTCGGTATCGGCGTTTGGGTCGTCCACCGGGACCTGGACGGGCATATCTGGCATTTGATTCATTTTGGGCGCGGTTCAGCGAGCGAGGGCGGGTTTGCAGGTGTCTTGCGATGCGCAGATGGAAGGGATGAGGTAGCAGTGCGCGCGGAGAATTGATGTGCGGTTGCGAGCGGGCAGGCAGCAATTGCAAGGAGAAGTGCGGGAGGTCTTGGGGCCTGGCGGAGGGGCGGCGATGACGCTCCGCCGCAGGGCTGGCCACTTTGTCGCGGGAGGCGCCAAGAAGGCCAGGGTCGAGCACAGCGCAACACCAAGGGCGCGACCCACGGACGCTGTATTACTCTCGCACTCCCACCACCAACGCTGCGACCCGCCATTCGCATGCGACACCTCTGTCCGGTGCCCTGAGCTCGCATTCCCTCGCTCCGCCTCGTCTCGCCGCCGCCGCATCCCCCACCGAGTCGCAGCACCCTGGCTGGCGGACAAGGACACATTTCCCCCATAGCCGCAACCTCTCCCGCCTAGCCTGCGCTCCCGATCCGCGACACCGACACCATGAGCTACAACAAGAAAGACGAAGACAGCGAGGGCGCGATTGTCAAGGTCGACCGCACCTCCGTCTTCCAGGAAGGTACGCTGCTCCCCGCCGTGCCCGTGTGCTGCAGCTGGAGCTTACCCACGAGCAGCCCGCGTCTTCAACTCGTCGCCGATCTCGCCGCGCCGATGCCGCATCCTCCTCACCAAGATCTCGCTGCTGCTCTTCACTGGCGAGAAGTTCCCCACCAATGAGGCCACCTCCCTGTTCTTCGGCATCTCGAAGCTCTTCCAGAACAAGGATGCCAGTCTGCGCCAGATGGTCTACCTTGTCATCAAGGAGCTCGCCAACACCGCCGAAGATGTTATCATGGTCACGAGCAGTATTATGAAGGACACGGCTGTCGGCAGCGATGTCGTATACCGCGCGAACGCCATAAGAGCCCTCTGCCGTGTTATTGACGTGAGCCGCGAAAGGAGTCTGTTATGTGAATTGCGCTGATGCTCTGCAGGCCTCGACAGTACCCGCCATTGAGCGCCTGATCAAGACCGCCATCGTCGACAAGACGCCGTCAGTCTCGTCCGCTGCGCTCGTTTCCTCGTACCACCTCCTCCCCGTCGCCCGTGACGTTGTTCGGAGATGGCAGTCCGAGACCCAGGAAGCCGCCTCGTCCTCCAAGTCCTCTGGCGGCTTCTCCTTGGGCTTCGGCTCCTCGCACTCCAACCTTGCCGCCGCCAACACCAACTTCATGACCCAATACCATGCCATTGGCTTGCTCTATCAGATGCGCTCGCACGACCGGATGGCCCTTGTCAAGATGGTGCAGCAGTACAGCGCTGCTGGCGTGGTCAAGAGCCCTGCGGCCACCGTTCTGCTGGTCAGGCTGGCATCCAAGCTTGCGGAGGAGGACCCCAACCTTCGCAAGCCCATGCTGCAGCTCCTCGACGGCTGGTTGCGCCACAAGAGCGAGATGGTGAACTTCGAGGCTGCCAAGGCCATCTGCGATATGAAGGATGTCTCCGACGCCGATATTGTGCAGGCCGTGCATGTCCTCCAGCTGTTCCTTACTTCTCCTCGTGCCGTCACCAAGTTCGCCGCCATTCGCATCCTGCACAACTTTGCTTCGTTCAAGCCCGACGCTGTGCGCCAGTGCAACCCCGACATCGAGGCCCTGATCACGAACAGCAACCGTTCCATTGCAACCTTCGCCATCACAACCCTCCTTAAGACTGGTAACGAGTCGAGCGTGGACCGTCTGATGAAGCAGATTTCCGGTTTCATGGCTGAGATCACGGACGAATTCAAGGTTACAATTGTGGAGGCTATTAGGACGCTGTGCTTGAAGTTCCCGTCCAAGCAGGCCGGCATGCTCGCCTTCCTCAGCGGTATCTTGAGGGACGAGGGCGGCTACGAGTTCAAGCGTGCCGTTGTCGAATCCATGTTCGACCTCATCAAGTTCGTTCCGGACAGCAAGGAGGATGCTCTGGCCCACCTGTGCGAGTTTATCGAAGACTGCGAATTCACCAAGCTTGCGGTCCGCATTCTTCACCTGCTCGGCATGGAGGGCCCGAAGACCCCTCAGCCAACCAAGTACATCCGCTACATCTACAACCGCGTCGTCCTGGAAAACTCTATTGTCCGCGCCGCCGCCGTGACTGCCCTCGCTAAGTTCGGCGTTGGTCAAAAGGACCCCGAGGTCAAGAGCAGCGTCCGCGTACTCCTGACCCGCTGCCTCGACGACACGGATGACGAAGTCCGTGACCGTGCCGCTCTGAACCTGAGGCTCATGGATGATGACGATGAGGATGCCCACAAGTTCATTCGTAATGGTAAGCTAAATAGCATGGTTGTTTGTATAAGCCAGACCTGTTGACACATGCATAGATTCCATGTTCTCTCTCCCCACGCTCGAGCACCAGCTGGTCATGTACGTCACTGCAGATGACAAGGACACCTTCTCTCAGCCTTTCGACCTTTCCAAGGTTCCCGTTGTCACTCGGGAACAGGCCGATGCGGAGGACCGTACCAAGAAGCTCACTTCAGCAACTCCTACCCTCAAAGCACCTTCCGCAGGACCCAAGCCCGCCAGCCGCACCGGTGCCGACGCTGCTGCATCTGCAACCGCTGCTGCGCAGAAATATGCTGCCCAGCTCCAGGCCATTCCCGAGATTGCTGCATTCGGTGGCGTTCTCAAGTCCTCCCCTGTCGTGGAGCTCACCGAGTCCGAGACCGAATACGTTGTCTCGGCAATCAAGCACATCTTCAACGAGCACATCGTTCTTCAGTACGAAATCAAGAACACTCTTCCCGAAACTGTCCTCGCGGACGTCACCATGGTCGTCACCCCGGCTGACGAGGAGGAGTCTGGCCTCGAGGAGGAATTCATTATCCCTGCACCTGCGCTCAAGACTGATGAGCCCGGCACCGTCTATGTCTCGTTCAAACGTACCGAGGGCGGGGCTACATACGTTGCATCCAGCTTCACGAACATCCTCAAATTTACTCTCAAGGAGATCGATCCGTCTACAGGTGAGCCCGAGGAGGGTGGCTACGAAGACGAGTACCAGGTTGAAGATCTCGACCTCAACGGCGCCGACTACATCGTTCCGGCGTACGCAGGCAGCTTCGACAACGTCTGGGAGCAGTCGGCTGCAGGCGAGCAGGCAACGGAAACTTTGCAGCTCAGCGCTCTCAAGAGCATACAAGGTTCGTTTCCCCGCGCTAATCAATCGAAGCTTATACTGACACCAATCCAGACGCCGTCGAACAAATTCCCAAGACCCTCTCCTTGCAACCCCTCGAGGGCACCGACGTTGCTCTCAGCACCTCGACGCACACGCTCAAGCTGTACGGCAAGTCCATCACGGGCGGTAAGGTCGCGGCGCAGGTGCGCATGGCCTTCTCGGCCAAGACGGGCGTGACCATGAAGATGGACGTCCGGTCGGAGGAGGAAGGCGTGGCAACGTTGGTCATTAATAGCGTAGCATAGACGGTCGTACGCGTAAAACGAATGTCGTGGGGTTTTTTAGTCTGTTTTCTGTTGCAATGAAATAGCCTTTCTACTTTTTTTTTTTCTTCCTTCACGTATGACGGACTGAAGCGCAAGGAATGACGATTATGCATGGGGCTACTCCGAGATTGATGGGAAGGCATTCGTGAGTGAGATTATGCAACACATTGGATTTTAGCGTTTTCTCCAGTGTCAAAATACTTGTGCTCGGTATGCAGTTATGTTTGCCTGTCGGAGTTGTATAACGAAAGATATATAACAAAAACTTGTGTCTTCAAACTCTTAAGAAGGTCATATGTTGGCTAGAACTCACAAGGTCGCCTTTCATCAAGCTTCAAGCATTCCAGCCCCTGGATTTGGGGTCCAATAGATAGATGTTGAAGGAGGCATCTGTTGAATGACGCCAATAATATATATGGTAGATTTCCTCTCGGTCTCCTATTCTCCCTGGTGATCCCATCCATCTCTATAATCCGAAAATAGCACACCGCTCCCAAAGTGGTAACTTAAAGAAACTTTCCCGAGTCGAGGCGCTCGCCGGCCCTGGAACTTACGTATGTTGTACGTCCAACGCTTTTTCCCAAGTGTAGGAAAGAGAAAGGGAAAGAGAAAAGAAGCGCCAAAGAACAACCCATGCAGCAAAGATGTAACATTACAGAAAGTTAACTCCCCGCCCCGGGGGTTTTTTTATCGGCCATACCCGACAGAAGATGGGGGAGGAAATACGTGATAAGGGAAACATACTTCATGTCATCTCAACCTCACGATGACTGCATCTCCTTCACGCCCTCCATCGACGTCAGCGGCACGGATGATGCCGTGACGCTCTCGCCCGCACGCTCTGCGGCCCTCTTCTTGAGCACGTTTTCGATAAAGGCCTCGCCCGCCTTGTAAGACGAGCGCACGAGCGGGCCGGACGCGCAGTACAGGAAGCCCATGTCGAGGGCGCGCTGGCGCCACATTTCAAACTTTGCCGGCGTCACGTACTCCTCGACCTTCATGTGGCGCTTGGTGGGGCGCATGTACTGGCCGAACGTGACGACATCGACGTCGACTTTCCTGAGTTCTGTTGGCCATTGGTTAGTTCCGCTTTCTCTCTCTCTCTCTTCTCCTCCGCTTCAAACGAAAAAAAAAACAAAGGTGGATGATTGAACTTACCCTTCAGCGCGTGCCACATCTGCTCCTCCGTCTCACCCAACCCCAGCATCATGCTCGTCTTGGTGATCAGCCCCGGCTTCGCCTCCTTCGCCGCGCGCAGCACCTCCAAGCTCTGCCTGAACTTGGCCCTGCGATCGCGGACGAAGGGCGTCAGCGCCTCGACCGTCTCCATGTTGTGCGCGTAGACATCCAGCCCGCTGCGGGCGACCAGCGCCACCATGTCCACGTCGCCCGCGTAGTCGCCCGTCAGCGCCTCGACCAGCATGGTCGGCGCCTTCTGCTTGATCTTGGCAATCGTCTCGGCGAAGTGGCGGGCGCCGCCGTCGGCGAGGTCGTCGCGGTCGACGCTCGTGAGCACGACGTAGCCCAGCCCCCAGCGCTTGAGCGCCTCGGCCGTGTTCTCGGGCTCGTGCGGGTCCAGCGGCGCGGGGCGGTTGCTCGTCTTGACGCTGCAGAAGCGGCAGCCGCGCGTGCACGTGTCGCCCATGAGCATGATGGTCGCCGTCGCCGCGTTCTTGTTGTCGCCGCCCCAGCACTCGCCGATGTTGGGGCACCGCGCCTCCTCGCACACCGTGTGCAGGTTCAGCCCCCGCAGGTCGTTCTTGATCTTCTTGTAGTTGTCCGACAGCGGGATCGGCGTCTTGAGCCACGACGGCAGCCGCGTGATCTGCTTCTTCTTGCCCTCCGGGCCCACCATGGCCGTCCGCAGCTCCAGCATCTCGTCCGCCGACAGGGCCTCCTCTTTGGCGCCGCCGCCGCCGACGAAGTCGCCGAAGGCGGGGCCCGAGTTCAGGCGGTCAGAGAAGTGGGTGCGTGGGCGAGCGGACTTCGGGGCTGTGGATGACGAGGTCGGCGTCGGCGTTGAGGCTGGGTCGCCCACCGTGGTGGCAAGAGTGCGGGCGGCGGCGACGGCGGCGTGCCGTTGGAGCGATTGACGCGTCGGTCTGAACGAGGGCTGCGACGTGAGAGACGAGACGCCTTGCCTGAAGTAGGCATACTTGGTGGCGTGGGCGGCCATCTTTGCTGCGAGGATGGGTTGGTGGGCGGCAATCTGGGTTGCGTTGGGAGAATGAGAGGACGAATGGTTGCGCAATTGAGAAACATAGATTCGGGACGCTTACGCACGGGCTTGGCGCCGATGGTGAGAGGCTTATCTTATCGCTTAGATCGCCCCGCCACCATCTCCGATGTCGCCTGGGCGCTGGACCCTGTCATGCCAGGTACGGTGCTAACCAGGCTATCCTCATGTCAAACAACCCCACGCTGGCCTGTTTTTAAGGTCAGCATGCTCGCCCTTTGGCCCATGTCGTAACAATGAGGTCATGTCTCTCCTCATGACACGTGGCCATATACTTCAATTTTCAGCGCAGCGTGGACTTTCTCCCATATCCCTAGCAGATCCCAGGGTCTTGTAGAGTGCTGGAAAGTGGGCTACATATGTTCAGATTCCTCTTTACGCAGTCGGGTTTGAGGACTATTCCTTGCGGGAATTCATGCAAGCAAAAGAGGGCTAGCCACCACTGTCATACCATGCGAGCAGCCGACAAACCCTTTCTGTGATCCTTTTGATTGTTTCATCTCCTGATATCCCTGCCCCTTGGAATTGGTTACACACCGATTAGAGTATAACCTACGGTCCTCAGCTCTACGCTGTGTCACCAAAATATCAGCGAGGGAAGGAAAGGTAGAGCGAACAAGCACTCGTAAGATTTTATCCTCGGCGGACAGAGCAGAAAGATTTAAAAGTTAAAAGTCCACTACCAAAGGAACCTCGTACGGAAAACTCGAGTAGAAGGGAGGTATAAAACTGAAGTCAAGCCCACCCCTTTCAGTTCTCGTCATGAAAATGCGTGAAGCTATAAGAAAAGCGGAAGGGGCAACAAAGCATAAGCGCAGCTTAGCTCGAAGCAGCAAATGCAAATTGCATCCACGACGGCCGGACTAAGGAGCACTTCCTGCTTCACACTTGAGGGAAAAAAATGCCAACTCTGAGCGCTGAAAGCACCCGCGCACATAACGGAAAGCAGCAGCTGCTGAGAAAAATGCTGCAGGGCTGTTGGTGCCGTCATTGCATGACCGAGGCATTGATGGGGTATTGATTTGCTGCGCACGTTGTGCTGCGGGTATGAAAGGGTATTGCCATAACGGACTCTGGGAGGGAAGCCCAGTCGTGGGACATAAATAGAAAAAGACAGAATTTTCTTGGGATGATGTACACGCAAAAAAGAAACTAGAGCAATCTCAAGCAGAGATCCTGCGTGGATATAGCCGACAATCGGGAGGTGGTCGAACAGAGAACGTCGTATCTCGGAGTCGGTGAGATCCGGTCGTGAGTTTGTTGCTTAGTATGCAGCCATTGGCTTGTACGAAGATGCCTGGTTGACGGGGCTTCCGATGCCGTTTCCGAGAGAGGGGCTGCCGCCGTAGTTGTCTGTGCTGCGTCTCGGGGTGGTGGCGCCGCCTGCACGCTTCTTCAATCTGCTCGTCCTCCAGCCCTCGTACCACCTCTCCCGGCTTGCCTCACGAAGCTCAGCGCGCCATTCACTGAATACGCTCTCCTTCAGACGCACAAAGTCGCAGTGCTCGGCGTTCATCGGATCGGCAAATCCCCATGGGAAGCGGCGACCAATGACGTTCGGCTCGTACATGTCAGGAGAAATGATGCTGAGAGGGAGTAGGGGTTCCTCCTCGTCCTCAATTTGGGCAGACATGGTGGAGACCCTGCGAGCGTGTTTCTTGACATCTCCTGCAGGAGACTTGGGTGGTGGAGAGGATGCTGAGGTTGATGACTCGTCGTCAGATCCATTCGAGTCCGATTTTTCCATGCTGTCACCAATGTCCGCCGGCTTTTCCTCTCTCTCCTCGTCGGAGTCATCGAGCTCGTCTTCCTCACGCTCATCGAACGCCGATTCCTCATCCGAGTCCGGGAAACTGAGAGCCTCCAAGGGATCAAGCCTGGCCTGCTTCAAACTGTTCCACACTGACTTTTTGAGATGCGCCATATGAGCTGCCGTGATGGAGTCGGCCTTGCTGATCACAGGAACAACGGCAGTCTTGTCTTGAAGGGTCCGCAGGACCTGGAGGTCAAAGTCGTCGTCGAGACTACCCACTACGCCGGGTTTCACGGCGAACTTGCCCGGAGTCGTACCACGGATAGTGGAAGCAGTGGCCTCTAAGCGCATAGGGTCCAGCAACAAGAAGACGCAGTGGATATGGGTGTCGCGCACGCCGGCGGAGCGAACGACTTTCTGCTCCTCGGAAAAGGTCTCCTCGAACTTGGACTCGATGAACGAGGCCATCTCACGAAGCTGGAGATCGACGACGTTTTTCTCAAGACCCTGCGAATCCCAGAGCGTCACGCCGATGCGTTCATTCTCAATTTCAGTCTCCAGGTACTGTGAGGTGAAAGGTGAGTCCGGATCGTTCGGAGGCTGCGGCGGCGGGGTCTGCACGCGCTTATGCTTGGGCATGCTAAGCGAGGTCTGAAGAAAGTTGATGAAGGATGTCTTGCCGGCGCTCTTCGCGCCAATGACAAGAATGCTGCAAGGGGAGTGGCGGGTGAGTGACAGTGGCGACATGCGGGGCGGGAGATCGACAACTTACTTGAACGGCGTGGGATCCTTCCTCCTGCGCACGCGGCGCGGGCTGTTGACGGTGCTGACGGCGGTGCTCGCGTAGCTGTAGCGGCCGCGGTGGGTCATGCTCTCGGTGCGGGCGTACGGATCGACATACTCGCCAGCATTGGGGTTGGCGGGGCTACCGGGGATGGGAGGGAAGGGCGCGGAAGCCTGCGGTGAGGTGGGCGTCTTGTAGTCCATGGAGGGTCTGGTGACAGGTGGCGGGCCCTGCTGGTGGTGTCCGCGAGCAGCGTGCGAGACGAGCTGGTAGGAGTCGCGAGCGTTCTCGCCGCCGAAGGTGTTGATGGTGGGCAGCGGCGGCGGCGACGGAAGCTGCGGCGGCTGCTTGGGAAGCGCAGCGGCCTCGCGCTGCTGCCGCAGGAGCTCTTCCTGCGCCAGCGCCTTCTGTTTCTTGCTCATCTTGCTGCCCGATGTGCTTCGGCCGGCAAGACCGTTGTTGGACTTCTGACGGCGCAGGAAGGAGAAGCTGGTGCGGCGCGGCTCAGCTTGCGAGTCGGCGGGCTTGCCGGAGGACTGGTCGATGGTGGGTGAGGTCGCCATTTTGAACGAGCTACGGAGCGGTGCGAAGGCAGGTCGCCGCCGGGCAGGCTTGTATCAATGGGAAGTCTGGGTGCTTCACGGACCAGACGTGCTAGCTTGCAAGGTCGGCGTTACGCACACTTGAGACACAGGACCAGCCGTGTACAAGGGAACAGGACGTGGCCGGAGGGGTTCTGCAGCGCACCCAGGACTGAGGTTAGCACGAGATTGATCAAGCCGGCTGGTCGCGACGCGCAGGCCGCGGCGCCCAGCGCCATCTTATGCCTGCCAGGGATCTGTAAATGAAAGTACCTGCTAGAGACTTGAGCGGTTCCGGGGAAACGGACGGTGCCCTTTGCGCCAGGCAAGAGCGCGCGCAGACAAAAGGCCCTGATATGGGGAGCGTGTCGGTCTCGGGGAGCTACGCGCAGGGCTGAGTGCAGCAGGCTGGCGCAGAGGCAATTGGCGGAGGGGCTCAGCGATCGCAGCAGAGGAGAGCCGGCGGAGCGCTGCCAGGCGCAGACACAGGCACATTCACAAGCGCCCCTGAAGCGCGCAACCTGATGGGCATGCTTGAGCAATCATCGCGCAGCCAATCACGCGCGCGGTCGACACGGGCCTGTCGTCGGGGATTGATGAAACAAGCCACGGGCTGCGTATCCTTTCTCGAAACCGGCCGTCGATCGCCGGGCACTGAAACCTGGCTTACCGGGCAGCGCGAGCCACCACGCGGCAGCGCTGTATGGCACCGGACGTTGCGTCGTTCAATTTGACATGACGAGGAGGTTGTGGTGGAGCCATTCCCCGCGGCACTATTCTGGTCACTGGACCCTTCGCGCACCGGGTCCCGGCCAGCTTGGACTGCTTGGACTGCACCACTGCAACCGCTGGCGCGCCCGCGCCTGTCCCGCCGCGCTTGCAGGGCGGTGAGTGCGGCCTCGAGCCATGTGTGGCCGTTGCAGCTGCCGCCTGCACGACGCCGCCGCCGCCAGTCAGCGGGGTCTCGGGCTGCAAAGGCGTGCGGGCGCAGGCAGAAAAGCCACGACAGCCGCCGGGACGATCGCCCAAAGCAGCACGCACAGGGCCGAGACAGCCCTGGCGCTAGGGTCACTTTCTCTCGAACCAGCATGTTCCTCCGCTCGGCTCCCGCCGACCGCGGCACAGCGGCAACCTCGACTCGACGGCGAAGATCACGCCCGCAAGCCCGCTCTTATTTCCCGATCACTCAGAGTTCGTTTCCTCTGCGGGCATTCAGACAACAGGCCTCACACGTGCTTGCGCCAGGGTCTGCGCCAGGGTCTGCGCCGCCCAGCGACCACTCGCGACCGTTTTGAGCGTCGCGGCTCCCACCGATCCGACTCGTACGTCGTAAGGCACAACCGACGCTGCCATCGCCCGAGCGGCCAGACCGTAGGATCCATAGTCAAATTTCCAACCGTGATAACGGACGCCCGAAGCGCTCCACCTTTTTTGCGAAATTGCGCAACGGTTAAAGAGGTAAGTAAACAAGAGAAGAGCAACGCAGCTAGGCCAGCGATCGAGCTTGGTTGCCCGGTAGCGGCGCTCGCTTCGCGATGTTCAGTCCTTTCCAAATCCGCGACGGGTATTGCTTCTACTATCAGGCTCGCCTGACTGAAACTATAGCTCTCCGCGAATTAAGGTTTCTGAAAAACTATCGAAACTACCACAAGCGGCCGCGGCCGCCCGCGCGCAACAGTCCCGGCGCAAGACGAACGCCTTGATATTAAATTGGCGCTCGCTCCTCCTTTCACCGAGACAGCTAACGCAAGGCCTGCCCTACACTGTGAGACATGGAGAACATCGTTGCCGGAATCCGACATCCACACCCCAAGCTCGCATTCATTGGTTTCGCCCTGCCAATGTCTATAAATACACTACCGAACCGTGGTCCATATCACGTGAATGTCGTCGTACTGGGCCGTGCTGTTTTGCAAACCATCGCTTTCCATTATATCATTGACTATCGAAGGCACTATATCCCGTCACTCTGGTGCTCATCACTCAAGAGTCGCGTTCCTGTAGAGCCTTGTATCTGCCCCTTGCAGACGCCTGAACGCTTTGCAAATAGTCTTGTTGCGCCACCGTGTGCGCTTCTCCAATCTTGCCTCCTTCTGCCCCCAAACCAACACCCTGTCGGTACATCTGAGCCTCAATAGGTGCCGTGATGCCACTACCGGACGCACCCAGGCCAGCGCCTGCTGTATAGCCAGCTTTGGCTAGCAGCTTCGCGCCAATCCCGGGCTCCGGGGCTGGGGACGGGGACCGGGCCTTTGCACGAGAGCCGGGATCTTTTGACGGAGGTGCTGTTCTGCCGAATTGCTTCCGGCGCTCCTTCGCGCGATCTCGAAACTCCTTTGGCGGGGAAGCCGGTGCGGCTGCAGGCACTACGGTATCTGGATGGGCCTTCTTGAGTCTCTCCCAACCTGCTGCGATCTCCTCTTGGTTCGCGAGATTCTTCTTGTGCAGGTCGGACCTTTCGAGATGGGCTTTCAATGTGTCACCCTTGAAGACGCGACCACAAAGGTAGCACTTGCCCTCCTCGAAGCTTACGAGGGGGTCTGTGAGTAGCGCCTTCTGGGGCTCCTCGCTGCCCAGCTCGGTCTGTCTCTGTTTCCACGTGTCGAAAGCTGATATGGTCATGCGACTCTGATGGTTGTTATAAGAGGGCTCGTCCACGTAGGCCGGCAGATTCCAGGTTGCCAACTCACCTTGATCTTTGGGGCTGTAGTTTCCTCTGCCTTCCTCTTCTTTGTTTTCTTCTCTCCCTGATCCGTGCCATTACCATCGCTGCCTCCCTTCTGTGGAATTTGAGATGCGTCAGGCAGTTTGGGGTCTTCCGGCGGATGCTCCGACACCATTTCCTCATTGGCGAACAGCTTTGGGATACGGTACTCAAACCGCTGGGTTGTTTCACTACCCGCAAGGTGAGAGTACTCATTCGGGGTCCCTTCTCTTGCCGGGACGAAGACCCCAAGATGAGCAAAGGTAACGGACACGTCCTTGGAGGAGATGGTAAGGCCTTTTTCGTACACGAACTTCTCGTAGGCCGCTTTCGCTTCCTGTTGCAGGTCAGACATCTGTGGAGACGATGTGAAGCCAATCACCTACCTCCTTATTGTGGAACTCCGCCAGTCCATAGCCGCAGCTATAACGGGACTTCTTTTCCCGGATTAAGAAGACTCGCTTCAAACTATCCTTTTTAGCACCGGGATTCCTGGGCACCGAGGTAGGCTTAAGCGCTGTCGACCTGAGTCCTGCCCCAGCAGATGGCTGGGAAGGCGCGCTTGCATCATCGTCTGCCTTGTAGAGGCGGGTCAATCCTTCAGCCAGCGTCTTTTCATCAATTGACATGCCCAGGCCAGACACAAGAAGGAATTGCGTATGTTGGCCGTCATGGGCCGAGTCGTGCTCAGCATTACGAGCAAGTTGGCGGATATCGCTAGCCAGAGGAGGGGGATGTGGCTCATGGTCAGCAGACTGGGGTGAGCCACTCCTGTGGTGTCTGTCATGGCTCCTACGGCGGGGCGATTGGCTACGATCCGAGCGGTGGTAATCTTCAGGAGACAAAAAAGGTCATTAGTTAAGACTGCAATACTTGGGTGTCTTAACTCGTCATCATGATGCTAATGAGGTACCCATATAGTTCTCTTGCGAATCGTAGGAAGCGCCGCGGTAGCCGCGCGGCTCGGGCCCATCGCGATAGCTGCGGTGAGGCGAGAGGGAGCGCGACGAGCGGGACTCGCGTCGACGGTCACCATAGCGATATTCGCGAGGTCGGTCGCGGTCATAGTATGCATCGTAGTCCGGGCTCACTCTGCGCGGAGCACGGTGGTCGTGGTAGTAATAAGCATCATCGGGGCGGTCGTAGTGGGATGAGTGCGACGAGGGGGCTCGATGGTAGCTGTCATGGTCGCTGCTGCGATCTCTAACGCGGTACGAGGACGAAGGCCGGGCGAATTCATCATGGCCTCGGTCGTTGCGACGACCTCGGTGCGACTCAGGCGGCGTCATGGTAGACAGCAGGGACTGGCGACGATCAGGCGGCGGCTTGGTGGGGAGGTTGAGCGTCGTCGCGAGGGCGCGTCAAGCAGCCTACGAAGCAACACCGGGCGCTCGACGAGATGGCTCAGCCAGGAGGATAGTGGTAGGAAGACGAGGTTGGTTAGACAAAGAGAATGGGGGTGTCAGCACGGAAGCGAGGTCAATGGGCGGCGATGGACCGGCTCAGCTGTGACATGCGGCGGCGTAGCAGGGATCCATTAGTTCCCCGCGCCGGTCTTCCGATCGGATCAACCTGGCTCCGCTGCACCAGACCGGAATCGGCGACGATCGATCACGCAGGGACCAGCCCCCTCCGACAGACACCGCGCCCTCACACCCTCCGCTCTCGACGAACACAATTCCAAGCTTCTCTTTGTACTACACGGAAGGATGCACCTAATGACCCCGGGGCTTCGACCCTCAACCAAAGTACCTCCTCGCCAGCCACGCTATCCCGTGTCGTTCAGTACGTTCTCCCCAACCGGGTATTTATCCGGCACAAAGCTCACGCCGTTTGGCCCATTCGGCGGAGGCGCTGTCTGAAGTCCATCAAACAAGGCAGCCGTGTCGTTGCATCCCTCCACTACCTGATCCCACAAATCTGCCAGACCGATCCTATCTTGCGGACGAAAGGCAAGGCACTGATACACCAGCTCCACCAACCTGCCCGAGTACGCCGGTCTCATCGATGCGCCTCTCATCGTTCGCCTGGCCGGCAGATCTCGACCGCCAGCAGAGTCTGAAAAGTCGACCACAATCTCCGTTTGTTGCGTATTAACACCCCCATACGAGTTGTTGGACAGCATGCACCACATCAGCATGCCGATCTCCCAGACCATCGTCCACGAGTGAACTGTGGCGTCTGCTCCGTGCAGCTCAGTTGCAAGCCGCCTCCCTATGTATGGGGCTCTGGACGCCTCGTAGCGGGCGTGTGTCAATTGATCGAGTTGGTGCGGCATAGCCTCCTGTTTGACGTCCATGTCAGACATCAAGCTCTTCAAAGGCGAAGATGAGGGAAATCCAAGGACCGTCACGACCAAAAGAGTTGCTTACCGGTGCCATGCTTCCGGGGGTTCCATATCCTCGGAAATCGGGTGGGTTTACACGTCGTCTGTAAGGCATCGGATGACCGGTATCATCTAGTCCGCTGCGTGTTATGTAGGATGCTCCAAAGTCGCCGATTTTGGGCTATGTGTGTCAGCGGTCGTGCTCCAATCATATGCAATGGCTATCAACCTACCTGAGGATATCGTCGTGCCCATACCATAGGTTCATTGGGGTCAGGCTCGCCGAGGAATACGTTATCAGCCTTGATATCGCAATTTACGATGTGCTCCCATCCTGGCACCATGTCCCTTCCTGTATGGCCATTCCAACATACGAGTGCATTTTCCGTTACGGCTCTGAAGCAATACCTGCAACCAAAACAATCAGAAATCCGCGTTTTCTCCCGCATCAACCCCAAGGCTGCCTTTCATAGTCAACATACCACACGAAAGGTTCCGGAATCATGTCCTTGCTAGTGTCGTAGTGGTCAATGAGTTCCGCGAGATTGCCATGCGGAGCCCATCCCATGGCGATCGTTTTCATTATGCCCTTGGTCTCAGGGTCTGGACGGAGATGATCGTTCTTGTACTCGACTGTGTATCTCTGACAATTGTCATATACCATACTGTGAACCTGGCCTTCCTCGACACTCAGAGGATGGAAGCCGGGGGATGTACTTTGGTTGCGGCGTGCCCATTCTCTTTTGACTACCACTCTCTTTTCCCGTCTCTCGGTCAGTACATGTCCTTATGGATCAAACTCGAGTCGAGTGTTCATACTTACATCCGTTGTTTTGTTATCCGCATCATGGCGTCGGTAAATCAAGACCTGACAAGCACGCATGTCATACAGAACTTTGTGGCAAACCCAGAGCGACGATGCAAGGACGGATCTGTCATCATCCTGCATGTCGTCGTCCGGTAGAGGCCTTGTTACGGTGTCATTGCCTGGAACAGCCGGAGCGCCAGGGGTGAAAGGCTGTAGTTTGGCACGAGCTCGTAGAATCATGTTTCTCGTCTGTTCCAAATGTGCTTTACGCGCGGCAGGCATATCGTCCGGGTTCTGGCGATGCTTCTTGAGCCACTGGTCTGCGTAGTGTCAATCGTAGTACGGCTTTGAAGTGGACTGAAGCTCTAATTCTCGGGCATACTTCGCTTTGGATCCCCTTTCTTGTCCTGGGAGAAGTGGTCAAGCTCGTATTGAACGACCCATTCCGGACCTGGGTCGAGATGCTGAAGGTCGACCACAGCATTGGGACGCTCGAACCACAAGGGCCATTTCTTCTCGACTTGGTACTGGTACCATTTCTTCCGTTGTGTGCTGAGTGAGGGAAAGCTCTTGGAGCAGTGTTTGACTATCCGCTCACGTCTTGTGTCCTTCTTTCTTTTTGCCCAGAGGGTTTTAGGATCGAGATTTCGCCGGCGGGCTTCCTCTGGAAATTTGTCTTCGATGTAGGCGTTGCGAGCATTCTGTGTCAGTGCTCGTTTCGGTGCCATGTTTGGGTATATGAAGGACTGCGCTAGCTTCGAGAGGTTCGAAAACCGTGGAGTCTGCGGATATGAAACGGCCATGGAGGTTGCTCTAGCAGATATAAGGCATGTAACAAAGAGTTACGGGCAAGATCTTCTCCATTATCCTCTGTGTGATTGGGTTGACTCCCGCATCTGGTAATTCAAACAAAGAATCGATCCAGAAAACAGCGGTTACTCGGAAAATCAATGTGATTTTGATCGACAGCTAACGAAAGCGTAAAGGCAGAAAAACAAAGAACAATCTGGAGACATTTTCGAATGTGCTGGGTACCTCTGGATCTTGTCTGAAAGGAGTGGTAGTCATCGGTTCTCACATGAGTACAGACGAAGCGACATTTGGCCCCCAATCGCTCACGTCCTTGGCACGACGCGGTACGAGAGGGACCGGAAACTCTCATAGGGTTTCAGCACTTCAGAATACACCTGAGTATATTGTAGACGATGAGGAAAAAGTGGAAGCTTCCTTGCGCATCTTGCAAGAAACATGCATCCCGACAGACTCACATGGTTTCTAGCCTCAATGGTCGATCTTCCACAATTCCGAGATTCCCTGTGAGATTTACGCCAATCAGCGCTTCTTCCGAGAATCCAGCAAGCATAGACAGCGCAGTTTGTTGCAAGGCTGTCAGACCACGAAGTGCTTCAGCCTCACCGCCATCTCACTGAAGAACAACCTTATTCCGCTCTCTTGTCTACCTACCCCTTTACCATCCTCATCTTCTCAAAACCAAACCGCGCGACGATCCACAGCAAGCATGAGTCAACAGCGCGGCGCAACCCCTCTGCCCGATTCCGACACGAGCCCGCCGCCATCCCAGCCCGCAGCCGCCGATGATGCCGAGTCTTCAACATCACATCCAACCACCACTGCAGCCGCCCCTGCTATCCCGCATCCCTTGTCTCGCCCACCAAGTCCGATCAGCATGGCCCTCATCACAGCCGACGAAGCCAAAGTCCAGGCCCGAAATGATCAGCTGGTACTCGTGGCCGAGGACAACAAGGTGCTGCAGATGTTGCTGAACAAGATTCTCGGCCGAGCGGGCTACAAGGTGCGCATGGTGCCCAACGGGCAGGAGTGCTTGGACTACCTGAGGCGGACGGCGTTGTGGTGCTGTGATGCGAAGGAGGAGAGGGAGCGCGAACAGGCGGTGGCGGTGGCGGTGCGGGGCAAGGCGGGAGAGTCATCCGCGGGAGGCGGAGAGACAGCGGGGGGGAAAGAGGGGGGAGAAGCGGTGGAAGAGCCATCGCCGGCCGTGATTCTGATGGACTTGTGCATGCCCGTCATGGGCGGGGCCGAGGCCACGCGGATGATCAGGGAGTGGGAGCGTGAGGGCCGGCTGGCGCGGCGCGTGCCCATTATCTCGATGTCTGCGGCTCCCTCGACTCTGCATGTGCAGAAGAACCCCGCGGACGATACCTTGTGGAAGCCCCCCAAAAGGAGGGAGACAGTGCAGATGCTGGACGAGTGGATAGAGGAGTATGAGAATGGCAGCAGGAATGGTGTGGATGTGGGGAAGTTTGCCACGCTGAGCATCAGGGTGCATTCTGCGTAATGGGGCGATGGCCTTTTGCTTTTCTCTTTCCTTTTTTTTATTGGAAGGGTTTCTTTTGCTTGGGGCCTAGGTATTCGACTGAACGGACAAGATGAGGGGTTGTGAGTGCTTTTGCGCCTCTTACTTCAAAGCCTGACACTAGAACATGGTCTCACAGCTTTCGCTTGACATGTTGCAGGACAGCCCATTGCATCGGGGAAAGACGAAATGACGAGAAATGGGATCCATTGAATCGCAGAGAGACGAAGAGAAAACCAATTGCCGACAGACCACTCCCATCCAAATGCTGACTGGGCCATCGGGTCCCGCCATGCGCCACCCATTTTAAATACTGGACGCATATCACAGGACAGCCCGGTGTCGCGTAAAACACGGGCGCGGGAGGCTATATACGGTTACGGCCAGCGGGTCGGGCTACGATGGCTGGAAGGGCGATAGCGGCTGTTGGAGGTCCAGCCGAGGGTCGAGTGCCCGGGGGAAATGAGACGTGCGCGTGCTTAGCTCGCGGGGGATTCGAACAAGAAGAGGGAAGCGTGAGACGGGAAACGGATTGGCGAAACAGGGGAAAAGCTTATCCCACGCGAGCTTCAGGGGACGGTGCGAGAGCAGAGCAGAGCGAGAGAGCGGGGTCGGCCGAAATGACTTGCAGAGAAAGAGAAAGGAAAGCGGGAAGCTTGGAGGAGGCAGGAGAAAGCTTGGTTGGTGCTAGCGCTGATATGTGGATGATGTCGTATTGGGCTTGATTCTCTGGGACCGCGGCGCCCGCCGTCTGACGGCGTGCATGACAGTGCGAGATGCGAGGCGGGCGGCCGTGGTAGCAGTGGCGCGAGATTGATGGTTGCTTTTGTTCCCGAGATGCAGAAGGATGAGTTTTGCTCGTGTTTCCAGCCTCCGTCCCAGCCCGCCTGTCTCCACTTGGCGGCGAGCCCGCCAGTCCGCTCCCGTGCGCACTCCGACCAGGCCTCGGAAACGTGGTCTGACCCGGCACAAGGGGAGCGTGCGGGAAGCGTGCTAGCTTGAAGAGTCGCCGGAAGGGTTAGGCGCGTCAGGCATGGGTGCGCGTGCCGTTGCAGTGCATGATGAGGCGGGCTGGCGGTCGGCAGCTGGCAGCTGGCAGCTGGCAGCTGGCAGTGTGGCATCTGTTTTCTGGCAGCCGGCTCGTCGGCCGCCACTGCCACTACGCCTGTTCCTGTCGAGCGAGCCAGCCAATGGCGGCGCCTCCCCCGGCCCACCTCGCATGCACCGATGCAACCTCTGCCCTCTGCCAGCGCAGATGTCGAAGCTTGGCCGTGACTGACGCGGTGGCAACGTCCAGCGCAACGCCCGCTAGGCATTTGAGTGTGTCGGGGCCGGCGCGGACGATTGGCCAGCGTGGGCGTTTGGAAACACGCCAAGCTCCAGCGCTGCCCGTCTGGGCTCACGATGCCATAATTAGGCGATCGTCGCATGGAAGCGCCCCGGCCGGCGTCTAACACGGGCTAAGCTTGAAGCGAAGCTTGACTCTCTCTAACCGCCAGTCCTGGTGGCTTGCTCCATGCATATATTGCGGTACGGTTCTGCCTGATGCCTGCTGTCTGCCGTCTGCTGTCTGCTGTCTGCGCATCTTCTTCGTGACCTCCACTTTCGTTTCTTTTCCCGCGCCCTGCAAGTCATTCGCTCTGCATTGCGCGCCTCTCGTGTCGCTGGCCGCACTTGATCACTGAGACAGCTTCATCTCGACGGCCTCAGCTCTGCTGCACTTCCAGGTACGTCACCTTACACAGCTTCGGCCTGCAGCCGCAGTGCGCGGCTGGCCCTACCGGAAGGCTGCAGCTGCCCGTGCCCTGGCAATTGCGTGCAGCAACACCAACCTCTTCCCGGTGGTTGGGCCTACCCGTCGACCCGCGCCTTCCTTTTCGCTCGCCCGCTTGACTATTTCTTCACTCGCACCCCACACCACCACCTCTTCCCGATCCACATCCTCTTCTGCTTTACCGCTTGCATGATCACCCTATACTCACGTCTTCCCTCCTGATTAGGCCAGCCTCTTAGCCAATGAAGTCTTTTCTTTCTTTCGGCCTCTTGGCCGCCGGTGCCAACGCCAACATCATATTCAACTGGGTCCAGCCCTCCTGCAACTACAATGCCGACTCCTCGACCTGCCTGCGTGGCCAGCAGTGTACCGTAAACAACACGTACGCTCCACCATCCCCCTGCTTGCATCCTCCGCTCACAAACGTGCTAGCTGTGAGGCCTACGTGACGAGCGACGACGATTACACCCGATCCTTCGTGCGCCGCGTATCCATGCCTGTTGAGCTTCGTGCGGCCGCCTATTCTGCCGACGGCAAGTGTGGTCCCACCAACGGCGGTCTTCTTTGCGATCCCAACAGTACTGTGTACAACGGGACGTGCTGCAGCCAGCACGGCTGGGTAAGTTTGCTCTGAAACCTCGTCGAAGCCGTTCGCTAATGTCGGACAGTGTGGAGAAACGGCTGACCACTGTGGCACTGGTTGCACATCGGGCGCTTGTCTCTCCTCCACCTCATCCGCCACTACCACCGCCGCCGTTGCTATCAGCAAAACCATCATTGCCGCCGAAGCCGACGCTAGCGCATCTGCCAGCGCATCTCCGCGCGATGACGGTCGTTGCGGCAAAGACTTTGATGGTGCCACTTGTGATGCCAACGGCGCTTACGGTGGATGCTGCTCTCAGTATGGGTAAGTGACAAGTCCCACGTGGCTGACGAACTCACTCTGACGGTTGCACAGCTACTGCGGTAAGACCGACGATCACTGTCTCGCGTCAAGTGGATGCCAGAACGGCTGCGAGAGCGCGTCCTCGACCTCTTCTGTTGCTGTTACCGACACAAGCAAAGCTGCCGAGTCCACCACTGCGACAGCCTCAACCCAGGAGCCAGTCCTCGGATCCCCCACTGCTTCGTCTGCTTCGGGCTCTGCCAGTGCTACCGGTGAAGCGACCACTGATGGCTCGTGCGGAGCCAGCAACGGCGGGACCATCTGCGGTGATTGGCCGAAGGGCGGCTGCTGCTCCATGTATGGCTTCTGCGGCAACACCACTTCTCATTGTGGTGAGGGCTGCCAGTCTGGTCCCTGCACCAATGGTGCTTCCGAGCAAGCTCCCGGTGCCAGCCCAGCTCCCGCAGCGCCGACCGCTGGCACTTTCAAGGTTGTCGGCGATTCAGGTGTTCCCGTCATGCACGCTGGCCTGCTCCCTAACGGCAAAGTTGCCTTCCTGGACAAGGTCGAGAACTACACCCAGGTCAAGCTTGCCAACGGGCAGTATGCTTACTCGGCAGAGTGGGACACTGCCAAAAACAACTATGTTGCGCTCTCTTACAAGACCAACGCATTTTGCGCTGGCGGCGCTTTCCTTGCGGATGGCTCCTTCGTTTCGCTTGGTGGCAACGGTCCCCTCGACTTTATTGATCCTACCGTCGGCGACGGTTTCGACGGCATTCGTTATCTGAGGCGCTCCATCTCTGACGCGAGCCTCGACGGCCAGGACTGGGAAGAGCCAGGAAACAAGATGGCCAGTAAGCGTTGGTACGCCTCTGCTCAAGTCCTGGGCGATGGCTCCGTCTTCGTCGCGTCTGGCAGTCTCAACGGCCTCGACCCTACGAACAAGACCAACAACAACCCCACCTGGGAGCTGCTCGACTCCACAGGTGTTTCCGACGGAATAAACCGCCCCATGGATATTCTGGAGAAGAACCAGCCTTACTACATGTACCCGTTCGTGCACCTGCTGAACGACGGCAGCCTCTTCGTCTTCGTCTCCAAGTCGGCCGAACTCTTCGATGTGAAGAATAACAACACCATCAAGACCTTCAAGGACCTCCCTGGTGACTACCGCACCTACCCCAACACCGGCGGCTCTGTCATGCTTCCGCTCAGCTCCGCCAACAACTACACTAGCGACATTGTCATCTGCGGAGGTGGCGCCTACCAGGACATCACCTCCCCCACTGATCCCTCTTGTGGCCGCATCAGTCCCCTCTCCAACGATGCTACCTGGGAAATGGACTCTATGCCCGAGGGCCGCGGCATGGTCGAGGGCACGCTCCTCCCTGATGGCACCATCATCTGGCTCAACGGCTGCAACCATGGCGCTCAAGGCTTCGGTCTCGCCACGGACCCAACGTTCGACGCGCTCCTCTATGACCCGACTGCCGCGCTGGGCAAGCGCTGGACTACGGCCGGTACGACAGATATCCCGCGCCTGTACCACTCAGTTGCGCTACTCTTGCTCGACGGCACCCTGATGGTGACTGGCTCGAACCCGGTCGAGCAGCCTGTCATCTCTACCAACGACAACACGGCTTTTCCGTACGATACGGAATTCCGCGTTGAAATCTACACGCCACCGTATCTGCAGGGCGATAACGCGAAGAAAAGGCCTTCGGATGTGAAGCTCTCAACTACCGCGGTCAAGGCCGACGGCAGCACCACGTTTGACGTCAGCTTCACTGCAGCTGCCGGCGCCAAAGAGGTCAAGGTCGCTTTGTACCACGGCGGCTTTGTCACTCACTCGGTCCACATGGGTCATCGCATGGTGTATCTTGACAACGATGGCTGGGACGCGGGCAATACCGCACAGAAGCTGACTGTCACTGGTCCGCCAAGCACTAACGTCGCGCCGCCGGGACCGTATGTTGTCTACGTGGTCGTTGATGGGGTGCCAGCGGTGGGACAGACGGTCATGGTTTCTTGAAAGGAATATATATAGGATAGGTGGGAGAGGCACCTTTTCTTTCTTCTTCTTGCTTGTAGCATAATTTTGGGGAGGGTTGGATTGGACTAATTAGCGGAGAACATTATGATGATACGTACGCTATGAGGTCGTGGATAGTCCTCGTAGCGAAGGAACTCAAGGGTAAAAAGTAATGGTTAAGGGAGAAAAGTAGTATATATTAGACACTCGAATGGCAGCAGGAGCCAATGATGATGATTCTACCACTAAAGTTAACTTCATGCTGTGTTCCATCCGGTGAACAAGTGACGAGAGACGTTGTAACTGGTACCATCAGACCATCCTGTGCCATTCTCAGGGAGTAAGTAGGAAAGAGGTGCAAAACGTCCAAGCAGAGAGGATGGTGTCTAAGTCTGAGGCGGGTTTCAGGGAAAGGTGATAATTCAAAAACGCCCTCTTGCCTGTTTTTCCAGAAGGAATATCAAGAAGTTTATCTTCGTCTATGCGCTTAAAGTTAAGGACTGGCGTTGACGGTCAACTGTAAGAGATGCCAATAGAAGGCGACTTTCGCATGAATCTAGAGTAGTATAAGAACTATAACCGGACATGGTGTGTCATTTAGTTTTATGCAAATTCGCCGCAACACCAAAACGGTTGTGTGGACATGATGTGTACGATTGCCGCTTCATAACGAACGATAACATAGGCTCCGCGGGTAGGCACCGTCCTACTGCGTAGCTGTGAGAGCAAGCATCACTCGTTTCACTTTTTGCGAATCCACACATGTACCACATACCTTTTTTTGCTTCACACCCCAAATGTTTTTCGCGTTCCTTTCCCCGGAAAAGCTGCGTATTATGTAATCGTGTTTGGAATCCTGACGTTCGAGGCTGTCTATTCTCAGCGCTTTACCCCTTTCGGCACCCTGCAGCGACTCGAGATTTCCATTCCTTCACACCTTAACCGCACGACGTCACAACGCAACAAGGAGCGTAGCGGTCGCGGATAGTGGCTTCGCGGGCGGCTTCAGATGGTGACTGATCAAGCCGGGCTGATCGTACGTGATTGCAGAGCACAGTATTCATAGCCGGTATGCCGTTGAGCCGCACTCGGAAAGAGTACCGCGGCGTAGGCCAGTATATTCATGGCTCTGGCTAGGCCGCACTCCGCACCGGGAGTCGTTGCACTTTAGGGTGCAATGCCAAATCAAAGAGAAACGAGAGGGGATTTCGGTTCTTTTCACGTCTTCGTCCCTCTGGTGCGGCCGGTGGAAGAAGTACCTATAGGACTATGCGGAGAAAGTGTGATGGCAATAGCAGTGGCACCAGCAACGGCAATCGCGCTCGTGGCCGTCCTTCCCTCTGGCACTGATTGCGGGTGGGAACTTTGGATTCCTCTGCTTCTTCTCCGGTGGACGAAGCGGGCAAACGCAGGGCACGGCTGCAAGATGGAGCTACACTGCGGGCTGTATGTCTTCTTTCTGCTACGTGGTTGATGGTTGATAGTAAAAGTGAAGATAGCGGTGTGCGTTGTTTCGGCTTCCCTTGTTCTTGCAGGCGGGTCTGTGGCAGGTGTTTGGTGAGGCGCGCGCGCCCACGCGGGCGTTGCAGAACGAAGAGAAGGGGGTTAGGCAAGTGATGAGACAGCACAGCAAGAGTGGGCCAAGATAATCCTCATCTCCCAAAGAATCAAGCCATCATCATCACAGGAGCTCCGGGTGGTGGTGGGGAAAGGGTGTACACATATGCGTGTCGGACGGAAAGTCGCGCGTGCTGTGGGCTTGCAGCAAGTCCGGTTTTCTGCGGAAATCAAAACGCGTCTCTCAGCAAAGGCCATGTGCTGTCGTGGCGTGGAGAATCCGAGCGATGGAGAAGCCAGCCAGAGAGCAATGCGACGATCTCGGAGGAGGGAGGGGGGGAAGGGAACGCGTGTGGGTGTGTGGAGGCTCCGCTTTGTGATGTGGTGGGGCAGCCAGCCGGTGATGATGAGACGCGCACCGGCGGGCGACGATGGACGCTGACGTCATGGCTCATGCCCAACACCCGCTGCGACATAGGTATAGCACGGTACCTACTCATCACCGAGCCCCGATGGGTCGAGCATGGGAGGTCTCATCACGAGAGAGGACGGCGGCAGTGACGCAATGAACCAGGCTGCTCATCAGCCGTCGCGATCGTGCGGTCGTGCGGCTGACGGCATGACGTCTGGACGGGGTGCGGCCCAACTGTCGGATTTGGCTGCTCGTTTCCGCCCTCTGCGCGCCTTGAGAGATTTCGCCGAGTACCTACTAGCGCACGAGAAAATCGCACCTCCACCATCAAAGCGCCGAAAAGGTCCTTGCGGGGTCCGTGTAAATCACCGAAAAGGGAGCGAGCGGACGGAGCGGAGACCTCACCAAAACGCGGGTTTCCCCGTCCTTGTGGGAGGATCTGTCTTGCCAGTGAAGAATCTCCGCGACAAGTGCCCCGGGCCCCACACGCCCGCGACCGCAACGATAGTCCAGCTCGTAAGCGACTGCAACGTATCTTCGCTGAGGCATTTCGTCATTGCACTCCCGCAGTCTCGGTAGTTGGAATCTTCTGCGACGCACTATCGGATCGTCAGCAAATTCAGATTTATTGGCCTCGGCCAAATCGGTGCATCGGGGAAATACACGGCGCGCATGCACCGTGGGACTCGCCCACCGCCCTCCCTTGCCAAGCTCTCCGACGACCGCCGACCGCCCATGGCATGCTGCAAGGAGAGCAGCAGCCTTTCTTCTCCTTGCCTTCTTTTGTTGGTCGTCAGTAGCAGAGCTAGCAATCGTCCTTTCCGTGGTCACAAGCAAACAGTTTGTATGTGTGTGTGTGTCGAAGGACAGTGGGTATTTCGCATTAAATCTTAGATAGCTCTTCTTCGTCCTGCTGCTCCCCCCCCCCTTCCATCCCCTCTCTTTCGGGTATTCTAGCCGGTCTAGACATATTCTTCAGAGAAAAGTTAGGAAATAACCAAACCACGCCCTTTTTTCCCTTCGCACCCTCCATCGCACTTCCATCCAGTTTCCAATTCTCATTGTTAGAGATAGTGGGGGTAATATTGTTACAAGCGGAAAAAATTCATCAGCCCTGCGCACCCATTACACCGCTGCCATATGCTAGTTATATATGCAATAAAATGGAGAACATCAATCTCAAGAAAAAACGTCATCTTCATGCCTGAACCTCACCACCCTCGTGGTGAATGCTCTGGCCACGGACACCGCCGAGTCCGGACTCCTGGTCCTTGACAATGGTCCTGCCGCCGGGGCCGAGGTGGAGTGCGTCCGTGTTGGGCGCACCGTCGGCCTTGAGGCTGCTGCCGTCCCAGCTTGCCGACGTGATGGGGTTGACGTGCAGCACGTACATGGTGTCGATCTCCTCGAGCGAGCGGCCCTTGGTCTCCATCATGAAGAAGTAGACAACCCAGAAGAGACAGAAGCAGGACGCGCCGAACACAAGACCGTAGAAGTAGTCAATGTCGTTGGTGATGAAAGTCGAGAAGAACGAGATCAGGAAGTTGAACAGCCAGTTGGACGCCGTGGCAAGAGCCATGGCCGTCGCACGGTAGCGGGCCGGGTACAGCTCGCCGACGACCGCCCAGACCAGAGGACCCCAGGTGATGGCGAAGGCGACGATGAACAGACAGGTGAAGACAATCATGATCTGGCCAGCCTGAGCGTTGTTGCCGCCGTTGTCGCCGTTGGGAAGCATGTAGTGGCCGATGAAGGCGTAGATGAAGAGACACATGAACATCCAGGCCGCACCCACCATCAGACACTTGCGGCGGCCGCAGTGCTCAACAACCCACAGGGCGATGAAGGTAGCGCCGACGTTGACGGAGCCCAGGATGATCGACGTGACGTACGAGTTGGACAGACCGGTGGCCTGGAAGATGGTGGTACCGTAGTAGAAGAAGTAGTTGGCGCCCGTGAGCTGCTGACCAGCCTGGAGGACCATGCCGAGAATGGTGCGGTAGAGCATACGGGGGCCAGTGAAGACCTCGTACCAGTGGTGGTCGCCGCCAGCCTTCTCAGCCTGCTGCTTCTCCTCGATGTCGGCAATGTCCTGGTTGATCTCGTCGTCGTCGGGCGCGCAGTTGTTCAGGCGAGCCATGATGTTGCGGGCCTCCTCAGTGCGGCCAACGCGGTAAAGCCAGCGAGGGGACTCGGGCATGAACAGGATGGTGGTACCCAGAAGGATGGCCCAGAGTGCGGAGAGACCGTTGGGAATGCGCCATTGGGCGCTGTTGCTGTAGGCGCCCTCGGTACCGAAAGTGACCTATTCGAGATGGGTTAGTGAATGGGGGAATCACGGCGGAGCGGGCCGATGCTTACCATGTAGGCGGTCCAGATACCAAGGGTGATGAACAGCTGGTACGAGGCAACGACGGCGGCACGAATGCTCTTGGGGACGGACTCGGACTGGTACATGGGGACGCAGGTGGAGAGCGAACCGATGCCGAGACCAGAGACCAACCGGCCGATGGCGAATTGGGCCCAGACGGACTTGGAGGTGATTTCGATGATGACACCGACGATGTATGCGAACGCCCAGAACGAGATGGAGAACTTGCGGCCCATCTTATCGGCAAGGGGCGCGGAGCAGAGACAACCGATGAGGGTACCAATGCAGAGGAGACCGACGATGGTGCCCGAGCGGGCGGCGTTGAAGTTGCCGTGGTCGGCAAAGCGCTCCTTGAAGTCGCTCATGGCCATGATACCAGAGATCTGGCCGGATTCGTAGCCGAACATGAAGCCACCCATGGATGCAATGGCACCCATGATCCAGGCGATGGCAGGGGCTTTCCGGGCGGCGATGGCAGGCTTCCTCTGAAAGTTGCCGGCCGAGGGCAGCTCCGTCTTGGAGCCATTCCGAGGGGTGTCGGTGGGAGTGGTCTCGGCAGGCGAGGCCTTCTCGTGGACAGTATCCGCTGCGGGATCTGACTTCTTGTTGAAGAGGCCCATTGTGGGTGGTTGTGGCCCGTGTGAGAGTGTGGTTGGCAGG